CTAACCGCTATGCCACCGACGCATACCGACTAAGCGGTATAAACTTAATCTACCTTCTGAAGTGTTCCGTAGACAGATTTTTAGATTCTGGAAGTCAGAGAATAGACTATAGCACTTTTTCCTCTGGTGGGACAGTATTTATAAAATTCATTATTTGTCAGTTCCGTATAGATTTTCGGTCGATAGATTCCGTAAGCATTCAAAGATCTCGTTTTATTGAAAAGGAAACACACACACACACTCACACCACCGAAGAATGATATCCTTCAACGTGATTTCAATCCCATAATAAAATACATAGTAGGTGAGATATTTACTAAAGAATGTAATAAATTATTGTAAATTTAAACTCTTGTAGCATAGAGTGAATGTGGCCTCAATGTGGTTTCTGTAGAATTATGAACAGTTCAATTAATATCTTACAAGAGGTGGTCAGTCTCGAGCTCGAATATCTTAGTTGTGACGTCTCTAACTTCAGCCATTGGGTGTCCGGGATTCAATTCTCAGAAGGGACATGAGTTCCCATGAGATTGCAGCTATGCGTTGCTGACGAGTGCGCCAGCAAACACAAAACCTAGGTCCAAGGCTTTGTTCCGATCGTCTCCAACTACCTAAACTATTATTATTATTTATTTTGTTCCTTTGCGTCCCGAGTGGAACATTGGGCTTCAGGCTACAGCTTCGAAGTTTCAGTAGCAGTGGTGATTTTATGCGGGGTGGGGTTGCTATCCTCACTCTCAACCCTCCCTCTTTGTCGGGAATGTAACCGACTAAGAGAGGTAAAGGTGTACTTTGGTTGGGACTCGAATCCCAGATCACGTGCATGGGTTGGCCAGCACTCTACCGCTAAACCACCTAAAAAAAGCAATCGCTAATACTTCTTAAATGAATTTAGTGGGCACTTAACTATCATATCACATTCACTATGACTCCTAAATGACTAAAATTCAGCTACGAATTTGTCAAGTGCACTTACAAAGTGAACATTCCAATGTCTGAGTGAAGTGGAAGTAGATTTTCTGCTGTTTTTCTTCTTGTTTTTTCTAGTTTTGTTTTAATCCTTCAGTTTATTACCTAGTTATTTTACGTTTTATATTTCAGTTTAAGTATCATATAATTCATTCATCAATTAATAAATAGTTTAATACTCTTTAATAGTTTAAGGTTCTTTCTCTTTCTCTTGTTCAAACCAATAGATAAATAGGTAGATGGATAGATTTTTGGTATATGCATATTAAGTAAGGGCGTTCATCATAGGTAGTTGTGTTTACTACTGTCACGTGTGTGTACCTCTCTTCGTTATCATGCATACACAGACACACACACTAACGAATTATTGATTAAGTTTCTGTATATTAGCTGTTAATTAATTATAATTTTTTATTATAATTTTCGTTTTAATAAAGATACTGAGCAAGGCAGATAAATTGTTCTAATTTCTAACACAATTATAACTAACAATTATCATCGCATTTGCCAGCCTTGTGTATTATAATGGTGTCTATTAATGAATTGATTAATTATTTCTTATAAAGTATATTGAATTAGTCCGCTGTGTGCGTATGTGTATTTGTGCGTGTGTGTGTGATGATTTCTTCTATCTCTACAGTACACCAAACACGAGGTTCTTTAATGTATCATCATGCTGAAAGTTGTAATTTGTAATTGAGTCAGCAACACATAAGATCGATTCTACAAAAAAAAGAGAAGAGAATTGACCAAGTAAATACATCGTTCGATGCACTTATCAGAGGAGGCAAACAAGTCACCTGTTTGTCTATGAAGATTCTCAAAGTGTACACTGGTGCCTATTTGACTTACGTCTTTATGAATATGACAAAATTTATGTCCAAAAGATAGTACCTTCCAGTTGTAATTGATTAAGAGTTACACTGATGACGACCTCAAAAAATTTAGATCAGTCTTTGCAGACTTCTGCTGTCTGAATAAAATCATTATATGTCATAATATATTGATTCATGAACCACACCTCCTATTATTTGGGGACTGAAAGATTACTATCTGATTATCTAAACCTGAGTAGGTCTGTCTGTGTCTGTTTTCAACATAGAACTTTGCACTGATGTGCGCCAGTTCAAGTCGCCACACTCCCTCCATGTAGCACACAAAGAAAGAGAAGAAAGTACAAGAAAAGCATAATACAGACAGTAGACAGAGGTGTGAGACAAAGGAATAGTAATAACGAAGAACAAAACAGTTTCATTGGAAATCATAAGTCACAAGAAGTGGATGCATCTGCGCTAGCCATTGAGAACGATTTTGAGCCATGTCTGTCACCAATTGTTCCCAGCCTTCATTGGTTTTTACCGTCCTGAGGACCCCAACCAGTCAGGAAGTCTACACCTTCCTACGTGACTGGCTTAGACTAACTGTTGTAGATTTCATTGACTGGTGAAGCCATGTTTTGGTTTGACCGCCGGTAGCTCTTTTCCAGCCTGACCCTATATCAGCTGACATTGCCCATTGTCGAGGAAGGCGGTGGCTAGGCGTGCATACGTAACACATGTCCTAACCATCTCAGTCGATGTAATTTCCTAGCCTCGTCGATTGATTTCCCCTCCTTACCTAGCACTCGACCGACGCCTAACATCAGTATTGCTCACCTTATTATACCACTTTACACAGGAGATAGAATGCAGGTACCTATTATCAAAGACAACTGGCCAGTCTATTCATGTCTTCCAATCTCGATGGCCAGGTCTCACAACCATAAAGGAGGATGGAGAGGACTGATGAGCAGTACACCCGCCTTTTGGTCGATAAACGAATATCTCGTCTACGCCAGAGATGGCGTAAACTGGCATATGCGAAACTATCCCTTTGTATCCGTGCTGAGATTGGCGCTGGCTGATAGTACATCCCAAATAAGTGAAGCGGTTAACGTGCTCTACCATTTCACTTCCTATTTTCAAACTAGGCGTCGATGTAGTCCAGTCCTGTAACATCATCTTACATTTGACAGTAGGAGCGAATCGCATGCCAAACATTCGTACATTGCAGTTCAAGGTGTTAAGAAGACTCTGCCTCATTTTGTCAGCGTCCTCACCTAACAGGGAGGACTATATCGTCTGCATATTCTAAGTCAACGAGATTATTCACTGGTAGCAAGTCAATCCCTGAGTCACTGAAGTCACTTAGGGTTAAGTCCATTAGTACATCTATGATGAAATTGAATAGAAATGGGGATAATGGGCATCCTTGACGGACACCACTAGTCGTTACCAGTTTAGATGACAACTCGCCGTGAGCCCTCACCTGGCTGCATGAGTACGAGTAGAGTGCCTTAATCAGTTTAATGTATTTTCTCGTCAATCCCTTTACGGCCAAGTATCACCAGAGTACCTCTCGGTCGACAGAATCGAATCCCTCCTTTAAGTCAAAAAATATAATGATTGTTGGACGCCGGTAAGAATGACTATGTTCTAGAATCTGTCGGAGGGTGAAGATGTGATCAATACACCCTCTTCCTGGTCTAAAGCCTGCCTGGCTGTCTCGTGTTTGTTCCTCCCGCGTACCACTTAGTCTACGCATGATCATTGAGCCTAGGACTTTGGATACAATATTAGTCAAGCTAATCCCTCTGTGATTATCACAGGAGGACTTGTTTCCTTTCTTGTATATGGGGATAATCAGTGACTTACACCAACCCGTAGGGGCTTCCTGTGATTCCCAGACACTGCCTAGTATCTCAGTTAATGCAGACAGTAAACTGTTTTCACCGTGCTTAAATACCTCTGGAGTCATTCCATCAGATCCTGCTGGTTTGCCTTGTTTCAGATTCGTGACAGCTTTAGTAACCTCAGTTAGGGATGGAGGACCTGTGTCTATTTCCCATTCAGGGAGGTAAACCTGAGTAGGTGAAATGCTTGACTTCATAACTGTAAGCCAGAAACACATTTCACACTGTTGATTATGGAAATAACTTGCGGCAGATATTTTGGTTTTTGAGTGTTAATTTGTGGTGATTTGATTGGTTTCAAGTTTGATAACAGAGAGCCAATGAAAACCTGGGAGTATCAGGCAGCTATTTCGTCACAGTGTAGAACTTTTCATCAGTACACACCCATGCCCCCTTATTTTCAGTCATTTTCCAGCTGGTTAGAATTTGCGAAATCCTTCGACACTGAAGGAATTTATGGAGATGAAGCCAATAAGTTTTGAGGTTATGATATAGGCTAATGGCTTTATGTAGTCAACCTCACAGTCAAAAAGAGTTATTCTCTATCTTTTATTTCAAAAGTCAAATAACATAGAGAGAGCCAACGAATGGTGGATTTAAGTAGTGATTGTTTGGAATGTTAGTTCACATTTTTGCATGAATTACCTACTGATTGCAGTTTCTGTTGAACTTCTTGTAGTCATAGTGGTATCAGCTATTCAGTGAACTTGTTGGTTGTAGGATTTCATCATGAACTGGTGTCAGTTAGAGAACCATTGGGAAACCTCGGAATACTGGACAATGGTTTTGTTGGACTAGTTCGGGACTCCTTGGAAGTGCGCACCCATCGGGGTCCGAACCCAGGACCCACCAGTTGCAAGGCGAGCTCGTAGTCCACTAAGCCACTGGAACTCGACCCAATGGCTATTAAATTCCAGCACGACTACTAGCCAGTGTCATCCGTGGCGAGTATTTTTTCTCACACCTGACCCTGTGTACCCCACTGATCACGAATTATTGGGTTTATGGAAGTCTCTATCCCGGTTTTATCACGTCTCAACAAAATCTACTGAAATACCTTGGTAGAGTTGGTTGCTTTGAAATCTGGTGTCTTTCCTACAGGTTACACCATGTGTTCACACTTATGAATCATTTCCACCTAGGAGGAAGTATCAACGGCTGTTTAGGTAATGTTGATTCATGGAGAGATTGACCTTTCACCTGAGGAAGTTTATTTTCCATTTTGTAAAATATATAACACATAATTTTTTCTCACAAACTTTTAATTTTTTCTTACACATTTATATACCTCGTGTTGTAGGCTATCTAGCCGAAATGTTTCTTACTGATGGTTATCATTCAGCGTTATCAAGAGATAACTGTTGTAACTACTACTATAGTTTAGGTAACTTTAAAAATTCTTTTGATATCTACTTTTGTGACGCTTATATTTGTTTGTTTGCTTTCTTGTGTGTGTGTGTGTGTGCGTGCGTGCACGTATGCTGTTTGTGATGTGATTAGCTGACACCTTATTTCTGGGTTGATTCGTGCGTACAACTTAGTTTGTCTTTTTTTTCCAGGTAGGCAGTATTTATTTTGGTGAAGAGTTCAGGAATTTTCATCTCGTTTTTATTTTTATTTTACTACACTGCACAACTTTACTTTCTCATTTTCTACTTTATATTATTGTGTATTTTGTGTGCTGTGAATATGGGATTTTGTTTTCTTTGTCGTTTGATTGGCTATGCACGCCGAAAATGCTTCCCGTAAATACTGACTGCCTAATCTTAATCAACTCACTCACTATCCATTTGCGCGTGTACTACGATTTACCTGTTTTTTTTCTCTACCTCTATTGTTACTTATAAGTTAAATAGTAACTATTCAATGTAGGTATCTGAAGGAATTGACATGCTCTAAAGCACTATCGACATTTCAGGAGCAATAAAGAAATATGGCTGTCACTTCCTTGATTGAAATCGTTCTATTAGAAATTGAGTATACGTTCATTAAGTTTTGCGGTTGATATAATATTATTATTATTATTATTATTATATCCTTTAATTCCTTGAGGAACATACGGCTTCAGCTGCCCATCTCCATTGCCTTTGGCTTTCTGCCAACTTTTTCACCCCGCTCCAAGTCTGCCCACACGCTTTCATCTCCTCTTCACATGATTTCCTCCTAGTCACCCTTGGACGACTAACTCGCCGCTTCCCTTTCAGGCTTGTCCAGTGATGTCACTTCCTTGATGGTTTCCTCAGCGTATGGCCAATCCACCTACCTCCATTTCTTCCTGCATATTTGTTTCATAATCGGTTCCTGATGGGTTAGTTCGCTCGTTGCCAGAGATCCCTGTTGATGATCTTTTCTGGCCATCTGATCTTGAGTGTTGAGCGAAGACAACTATTAATGAAGGTCTGAAGTTTGTTTGAGATGCTCTTTATGACGCGCTGGTCAAGTCTGTGGTCCATATAGTAAGTAGCACTGACTGACTGACTTCACATTGGAGTTGAAAATCCGGATCTTATTTTTGATGCTGAGTGGTGTTGACCTCCACACAGACTTGACGTGAGTAATGAAAGCTTGTCTTGTTTTTCCGATTCTGGCTTTGATATCCTCGTCAGTTCCGTCGGCCTGTAGTTGAAACGATGCTTCTCAGGTAGGTAGGTGGGTAGGTAAAGGAGGTTGTTTCTTGCAGGTTCCTCCCATTTATGCTGGCTGATTGTTGTCTGTTGTTGTTGTTAGTGTTGGTGTTGGTGCCAGGAATCTTCATCACCTCTGTTTTATCTATGTTTACTTGAAGTCCTTCCTATCTTTGATGCTTCTTCTGCCAGTTTGTTGCTTTTCACTTGCATATCTTCCAGTTTGTGGGAAATCAGTCATATATCATCGGTGAAGTCTAGATCCTCCAAGTTTTTTGTGTGAGTCCATTATATGCCTGTTTCGTCATTGCCGGTTGTCTGTCGCATTATCCAGTCTACTGCATCAGGAAGATCATTGGCGATAGAAGACAGCCTTGCCTCACTCCTGTCCTCACTTTGAAGGCTTCCGTAAGTTTCCCGTTGTGGATTACTTGGCATGCAGCATTGTCGTATAACTGTTGGATGAGATGTATAATTGTGGATGGCACCCCGTAGTAGTAATAGTAGGTTGACATATTACCCATCAACTATTCAGTCAGGATGTCGATTCGTAATATGCCTTGGTAATATTAAATCCTATCTGTACATTGAAAAAGAAACTTTTGCAGTCAACTCCTCTGAACTTAAAAGTCAGTTACCTGAGACACATTGTTCATTTATCAGGCCTATTAGCTATACTTAGTGTATGGAGAATAATAATACTCTTCAGTATAAGGTTAGTCTGAGAGTTTCGTGTTCAAAACCTAATGGTTGGAAGTAAAGTACCACATCTCCACTGTGTTGTCATTCGTCTGGAGGAGATTTTGTTGAGGTAAAGTGAAAAGTACTCTGAGATCATTAAATTTTTTCGTCACCAACCCAACAAGTTAATAGCGATCATCTTTGTTTCAATTTTGAATATCAAAATCTCCACGAGAATAATTTTGCTGAAACAGATTTCAAGGACCCCCTGAAACTGGAGATGTTCACCTGTTCATAAAGATAGAATTCTCTTGAATTTTGATGCCTTTTTTCATCAAAGTGATTTCAGTCATCTTATTTCTCTTATTTCTATCACCATTATATGTACACACATCCCCGCGCACATTTTGAATTACTGCACAGTATGTTTTGATTCCTCTGAAGTGTGTGTGTGTGTGAGTGCACATTATCCAGTAATGTTTTAATACGCCTTTATTGTCTTCACACACACATACACACACTGTGTGTGTGTTTGTGTTATATAATCGTCTTTTGTGTATTTATTATTCCCGTGTTCATGTTTTATATGTATATAGGTGAATTTATTTTACCACAATGGCTTGTTTGTCTACTGTATGCATCAGCTGAATTGGATAATTTCAATATCAAATCAATCGCTTTGTACACATTAATTGAATTATTCCATGCAGCTGTCTCAATTCATGGTTGGAATACAGAATTTAATCATTCTATGGTAAAGAATAGTAACAACAAAAACAATCTTGATAATCAGCCAGCTTGCATGAACAAGAATAATAATAATAACAATGATAATAATAATGATGATGGTAATGTTATTGACCATGATGATAATGCTAATAACGAAGGTAAATTAGACAGTCTGTTGGAAGAGAATAAAAGGCAACAGCAGGAACAGCCAACGCAGAATGGAATGCGTTTAGTATTTCCAGTATTAAGTGGAGAACTGATGGCTTATCTTTGTCAGAAAACAAATCTGTTCACAGTAAGCATAATTCTATGCATGGACTTATTATTAGTCAGTGAATTATTTTCGGTATAATCTTGTTTAAATTCGTTATCCGCTATCATCAAGTTGATTGATTTTGGCGCTAAAGTCTCAGTTCTAAAAGGCACTTGCATATAACTTTTTTTGTTCTAATTTCATGAGTTCGCTAATTTGGGTTAAGTAACATCGCCTGCCAAGCCCTCAAGAGGACGCCGAATGGAAATGACGAGTTAAGTATAGATGTGATGGTGATATTTATTTATTTAAACGCATAAAAACTTGGTACAATATGACACCAAGAAGGATGCGCCACACAATAATAATAAAACAACATACATCAAAAGAAAAAAGATATATATATATATATAAGTAGAGAACGGATAAAGAACTTCATCTGGAAGGAAAACAGTCATGCTTAACAAGTTCAAACAGTATTCGTTAACTATCATTGGGAAGGGAAGAAGGAAGGAAATTGCAACACGTGTAATAGCACGCGATAAGTTTCATTGATCGTTTGTTGCTTCATTCAATTGATTGTGTGAGAGGTGAGATACTGCCCGGGTACCCAGACCGAAGCAGGTGGTTTTATTAAAGGACCACCCCCCGAGCCTTCGACTTGGAGTCTAATCCGGAAGGCAGAGGAGCAGCGTCAGGAGCTGCATTCCCATGGTTTCCGGTGACCCATATGGGTTCATATGCCATTTGATTCGATTGGATAGTGGAGCCCATGTACCCCATGGTAACTGCTTTTAGTTTAACCGCTATCCAAACGACCTTCCTGACATGGTAGGACCTGCAGGGATAGAGTCCCAGTCAGTTTAGCATGTTGGGTCATTATGGTATTCAAGCCCGACCGGGGGATGGTGATATGGAGGAGGAGGAGGCTATGGGAGCTCATTGGAAATCATGGACCCAAGTAAAGGGGACTGCAGGTAACAGGATGAAATGGAGATGTATTGCTGTAACCCCATGTTCCACTTGGAACGGCAGGGAATAATAATATTGAATAGTTTTAAACTCGTACTGAAATTCTGTGGCAAAGCTAGCGCGACTGTGTCGAATAATCTACTCACCATATCGCTTAGTGCATCTGGAAACATAAGGTGATAGTTACATATTGTTCTTGTGTCTATTACATTACACCTGACTTTCCCAGGTTCTGACTGAGCTCTAATTACTAAAGTTTGCACACTCAGCTGATGTTCTACTTCCCCAGGTAGCAGGTGTAGCTCACTGGCAAAATACATTATGCATTATTATTGGAACATAAACTTGAGAAATTATAGAAACCAAGAGATGCACCAAACAAAATCTCATAGTTTGTGTGAGGGCTGGTATACTGTGAGGGTGTTTACACCGAGGCAGGCGGTTGTCTGAAGGGAATAATCCCCCCGAAGCCTTGGCTTTGTGTTTGATCTACAAAGCGGTGGAGCAACGTTGCTTTCAGTGCCCTATACGAGTTCATAGGCTATTCTATCTTTTCGGATTCTGGAGGCCATGTACAACATAGGTTTGGAATCAGAATTTTCCAGCTGCTCTAGGTTGACCAGCATATCCACCAGTCCGGTTATAAGTGCCAGACGTTTGAATTTTCCCTTTCACTTCTGTAAGGAACACCCTAGCCGCGTGAAGGCAGTGAATAGAACCCAATTGGCAGAGGCTCTGAATACGTGTCGGCATAAGAGGATTTCCAGAGGACTGCCGAAGTCTACCCATCCTTGACCATACTAAGTCGTTTACAGGAGTGCCAAATGCATGAATATGTACATAACTGTTGAGCATTATTTTATTTTTATTTTCTGCTTGCTTTCACAGGTACACTATAATTTCTTTAAAATAACTGTTGGCTGAGTGCATACCAGTGCAAACATGTCCAATGTAAAACTGAGTTAATAGTACAATTGTTGACGTATTTCTGTGTGAATTAATACAGCTTATTTTATTATCATTATTGTTTTTCCCATTTTTTTGTAATAATTTAGTACCTAGGTGTTTCATTATGGAATTATCTCTCTCCAGAACAGTCTGCATTTCATGAAGATACTGTCAGCTTATTAGTACGTCTACATCAATTAGCTCCACCTTTGCCTAAATTTACTTGTAGTGTTAATTTTTCAACACCTGGTCCATCAAAATTTTCATCTACTGTCAGTTCATGTATTGAAGGATTTATTCTTTCACAAATGCTTTCATCAAATGTTGACATACAAATAAATGCACATTCACGTTATGCATTATTATGGCATTTAATGCGATATTATGGTTCACGAGTTCAATCCAATTCAGTAGGTCAACAATATAATACTTTAAATAAACGCATTACATATCCACCTTCACAACAAGATTCTTTTAAAATGATAAATACATTTCCTAGTTCAATAGCAGCTGTATCCTGGAGACGTAGTTTTCTTGTTTCATCTGGTGTTAAGAAAATTGGTCTTACTGATGCTGCTTCATCCTTTGGGCAAGGTTTATATGATATTCCTTTTTACAGGTAAATGTTACCTATATATATATATATATATATATATATATATATATATATATATATATATATATATATATATATATAAACTATCTGTTTTTCTAATTATTACATTTTTGATTTTGTAACAAGATTTGTCTAAGTGTTATGGTGAGGGGACATCTGAGACCCTAGCTACGTAGGATTCTAAATAAAGCAGGAATTAGGGTGGCATTTAAACCTACAAGCTCACTCAGGCGGCGACAAGCTCTGTGGGTTAAAGGACCCAGATGACCCAATTAGACAAAATAATATAATTTACAAAATACCCTGCAATGACTGTGAGTTGGGTCAACTACATAGGTCAAACTAGTAGGTCAGGGGTAGTCAGATTGTCAGAACATAAGAATTTAGTGGCTAAGGTAAGAATGGTTGACCCTGAGAAGATAAGTAATTTAGAAAAAAGCTCAGCAATTGCAATGCATGCGCTAACACACAACCACACAATAGGTTGGGAGAGGGTTAAAATTCTAAAAAGTTGATTACTGAATCCTTGTTCATCGAGTCTACACCCAACAAACGTGCAATAGGAATGATTCATCACTCATACCTGAAATATGGAAAATACTACTACCAGTCATATCAAGTGAAAATAATGGAACTATATAAATGAAGTTATTAAGTCGTGTGATTACCTTGATATGATTATGAGCAATAAATTGTGCTCGAAAAGTCATCAGTAAACATTACTATATAACACTGAGACTATCAGCACAAAATTTACCCATAATGTTATGATGAGCATTGATTATTTTTCAGTGTCTTACAGAGCAGTTTTTAGTCCAGATAGCTTGGCAGTTGTTACATTTAACCAATCCGCCTGTACTGTTTGTATTACTATTGCTATATATACCGTTACCACCCCATGGTGGTAGTAGAGTTGACTATAATATAAGCTTAAAAGTTTGGAGTGAAGTACTACACCACCCTCTGGAAAAGCTCAAAAATGAAAAGAAGTGACAAGCAGCAGACTAACACTACAATTGATGAGCATGTATCAAGGTGAGATTAGTTTACTAAAAAGTAAAGAGGATGATATTCAGGATTTTGAAGAGTATTCACTTGGGCTAATTTAGATGATTTCTAACCATGTCAGAAAGAGTTTCACTTGGACCTTAAGTGTAGTCAAGTTTAATTGCCTTATGTAGTTCCAGGATTTCATCATGAACTGCCATCGGTTAGAGGACCATTGGAAAACCTGGGAGTACTGGACAGCTGTTTCGTCAGCCTAGTTCGGGACTCTTCATCAGTACGCACCCACCGCCAGGGTTCGAATCCAGGACCTTCTGGTTACAAGGCGAGCTAGCTCGTACACCATTAAGCCACTGGCACCCGATCCAATGGCTAGCCCATGCATTCCAACTTCTGCCAATTCACGATATAGAGCAACCGCTAGCCAATGTCATCTGCGGCGAGTATTTGTTCTCACACCCGACCTGCTGCGCCATACTGGTCACGACTTCCCACTGGAAGCCCAGGTAACTACCTACCTGAATAAAGCCAGTCACCAGTGAGCATCTCATAGATATTCAAGTGTTGGTTTGTAGGAATTTGATTGATTAGTTTCAGGATTTCATTATGTGGCTTCGACCATAAGTCGGTAACATGTTTTCACTTGATCACCTTTAATTCCTTCTCAACTTAGACTTCCCCTAGCTAGCGTTATTCGTCTAGTATGGCAGTGAAGCAACATTCATAACATTTAAATAGATAAAGGTATGGCTACTATTCCTTCATAGGGATGTAGATGTATTTATTCTTCGAAATCTTAAAGATTTTTGTCGATTTGTATTTATTCGTCCCCGCCATAGGTTAGCCACTGAGATATTCTCCTAATCCTCTTTTATTTTCTAATGAATAGATGGATTTTCAGCGTAAAATTTTGCGCAAAAGCGTGAGACAGTTCAAGTCGCCACACTTTATAGAAGTACACATAAAGCTAAGTTGAAGTGATTCGCCTCATACAAAGTTCTTTACTGATCTGTCAGTTTAAACATACTGAAAATATGTCAACCTTGTAAAGATATTTTGATGAGTATAACTTGATTAACTTATCACCAGTTGAACTGTCATTTATAATATCATAATAGTACACTAATTAGTCTCTTGTAGTTTTTATCATTCATTATTATTGTAAATGATGACTGACTAATGTTAAACAGGGTGAATCTATCTTGTTTGCTTTCGAACTAGTGGTGTTCTGTAAATCTAATCATCAGACGGTATGAATTCTGATGAAACTGTTCACAATAACGCAGTGTATGTAGAGCTGTAAACAGTTACTTCAGACCGAACGGTTTATGTTCTATCTCCCGTGGTGTGGTGCAATATGGTGATTGGTATTGAGGTTAGGCGTAGAATCCTAGTTAAGGAAGAGAAGTCAATCGATGACGTTGTGAAGCTGCACCGATTTAGATGGTTAGGACGTGTGTTTTGCATACCGCGACCACAGGCTTCCCCAACTAGCAATGTTAGCTGACGAAGGATTTGGTTGGGGAAGAGTTAGAGGTAGGTGGTAGTCAACCAAAACATGTAATCAATTCTTGAAGTCTTTGATAGCTGATTTAAGCTAGCCACGTAGAGGGAGGTGTATACTGCCTGGTTGGAGTCCTCGACATTTTAAGAACTAATGACTAGAGATTATTAGTAATATGACTCAAAAAATCGTTCTCAGTGGCGCAGATTTATTCACTCATTGTAATCTCCCAGATCCGTTATATCCTCATGTTTTTCAATGTTTACTATTCTTTCTTGCATAGATTTCTGCTCATTATAGCTCTTTTAATTTTCTTCTTTCCCTTTGTCTCTACCTATGTGTGCTACATAGATTGCAACAGTTTGAAATATTGCACTTCTTTACAAAGTTCAACGTTGAAACTCAGTCAATCAGGCATGTTTTCCAAATTATTGTAGGTTCTAACTAAGTGCTGCACACTTTCACTTGAGAAACTAAAGAAGAACATGATAAACTACTAAGCAGAATTTGCGTTTCATATTCTTGTACCCAAATCAATGGCAATTTATTGAAAATTGGATCATTATTTGTTTTCTTTCTTTTGGACACTTATGAGTTGAAACATGTTTTTCTTTCTCACGGTTAGGATTTAGCTAATGTCTGGCCAACAATGGTTCAATTTTTAGAGCATATTACAATAATTATTTCAAAAGAATGGACACTGAACAAAGAGTACTCTTTTCGATAACCCCTTCATCATGCTCTACATTTGTACATACATTATAGTGAATGAATGAGTGTTATGAATGACATTAATGTTTAAATAACATCAAATCAATAATATTGATAGATTACAGCTGAATCGCATAAACACAAAATAAGCTGAATGTCAGAAGAATTAGAAAGAATAATATTACAAATTCATGAGTTTATAGTTTCTACTGAAGGTCATGGCAATAGTAGGGGCTGGACTTGCTTCTTTTGGATATAGAGCATTGGTTGTTTGAGACGAATCGCAATAGCCTCTGCTGTTTGGAGCATGCGGTGCTTCGATGTTTTTGGTAATTTATTTGGCGCGCGGTATAATATAGAGAAGGGTTCATCTACGCTGGCTTTGTGTCCTGTTTGCACCATATGTTCCAATATCGAGCTGTTAATAGGTTTCACTACACCTTTACTTAACCGTGATGGGAGACGTTCTCGAGTGAGCACGAAAAATCAAGTTCCTAGAGCAACGGCCAATATAACTGGCTCCACAAACGCAGTTGAATTGATAGATACAATTAGAAGTGGCTAGTCTAGGTACTTCATCTTTCAGTCGAGGAATCACCATCGGTCGTGTAGAGAATAAGACGTGTAGTTCGTCAGCAGTAAAAGTTCTTTGAACTGATTTTCTTAATTTCTTCGCAGTTATTTCGCTTGGTATATCGCCCATAAATTGCAGTCGTATATAAAGAGGCTTCTTTTTTTACAGATAGTGAGTGCTCCATTTCCGTTTTCTTTGTCATATGTTTCTTGATAAATTTGTTGGGATAGCCAATTTCGATCAAAGTATCATATACAATGCTTAATTCATCTTCACTTACTTCTTCTGAACATATAGCTCTAACTCTGTGGCTGAGGGTCTTCACTAAATTTCTTTTGTACTTGATAGGAACGAAGCTGTGAAAATGTGTACATTGTCCTGTCCAAGTGCTTTTTCTAATTATTTCGTATGGTGATGATGATGATAACTAAATTAAAGATGGTTTCACACCACTTATCATTTATGTGTAGTTTTCTTATTATTATAGTTTCTTCATTCATTCACTTACTAACTCAATAATCTTTAATCAATAGATGTACCCTATTGTTACTGGATAATTTGGACTATGACACTCCATGGGGTCCAGTTGGTTCAATTGGTTCCGTTGGCCTAGTTAACTCACAGACATCTCAACTTAATCCTAATTTACATACTCTGGGTAGTAGATGTGAGCAAAAAGAAGACACTTGTGAAGATTATGGTCAAGTTGATCAACCGAATAGTTTTTGTAATGCTATTTTACGTGAACAATCAGTTATATGGATGGAGAAAGCTTTACAAACTGGTCAGGTGGATCGTTTAATAGCACCAATCTTAGTTGCATTATTGCATCCAACAACAGCTAGAATCAGTCTTAAAGCACACGTGTTAAAGCATTGCTATCAACAAGTTAAAGCAGCGAAACAAAACAAAACGTCGAGTAATGATATGAGCGATGCAATGACGAAATCAACTTCTACAAAAGGCAAGAAATGTTTTTTTTATTTATTAATTTTTTTATTACATTTTACTACTAGGTTATCAGATTTGCATAAGAATTGAAGGTTCCAGGATTTCATCATGAGCAGACATTAGTTAGAGAACTATTGGAAAACCACCTGGGAGTACTTGACAGCTGTTTCGTCAGCCTAGTTTGGGACTCTTCATCAGTACGCACCCACAGGGATTCGAACCCAGGACCTTCTGGTTACAAGGCGAGCTAGCTAGTATACCATTAAGCCACTGGGACCCGATCCGATGGCTAGTCCATGAGTTCTAACTTCTGCCAATTCACGATATAGCGCAACCGCTAGCGTACTGATGAAGAGTCCCAAACTAGGACGAAACAGCTGTCCAGTACTCCCAGGTTTTCCAATGGTTCTCTAATTAATGTCAGCTCATGATGAAGTCCTATAACCAATCAACCAAATCTCTACAAACCAATACTTGAATTGAAGGTTCATTATAGAGGAATAGTAGGTGATTTTCTTTCATAATCAGTTGTTCACATCTTTAGACTGATGATCTACAGTTATTTCATGTTAGAGTATCTGTTTGAACTCAGTTGCCCAAAACAGATCTTTCATGTAATCGCTAGACTAAGAACCACACTTATCTCTTGAAATTTGGTGATACTACCTAGTTTCTCAGGTTGAAGTAGCCGGAGAGGTAGTCGAAGCTGTGATCCTTTGATTGCAGGCTGTGCTCTTAAGCCTATGAGCTACCTCTGCATATGCGAAAGTGGATGATGGAACAGTGCTTCAGTTCATATTTCTATGGTGAACTGTCAGGCGCCTGAATCATTAATGCATTCACTTTAAAACCTTAAAACCATATACAACATTAGGTAAAATAGGGTTGAATGACTTTCTACACGCCAACAGATCTAGTTTTTTTTAAATCCATTTCCTTTCACTAGTCTTGCGAAACCTCAAATTCTAAACCACATAATGTCCATATTTCTTAATGTATGTTTTTTTAGATCGAATTACTAACGTATAAGTAAATCTGTTTACTAAATGTGTTCAGGATGTTTAAAACAGTTTTGATTGTGACTGGGGATTACGAGAAATCATTTAATTTCACACAGCAGATTTTCATATATCAACGATAGTTAGAAAACTGCTGTGAAAGTGTGTTCTGCTTTATTTAAGCATTCACAACTTCACATTGGAGATCCAGAGGTCTTTTTTCAGCAAGCAAATTTTAATTTGCTCAGCATTTTAGTAATCTATTTTTTATACTTACTTTAACGCGATTGCCACTCTGACAATTTACCTCATTGTCTTAAGCATGATATTTTCTGATTAAGAAATATTTCTTTACCTACATTTTTGAATGTGACGCAGACTGACAATAATCTAAAGTGTCATTGGTTGTCTTGATTGGATTGGACTCACATCATGTGGTTCTGTACGGAAGCGGATTTTTAAATAGTCCAAATCGGACAACAAAAACAACAATAAGCACGCATCACTGCCAACGGAAGGAATTTGAACAAGGTCATTGCTTTCACTTATCTAGGCACCATCGTTTTGAAGTAAAGGCGGAAGAGATTAGGAGATGTCAAAAGCAGGATCGAAAAAGCAACAAAAACACTCAATATTCTGAAATCAATATAATTCAGTCTACCTCACTAAGGATAAAATAACAAGATTCACATTTTCAACACTAATATGAAATCAGTGCTTCTGTGTATAGTTTAAGACACTTGGAGCGCTGTTGAAAAGCATTTCCAAAAGGCTACTGCAGACTTCTGTCAACAGCTAGCTGTCCTCGCTAGTTTCATACTGAGGATTTGATAATCTGAAAGGATATTTGAAAAGGAACTCTATCAAAGAACCAATTATGCGCCTGTTGTTCAACAAAAATATGCCAAAGAAAATGGAAATGGATCTCAGACACACTCTGAGAAGATAGATGAGTGACATCGCGCGCTTGGTTGTCGAGTGGAACCCGAATGGGGAACGATGAATTGAGCATCAAACCAAGGGTGACGTGAAGGAGATAGTCTGAGAAGATGATAAGGGTCTAAAGGTAACCCTGGAGCCATCTAAAGCTCACTGCAGAGAACAAGAAGAGATGGAGATGTCCCGCGGAAGCCTTACATTTCACTCGAAACGTGAAGGAATAATGATAATAATCCTAAGAAGTGAGACAGAAAATAAACAGATCCTCGTAGCTATGTAGTAATGGTAAATGAAAGTACTTAATGTTTTCGTATGGGCTTACAAATATGATTGTTAAGATGTCATAGAGTGATTATCTCAGAAATTTGATCCTTATGAAATAAACTGCATACATATAGTATTTAAAATTTAATGAAAGTACGAAGAGTCATCTCCAGTTGTTTACTTTTAAATTTCTTAATCATTTATCTCATTTATTTGGAAGATTTTAACCAAGCATTCTTAACTTGTCAGCCTTGACATGAACTGATGCGCCTTCAGCAAATTAGATGTATGTATCCGTTTCTGTGACCGGACGTCATCATTTGGCTCTTCGAGGTTCTACTAACGCGCTCAACAACAGTTCTTTGTAGAATTTTTATACTCGTTTTCGATTGTCTTCATGTACCTAACACTTATAAAATGTGTGTCACGTTAACAGGTCTCCCACATTCGTGATCAGCTTGCTGACTTTGTTAACAGGATTCAGTCAACAGTTAGGCAATATTATATAACTGATTCCTCTTATTAGTTTGAATAAAGAAATAACGAACCTATTTGCAGGACAATGTAAGCTTCTTTTATTTCGTGGATTCTTTTCAACTGAGTACATCCTAAACAATATCAATTATAAGTTAATTGGTGGATGGTGACTAGCAGTGGAGTCTAGGAAGTGCATTTCATCCTATTTGCGATTCGTCATCTAGATGCACCTGAATTTCGCAGTGTGATGATGTTTCCACCGAGGCTCGAGCCCAGTGCCCATAGTTTCAAACGCCAAAGCGTTATCGACTAAACCACTTGGGTCACAAGAGCCACCTCTTGTGCAACGGGTACTTCGGTCCAATCAATCGACGGGAAAATCTAAAATTGAATTAAATATCAATTATAAGTTACGAAATTTGCTGAACATACTTTTTATAATGACTTCGAATTATAAATAGAAAGTATAGGCAACATAATTCCAAATGGGATGTAAGTATATGAATTATTCACTGTTGCGAGAGTAACTATATTTATGCAATAATTGGACGATTCGGATAGCGTTCAGATTTCGCTCGGAAACAAGAGTAGACTAGAGACATATACAAAAAGGGAGACAAGTCCTCCTGTGATAATCACAGAGGGATTAGCTTGACTAATATTGTATCTAAAGCCCTAGGCTCAATAATCATGCGTAGACTAAGTGGTACGCGAGAGGAACAAACACGAGAGAGCCAGGCAGACTTTAGACCAGGAAGAGGGTGTATTGATCACATCTTCACCTTCCGACAGATTCTAGAACATAGTCATTCTTACCGGCGTCCAACAATCATTATATTTTTTGACTTAAAGGAGGGATTCGATTCTGTCGACCGAGAGGTACTCTGGTGATACTTGGCCGTAAAGGGATTGACGAGAAAATACATTAAACTGATTAAGGCACTCTACTCGTACTCATGCAGCCAGGTGAGGGCTCACGGCGAGTTGTCATCTAAACTGGTAACGACTAGTGGTGTCCGTCAAGGATGCCCATTATCCCCATTTCTATTCAATTTCATCATAGATGTACTAATGGACTTAACCCTAAGTGACTTCAGTGACTCAGGGATTGACTTGCTACCAGGGAATAATCTCGTTGACTTAGAATATGCAGACGATATAGTCCTCCCTGTTAGGTGAGGACGCTGACAAAATGAGGCAGAGTCTTCGTAACACCTTGAACTGCAATGTACGAATGTTTGGCATGCGATTCGCTCCTACTGTCAAATGTAAGATGATGTTACAGGACTGGACTACATCGACGCCTAGTTTGAAAATAGGAAGTGAAATGGTAGAGCACGTTGACCGCTTCACTTATTTGGGATGTACTATCAGCCAGCGCCAACGGGTTGATCTCTGACGAAATCTCAGCACGGATACAGAGGGCTAGTTTCGCATATGCCAGTTTACGCCATCTCTGGAGTAGACGTGATATGCGGCTATCGACCAAAGGGCGGGTGTACTGCTCATCAGTCCTCTCCGTCCTCCTTTATGGTTGTGAGACCTGGCTACTCAGAGTGGAAGACATGAAAAGACTAGCTGTCTTTGATCATAAGTGCCTGCATTCTATCTCCTGTGTGAAGTGGTATAATAAGGTGAGCAATATTGATGTTAGGCGTCGGTCGAGTGATAGGTAAACAGGGGAAACCAATCGACGAGGTTGTGAAGTTACAGAGACTTAGATGGTTAGGACATTTGTTACGTATGTACGCCTAGTCATCGCCTTCCTCGACAATGGGCAATGTCAGCTGATATAGGGTCAGGCTGGAAAAGAGCTACCGGCGGTCAAACCAAAACATGGCTTCACCAGTCAATGAAATCCACAACAGTTAGTCTAAGCCAGTCACGTAGGAAGGTGTAGACTTCCTGACTGGTTGGGGTCCTCAGGACGGTAAAAACCAATGAAGGCTGGGAACAATTGGTGACAGACATGGCTCAAAATCGTTCTCAATGGCTAGCGCAGATGCATCCACTCCTTGTGACTTATGATTTCCAATGAAACTGTTTTGTTCTTCGTTATTACTATTCCTTTGTCTCACACCTCTGTCTATTGTCTCTATTATGCCTTTCTTGTACTTTCTTCTCTTTCTTTGTGTGCTACATGGAGGGAGTGTGGCGACTTGAACTGGCGCACATATGTGCAAAGTTCTATTTCGAAAAGAGATAGACAAACAGAGACAAAATACAAGATAGAACAGTGAATTTATACATGTTATGATGGAAAGTTCCAGACGGTGGGGGGAGAACAGTAGGGTAAAATTATAAGATACACGAAACAATTTAGTTAGATTTGGACACTTAATAATGAGTTCACCCCTGAGTAAACAGTGAAAATCTAAATTAATTAATTGAGTCGAATGTTATTCAACAGAAAAAAAACAAGAACGCAAAAGCACGCGAATAAAACCAATAATGGTCACCAGGAAATTGTAATATGTAATGCGCTATCCAACCGCACACGTGATCCGGTTAACAATTTCCGGCTAACGTCCTCCTAAAAACCTCACTTAGCCGGTAGTAATACCGGGAAGAAAAAAAGGATGGGCGTGTAACGCTGTTTTGATGATGTTAGATGGTTGGAGGCAATCGTCCGGAAGTCTTGGACCTAGGTTTCGTGCTAGCTTGCACTCTTCATCAAGGTGTATCTGCAACCTTGAAGGAACTCATGTCCTTTCTAAGATTTGAACCCGCGTCACCCAGTGCTGCAGTCAGAGACGTTACCACTGAGCTATTCGAGCTCGCGATTGACCTCCTGTAGTGAACTGTAGTGGATATTTTTATTTGACACAAGTAACTAGTGTGATGTGTCTACTTCTCTCTTTGGTAACGCTGTATAGCTCTGTAACAACCCTATCTTGTTGCAAACATCACTGCTAATGAAATTTCAAAGCTCAAGGTTGAAGCCCTTTATCCCACTAGAAACGCCTAAGGAATGCAACAAAATGTATGTCAGATCCAGGAAACAAGCAGTGTTTCTGAACTCTTAACAAAATGATATTTTCAGCTACGGTATTCAGAGGTAATCAGTCATGAAACATATACCGATAGTGTAAAGCGATTCGCCTATTTCAGTAGTGACACTAATGGTGTATAATATGCGTATTCATACTATTTCCTATCAGAGAAACTTAATTATATTAACAGATAATAAATATAACAGTTTGATTTTCAATTTCGGCATTTCATTCTTTTCTTTCTTGTAAATATATTTATATACAGATACTGATTGTGAACTTCCTTCATATGAAGAGGCTATCAATAATGCGAAGATGAAACGATCTAGTTCTAAATCGGATGTAAGTATTGAATTACTTTCATTATTTTTTGTGGTATTTTTCATTAAAATGGAAAAATGGTTTATTTCACGACTGGGGGGCGGGGGGAATGATAGAGTAGAAGGTATTTGTAAGTATTCATAACTTTGTAAGGAATGAACTCATTTTCAAAATTGGTAATCATCTAATCTAGTATTTCTCATTAACCTTTTTTTGTAAGTTACTAGTGTCCAGGATGAAACAATTACCGGTGACATAAAACAAAGGTGAATACATATACTCTGAATGGTATCGAAAGTTAACGAGAAGTCAAGATATTAATCTCTGATTTCAATCAAATCACAATATTAAGAGGTGTTGTGTTTACTTTATGTTGTTGTCGATAAGATAAGAGTTTTAAAATATCTGAGACCGGTCTCAGTATCTGACTAGCATTCATTTAAAATGTAGTAGTTGTTGTATGAGCAGTACAAGGTAGCGGTATATCACAAATTGACAAATTTGAAATCCATTGAATTCCAATTCAAGTAATTGATTACTCAAGGAGGTAGAATCGTAATCTGAACAAAGATATCCAATCCGATCTATGGTGGGTTTTTGGGTGTGCATTGCTGAAAAGTCGTGGACTGTGATGGAGCAGTTCTCCCCATAGTTTTCAGTGATTGGTATTAGCATAGAACTTGGACACTGTGGTGTAGGATATAATTTCATCGTACATGAGCTCTGTTGACTAAAGGATCCTATTGATCCAACTAGACAAAATCATGTAATCTGCAAAATACTTTGCAATAACTGTAAAATCAACTACATAGGTCGGACAAATAGATCGGGAGTAGTCAGATTATCTGTATATAAGCGTTTGGCTAAGTGTCAGATGATTGATCCCACGAAAATGGATAACTTGAAGGAAAATTCAGCAATAGCAATGCATCCGTCAACTTAAAATAACACAATAGGGTGCTACAGAAGTACTGTGCGTCGGTGGCACAGTGGTTAGGACACTCGCCGACCATGCACATGGTCCGAGGTTCGATCCCCTGCCGACGCACACCTGATATCTATGGTCGGCCTGCAAAATTTGGGCTACCGATATCCATGCTGAAAATTCCATACTTGTACCAAAAATACAGTGTGGAATCAAGCTGTAATCAAAAATAAAAATAAATAAAATAAATGAATTCTAAAGAGTAATATATATCTAGATGCAGGGAGAGATAGATTATTGAATTGTTGTTTGTCGAGTTTACACCTAACTTGTAGAATGGGAATGACACAACACCAATACCAGATATATGGAGAATATTACTAGCAATAAACTTGTCACTGTAATCTTACGGAAGAATAATCAGACCAGAACAGACCATGCTTCTTTGACTGACTGACTCACTCGGTCATTATGTTAGTACGCTTGTGATCATAATATTTACTATGGAAACAAACTTTTATCTGTAACAGGAGAAGAAAAGAGTATTGGTGACGGAATGTTTTGATATACATCATACATAGGGAAATTATGTATCATTATATTATTATTATTATTATATCCTTTAATTCCTAGAGGAACATAGGGCTTCAGCTGCGCGTCTCCATTGATTTCGGTTTTCTGCCAACTATTTCACTCCGCTCCAAGTCTGCCCACATGCTTTCATCTCCTCTTCACATGACTTCCTCCTAGTCACCCTTGGACGACTAACTCGCCGCTTCCTTTTCGGGTTCCACTCGAGCGATGGCTAGTCTAGTGATGTCACTTGATGGTTTCCTTAGCGTATGGCCAGCCAGTCCATCTCCATTTCTTCCTTACTTTTTGTTGAACAATCGGCTCCTGGTTGGTTCGCTCATCGCCAGAGATCCCTGTTGCTGATCTTTTCTGGTCGGCCATCTGATCTTGAGTGTTGAGCGAAGATAACTATTAATGAAGGTCTGAAGTTTGTTTGAGATGCTCTTTATGACGCGCGCTGGCCAAGTGTCTGGTCCGTATAGTAGCAATGACTGACTTCACATTAGAGTTGAAAATCCGGATCTTATTTTTGATGCTGAGTGATGTTGACCTCCACACAGAGTTGGATTGAGTAATGAAAGCTTGTCTTGTTTTTCCGATTCTGGCTTTGATATCCTCGTCAGTTCCGTCGGCCTGTAGTTGAAACGATGCTTCTCAGGTAGGTAGGTGGGTAGGTAAAGGAGGTTGTTTCTTGCAGGTTCCTCCCATTTATGCTGGCTGATTGTTGTCTGTTGTTGTTGTTAGTGTTGGTGTTGGTGCCAGGAATCTTCATCACCTCTGTTTTATCTATGTTTACTTGAAGTCCTTCCTATCTTTGATGCTTCTTCTGCCAGTTTGTTGCTTTTCACTCGCATATCTTCTTGCATAGATCTTAAAATCGTCATTTTCACAGATCTTCCTTGTCGTGCTACTTCTACTCTTCGTTTTGTGTTTCTTTGACTTCTGCTTTTTGTGCATCCCATAGTTTCACCGCAATATATTGGTTCATTTTCTCTCTTTGACGTCAAATTCATCTCTCCGCTATTTGATGTTTTTTTTTATGAGTCGATGAACATGTCTTTACGTATACTACTGGTAAATCTTGTCAGTAGAATAGGCCGCATATTGATTACTTAAAATTAACTCTCTTTTTGATATCATTGTGTCTTATAAATGTATTAAGCTGTTTATTTTACTATCTTGTTACTTGCGTCTTCTTTTGCATCTTAATTATTTAAATGAAAGCCTTTGTTTTCCTCCTGACGTAATCACATTTGCGCCAAGATCAATTACAACTTTACTTTCTAAATATATATATATACTACTTACACTAGCTATTAATTGCATTTACTTCGTTGGTTGTATGGTGTTTTTGTATAGTCTAGGTTTATTAATGATATACATACTGGTGTTGTTGGTTTCGTGTGTGTGTTTCTGTCACTTACGATGTATAATGGCACAGCTGGTTTATTGAATCGATGAGTTTGTTTACACGTACGAATCCGTCTGTATCATTCAAGGGATGCTAGTAACTGTTTACTCCATGCGTCTACGATTAAATCGTCTGTTGTTAATTTGTTTTTCGATAGATACTTATTGTGTAAGCGGTTTATCTTATGAATCAATGTTTGACGTTTCTGTATCTCCGAAACCAAATTACCATGACTTTTATCAAGTTAGCTGTTAGGATTCAACAGATTAGTCAGCTGGGGGCTAATATAATGAGTCTACCTAGATCTTACATATTGAATAAGCGCTTTGAAATTCTTCATAGGGTTACAGTACACCTAAATATGTGACAAACAGTTGTTTGATGAATCCCAGTAATATATCTTGGTATCACTTTTGCGGTAACTAAAACTGTTTCATGGCGAAGAAGAAAAAGAAGAGGAAATTAGTAGTCAGTCGAGCTAAACTTTGGTTGATATGTATTGTTGTAAGCATAAATTCCTACAGAGGTTACATCGTCGCATGTTCAAATGTTGTTTTGCCATGTAGAACTAACTTTTTTTTTCTCACATTCGTTCGTATTTCGAGTGAAACTTATAACTTCAAGCTTCAGTCTTGAAGTGTCATTAGCAGTGATGCTTTGTTTACAGGCTGGAAGTCAGCTAGCCTTACTCACAACCTTCTCTTTTTTCCAGGTTGACTACTGGCTAGTAACCTTGGTGAGGTTAATGAGTTAGAACACAGTATTCTACCATAGGACGAAATGCATTCAATTAATTAATACTTCCTTGTTTCTTAGTACCTGTATATATCAGTTATCGATTTTTCACTGTACTCACATTCACTCTACACCAGTATTCTTTTGTATTACCTTGTAATGATTTCATCATCTCTAAACAGTAATTGCTGTGGTGATTATTTTTCTGAAATTTGATGCCATAATGAGATTTAAGGTGTTGTTTACACACACGCACACACAAATATACAATGTATTATTGCATTGTGTCATTGTTTATTCTATGTAAGCTGATCATCCTGTCTGAACTTTTCATTTTAAATCTTATAGTTTTACTTGGCAACATTTCCAGTCTTAAAATATTTGCCATTTCTAAATATCTTAACCGATGAAACAATAATATCTGCTTGCCGATAGACAACACACTATGTTAGTTGAAATTGTTGATTTCAGAGTAGAAAGACCATAGTGTCGTAGTAAAGTTCTTTTTGTTTTTAGTTCGGATGACAGTTGATGATTTAGAATCACACTGAACTCTTAACATAATTTCAGTTATATTAGCAGTAGGACACCGTTTCTGTGGTCTTCCAGTCAACGTAACTTACAGTGTTATCCTGACCGGCAGGCAAACGTGACTAAAACGTCTTGTTGTAATACGTGTTTATCAGAGCTATGGTATTATAAACAATAAATTCCTCTGTATCCAAAAGACAGATATCTGAAGTATTTCCAAATAAGAAATGTTAAGGCTTCAAACTCTTAGAATCCAAGTTACACTATTATCTGTCTTTCATTAGAAATAGTATCCGCCAAGTAATATAGTCTCACCATGTTATGCATCTCATAAACATTGTTAGTTTCACACACTGTACAAGCATTCGGCTCCATATATATATATATATATATATATATATATATATATATAATGTCAGATAACCAAGTCTTTATTCGGGAAGAGATCAACACAAGTGAAATCTATAAAAGACAGCCAAGGGAACCCAATTACCATGGAAGAAAGACAGACTAAACAATGGGCGGATCACTTCAAAGGACTCTTGAACCGACCACCACCTGCAACTGGAGGAAAGGTTACCTCGTGAAACTACCAAAGAAGGGAGACTTAGCACCCTGCAAGAACTGGCGAGGAATCATGCTCCTGTCGACGCCAAGTAAAATCCTAAGTTGTATCATCCTGGAGAGAATAAAAGACGCACTAAATGCAGAACTCCGACCAGAACAAGCTGGATTCAGGAAAGGCAAATCATGTTCTGACCAAATTGCAACTCTACGCACCATCATCACAGAACAAAGCATGGAATGGCAATCAAACCTCTACCTTAACTTTATAGGCTTTGAGAGAAGTCCTTCGACAGCGTTGACCGCGAAGTAATTTGGAAACTACTCGAGTAATACGGCGTACAGTGCCCCAAATATTCATCAACCCTTTTCAACAGCTGTACGACAAAATCACATGTCCAGTGATCTATTATGTACTCGTCGCCAAATTATTGTTATGTACTGGTCGAGAATTTAATAGTCCTGACGCAAGAAAGACGGAAATCAGAAGACCACTAGGTTTGCGATGATACTTCTATTTTCCAAACACGAGGAGAATCAATATGTCACACAAGAGTGTGAGTGCAAAAATATATATGAATGTCTGAACAAGTGTGTGAACAAATCAATCGACAGTCTTAACATGATTGGCTAATTATAATGGAGTATCGATACATATATACATAGCGAAATATATGAGACTGTCAAACAAACACACATATTATATGGATATATATATCACCAAGAACAGACTGTCAAACAAACACACATATTATATGGATACATATCATGACCCACAACGGAAAACTCAGCGAGGCGTTTGGAGTAAACACAGGAGTTAGACAAAGGTGCTTATTATCACCAATGGTGTTCCTAATTGTGGTGGACTTTATTGTGCGTTAGACAGTGAGTGGGAAACGAGAAGACAGGGATATCCTGGACCGACCGACGTGAAGAACCTAGAAGACCTGGATTTCGCGCGTGGATGATTTATGTTTGATGTCACACAAAATACAAGCGAAAACCGACAAACTGGTCGAAGAAGCAGTCAGCAAAGACAGGACTTCAGGAAAACATAGACAAGACGGAAGTTATGAAAATAACCAGCCAACAACAGCAGCAACATCCAGCGTCAGTCACCATCAGTGGGAGGGATTTGAAAGAGGTTACTTCATTCACTTATCTAGGAAGCATTGTCGTTAAGACAGGAAACCAATCTGGAAATCTTCGTCGCTCAGCCAACATCAATAACAAAATTCGGTCGGATTTTCAATACAAACGTCAAGTCAGTTCTTCTATATGGATCACAAACTTGGTGGGTCACAAAAAATATTTCCAACAGCCTGTTGCAGACCAGACCTTTACCAACAACTGTCTCCGCTGGATCTATACTGAAGATCAGATGGCTGGGCCGGAAAGAATCACTAACAAGAAACTATGGAAGGCAACAAACAAAACAAGAACCAATCGCCAACCAACAAATATGCAGGAGAAAGTGGAGATCATGGATTGGACACTCGTTGAGGCGGCCGGTTTGTGACATCGCTCGTCAGGCCTTCGTTTGGAACCCGAAAGGGAAAAGGCGAGTGGGACGTCAGTGCAAGGGTGACATGGAGGAGATCGTGTGAAGGGGAGGAGTTGAAACAGTATGGACTAACATGGATGCAGGTGAAAAGTACAGCAGAAGGAAGACAGAAGCAAGTGGAGACGTGCAGTTGAAGACCTATGTTCCCCTAGGAACCCAAAGGAACAATTATATATATATATATATATATATATATATATATATATATATAGTATTATATCAGCAAACTGAGTTATTTTGAAGATTTACTATTAGTGTAATTTACTCATGCAACTTTTATATTGTACTTAAATAGCGAATTCTGAAGACGGACCTTGTGAGATAGTATCGTTTCGGGGTTTCTCTACATTCCTCTTACAATTTACATAGGGGTTAATAGCCATAAAATGTTTGATAATTAATTCGTAATATGAAATAATCGGTCCAAATATATTTTAATAGACTAAGTAGTCTGGGGGAGGCAAGCGTTGAAGTCTCTCGTTGTTTTTTTCTTTTTACGTAATTTAGACTGTACGCGATTAATCCAAAGTTGTGCCATCACCTTTTCATAGTCTTGAATTAAAAATTTTTGAAATAGTTGAGAAACAATCATTATTGCTGGGTTTTTTTTGCCAGAAGCTAATAGATATTTGGCAGTGGTTGGATGTTATTCGACTCTTGTTCCGATTAAGTGCATTTTTATTTTTAGTGTGACTTCATCATCAATTAGGAGAGTGTGTGTTGTTCCTGACAATATGGGAACATTCTATCGGTTCTGACTTATTACTACCCTTTACTTTCATATAATTAATTAATTAATTCTTAAACAATTCATTATTTTCAATCATGCTAGTTTAAGTGAAATTATGGGGAAAATGTGTCGGTGGCATAGCGGTAGAGTGCTCGACGACCACGTATGTGGTCCGGGATTCGATTCCCCGCCGACGCACTCCTTTACCCCCCCCCTCCTAAGCCAATAATAGGACTGGTAAAGATGAAAGGTTGGGCATGAGGCTAGCAACCCCATCCTGTAAAAACAGTCAACACTGCTACCGAAACTTCAAGCCTTTAGTTTGAATCCCTATGTTCCACTGGGAACGTAAAGGAATAGGAAAAAATGGGGAAAAGGATATCACCTAATATTTTCGCCCTAAGTTCCTTCATTTTATTTTATCTGTGTGAGTAACTACTTCAAAATATTAGACATATTAATATGGAAGGCAATGGGGTACACCTATTATGAGATGGTTTTGTTATTGTTTTAATTACTTTAGGTTTCAGAACATAGGGATGGGTGGGTACTCAGACTATCGATTTATTCAAAAAAACGTGCATTCGTGACTCACGTATTAATGCTTTCTGATAATCAAAGGACAGCTATAGAGCTCAGTTGATTGTTTCAAAGTTGTATGATACGAAATAAGTTAAAGGGATTTCTCCTTGACTGTCATTGTAGACTAATATGCATATTGCAATAACATAAGGTGAAAAATACTAAAGTTGGTCAAAATAAAGTTAACTTATGCAATTGTGAATCAACTGAGATGGCTTGGTTTATGTGCTATATATGTTTAGCTATAGTCGGGTGTAATATGCATTGGTCGGGTGGAGTAAAGTAAAATAAAGAGTCTATGACGTCCTTTCTGACATACTGCACCAATTCATCAAACCATCATATACGAGAAATCGCTGGTTGAAAACTTTTATTGATTGGACCATCTGGTGCAAACCGGCCACAAAGCCAGCGTGGAAGAATCCTTCTCTATATAATCTACCGGGTGCCTAATAAATTGCTGAAATCATCGAAGCGCCGCATGCTCCAAACAGCAGAGACTATTCCAATTCGCCTCAAACAACCAGTGCTCTGTGTTCAAAAGAAGCAAGTCCGGTCCCTACTACTGCCCTGGCCGGCCTTCAGTAAAGACTATAAATCCATGAATTACCTAATTTTCCTGACATTCAGCTTAGTTTATGTTGATGATACTGAGCTGTAATCTATCAGTATTATTGATTTGATGTTATTTAAACATTAATGTCGTTCATAACACTAATTCATTCATTCACTATAATGTATGTGTAAATGTAGAGCCTGATGAAGAAGGGGTTATCGAAAAGAGTACTCTTTGTTCAGTATGCATCATCATTCCCCCTTGGGTTCCGAATGTAATATACGGTTTCAGCATTACATCTCCATTTCACTCTGTTTTGCTAGCACCATGACCACTAACAAGCTTCCTCTTCAAATGATCTCCATGTCACCCTCAGGCATCCGACTCGTCGCTGCCAATTTGGGTCCTATTCGACACCCCCCTCAGTATCTGCACAAGCCGTCTCCATTTCTTCCTGCATACTTTTCGGACAATAAATTCTTTACTACTAGTAAAATGCCTTAATTCTTTATTACTCATCGTTTCCAGTCGACCATATGATCTTCTGTATCGAGCGAAGACAATTAGTTAATAATGGAAACCTACAGCCTGTTAGAAATGCTTTTTGCACTGCACCAAGTTCCCTGAACCAATAGAGAAGCACTAAGTGACTGGGCTGACTGACTGACTCAACATCGAAGTTAAAAATTCAGATTTTATTCGTAGTGCTGAGTACAGTAGACATCTCCACATTAATATCAAAGTAATGAATGCCAGTCTTGCGTCTCCTATCCTTTTTAAGCATTTTTATTGGAGTTATTTATTTATTTATTATAATTGAATCACTTTGTTTTGTATTAATAACTCTTATCCGCCTTTCTGTACTAGAATGTCTGTATGATACGCAGCAGAAACAAACAGGAGTGTATTGAAAATATGTGTACTCACGTAAAACAGTTCATATTTATATGTATTTCATTTCAAATTTTTTTTTTATTTATACAGTTTTCACATTCTAATCAATCTGTCCAATCAGAAAAATTCAACAATCTAATTAATTCACTTCATGCTAAATTTCGTCCACGTTGTTCTACAGATGAAGAAGCTATTGATGACAAAGACTTAAAAGATTTACATCATTCAAAACAACAAGCTGCTGAAGGTTAGTCAATACTTGTTTTTATCTCTCTTATGCGAATGAATAAACATGAATTTTACAGGAATATACTCTTCGATGTGGAGCATGTGCGTCTCTTTCCCTTTTGTGTTAACCATTTTTAGATGGACAAATTGCTAACACAATTTATTAATGACTACCGGTAGAATATTGGGGCGTCGTCTGACGGTGAACATGGAAGAGCAGATGAGTGATTGTGGGCATTCAGGGGTGGGGCGCAGGTGGAGTTGACTTGAAGAGGACTGCAGAGAATGGAGATGTCTCACTGAAGTTTTATTTTCCAATAGGAACCCAACGGAATAATAATATTCCGGTACAATATAAATATGCCTTTATATTGGACTCTAGTTAGTAAGCAGTGTAATGTATCTAGTCCATTTTTTGTCTCAGACTGAATCCTATCAGTCAAGTTTGCAATGTAGCCACCATTCTAGGTGGCTCGCCATCACGACACACTTCGGATTGTTGATTGATAGAATTCAGTATGCACCAAACAAAGGACTAGACACATTGTACTAGTTTCCACTCAAAAGTATCCAATACAATCAGTTCTGAAGGAGGTCAGTCGTGAGCCCGAATAGCTCGGTGGTAACATCTCTGACTGCAGTATTGGGTGATGCAAGTTCGAATCGCAGAAGAGACATGACTCCCTTGCTCATAAGTGCCAACTACCACGAAACCTAGGTTCAAAGCTTCTTGCCGATTGCCTCCAACCATCTTATATCAAGAACATGATAAAAAAACAATAACAAAGCTTAACCTTGAGAAAATCACCAACCAATCATGGCAGACTTAGCGTGTGTAAATAGGATTTGCAGATATATGGCTTAACTTTCTAAGAAACGTTCACAAACAGTACAGAATAACCTTCAGCAAGAAAACAACCAATCAGAAGACGTTGCTTCTCTACTAACAATAACGCTAATAATAATGTACATAAAAATCTATAAATACCTCTTGATTTTCTCAGTAAACCATCTGTTGCCTAGCCCTTGTCTACTGTCAAACTCAGCTTCATAGACTTCTTGAACTTATGGATAATCGTCACATATGTTCCAAACTTAATGTTTAGCGTGTTTTTTGGCAGAGAATTCTACATTATTCGTTTGTTTTAATCAATGAAACATCCAATTGAATCTACTCTGTCCTTACGATCATACCTTTTCTTGTGCTATGGTTTTTAGTTGACTTATCTTTCCTCAGGTCATGATATCAGATACACTGTACTTATGGAAGTCAGTATGCATTGAAAGTAAAATCAATAAAGCTTTCCTCTCGGTGAATAATCTGCTGTTTTTGATTGCTTCTGTTCAGGTAGCATCAATACTTACCGAAAGTACACTTTTTTAAATTAGACAACCATTTGATAAAGTCGCCTATGCAATTGAATATGAGCCTTTATTTATTGGTCCTAGGGTTTCAATTACCAACTTATTATGTTATTGAAACAGTTGGTCCCTTTTATATGTTTAAATAAGACATTAGGAAGAGAAATCACTGAAACTCGCTCTACCTACTTAGGTTTATGGAGCCAATATGTGGTCCTAGCTCACACATACACACACTATAGATATAGTTTTGAGCACCATTGAAGTTGTAAGATATTTTGAGCCCCTCTTCTACTCATACTACTATTTTACTTTGCACATGTAGTTTTAATCTCCCTTTCGTGTCATTTTTCCCATCTTTCTCAAGATTCTGTTTAATGTGGTTACTAGTTGTTTAAACTTACTGTAACCATTTTCTTAGACAAGGTCATAATTAATCTAGGTATTCAGGTGTGTCAACCAGAGGCGGATACGGACTTCTTTTATGTTATAAACACCTTTGACTTTTAGACTACTCATAATCGTTAGCACATTCCAGTCTGTTTTTCACACACTTTTGATCAGCGAAACTCTCCTACCAGTACTACTGGACTATTCATTAGTTAGTAGCTTTGTAAAATCGCTTATAGCAATACACTTAATGTAATTCCCATATTTCCCAAAATGGTCGTTTCACTTTTTATCATGTTCATTTTCCTTTCCTTCAGCTGTTCTTAATTCTGTATTATCAATGCGTTTAATGCAAACAGAAGTGGATCATTCACCGTTAGATTATATAACCGACTGGCATCAAGGTATGCTATTTTTGTCTTTTGTTGATTGATTACTTCACATACACTCCACATATATAGCTATTTCGATAGAATTCTAAATGATTAATAAAAGTTTGTTCACTAGTAAAACGGTGCTTCAGTCTGTTTTGCTTGGAGTTCTGTTTTTCTGCACACCTTGTTTTTAAAATTTATGATGTGCTCTTCTTCGTGAGTAAATTTAACCGTCAGTATTTATAGTTGCTTCACTCAAGCTACGATATATGAAAGTTCCCTCATGAAAATCTTGTCATTTGCCTCTCAACTATTGAGGCATAGATTGTGTATTATGAATTCCACTCCTACTAAGGCATAACATTTCGAGCAGTTGAGATGTTGACTTCACACTCATATCCTCTCTTGCTTTGGTGTGCTTTGAATATGTTTCAAAACATCTCTACATTAATTGCTTGCTGGATAAGCAACCATTGTCATTTGTCTATTCCTTACTATTGGTGCTGATGGCATGTTATCCGTCAAGTTCACAATGTTGTTACCGAGCTAGGTGTATAGCTGATATCTCGGTACAAAGTAAATGAGTTCTAATTAACTAACTAATGAGCTTCCACCTCCTTGAATCGTCATTGCTGTGCTCTTTGAATCGATGTTATTTTCAAATTCAAAGAAATGGAAGTTTTTATGCGTCTGTAACTTCAACACTGGGTTCGAACGTCGAGGAAGAAATTCGTGTTGGTTTGCAGGGATTTGATTGGTTATTGGTTTCATCACGAGTGGCATTCGGTTAGAGGACCATTTGAAAGCCTAGGAGTACTGAACAGCTGTTTTGTTTTAGTTTGGGACTCTTCATCAGTATGCTCCTACTTAGGTTTCAGCCCAGTATCTTCCGGTTATAAAGTGAGCTCGTAGATCATTCAGCCACTGAAACTGGACCTAATAGCCGGCGCATGAATTCCAACTTCTGCCGGTCCGCGAAACTGCAAACCAAGACTTGATAATTAATCTTATGTTAACTAGTGTCTGGCTCTATACAGGAAGTTACCTTCGAGTTCTAGTGAGAAGTTGTAACCAGCAAGGTCCAGCAAGTCAGATAAGAGATCACAAACTCACCTATGTCATTGGCTGGCTGTTGCGGTAAATGTATATCGCTTTCTTATTTCTTTGGTTTTATTTCTGCTAATCAGTTCAATAATAACCCCTTTTTAGTGTGTGTTCATCGTTTTCGATTCACTCTTTCCAAGTGGTTACTAGACTGTTCCGTTTCCTATTTGATAGTGCTTATCATTTTGTTGGTGGAGATATGGTTCATTGGCTTAAGGACTTGATTTCCAGTTGATGGGTCACGGATTCCAACTCTCCTCCATCTATTTCACCACGGGGGCAACTCGGTTGTATCATTAGTCCTCACACCATAAGTGTGACTATTATCCGGGTACATAAAAATTCACTTCCAGGTAATTGAAGCTAAATGGCATCACTTTGTTGAATTATACACCCTTCTAATTATCAAAATACTGGTCAGTAATAGAGTAGTGTGTCATAAGGGTGGCAGTTATCTTAAGAGAGGAACTATTTTACTTTCATTTGAGTTTTCCATTCGAGTGATTAATATACCGTTGAAACTGCTAAAAGCAAAGTTTCTTAATGGTCTATGTGTTTTTTTCTACCCTACCTAGACTCTAGTTCACTTTCAATGCTACCGGTTAATGAACATTTATTAGTTTATCTACAGAATTACGATTCCAATCAAGTAAGCAATACTGTGCAAATCACATTATAATGTATTCTTTTTAATAAACTTAATCATCTCATGATTCCTTATACTCATTTGTTTGGGATGTTTTACGGATTTGCTTTTACGGAGGAGATCTCTTGTGTTATTGGGCTTTCTTTTGTGGAATACATTTTTGATTGAACTAGGTTTTTCACACGCATTTGTCCTAAGAGAATAATGATTGAATATGGAATGATTACCCTGATTTGTGACAGGATTTTGACCAACATTCTTAGAATTACAGGATTTCATCATGAGCTGATATTGGTCGGAGGAACCATTGGAAAACCACCTGGGAGTACTGGACAGCTGTTTCGTCAGCCTAGTTTGGGACTCTTCACCGCGACGCACCCACCGGGGGTCGAACGCAGGACCTTCTGGTTACAAGGCGAGCTAGCTCTTATACTATTAAGCCACTGGGACCTGATCCAATATCCCATGAATTCTAACTTCTGCCAATTCACGATATAGCGCAACCCCTAGCCAATGTCTTCGGCGAGTATTTGTCCTCACACCCGACCTGGTGCACCCTACTGGTCATGACTTCTAATGTCATCTCATGATAAAATCCTGTAACCAATCAAATCCCCCTACAAACCAACACTTGAATTCTTAGAATTATTAGCTGAATTGTTTTGTTTGACATTACTAATCTTATGCTCACATAATTTGCCCAATGACGGTCCAATTATCTAACAGGGTTGTAAGATAAATGTCGTGTTTTAGCTGGAAATCTCCAAGTTTTGAAGTCGCATGATACAGCCTAAAATGCTTCCATATATTCTCGTGAGATTTGTCGGAAGTGTTAAATATAGGTTGGATAACAGACTGTAACTCTTAAGTGTCAGTGGTTTAGTGGTGGAATACTCGTCAAACATGGACATGTTTCGGGGTTCGACCCCTGACCGATTGACTCTTCAGCCTCTCTTTGCGGGTAAAGTACCTGGTAAAGAGAGAAGGTTGGGTGTGAGGATAACAACTCTACTCGGTACGAAAAAAAACAGGAAGAAAAATCTTTGGCGTAACCGTTGAATAGTTGATTTGATTTGATTTACTTCGGCTATCTCCTACGGGAGGATGAGCCGGCTTCATGAACGTCTCGAATCATCGCTGCCCAGGCGCGACAATTTGTAAGAGAGTTCATGAAGTTTCATGGGAATTTGGTACGAGTGATGTCCCCAGAATCGCTCGGCCTTTTGTTTGAGAGTGCAGCTCTAGCCTTTACACAGCCAAGTGTGACCTACAAGGCAGTAGGAGTGGAGTAAGGAGTCCACTATCCATTGGAAGCCGGTGACCGGAGTTCGGTTCATACGCCTTTTTGAATGGGGCCAGACATCCAGGACATCCAACAAGCCCTTTGTCCATACGTCTGCCGGTGAGCTTCATACGCCAGTCGTTGGAGGTTTGGAATCAGGGTTCAGCCATCTCCCCTAGACTATCATCCAATGGACAGTCAACCCGGTGGAGAGCGCCGGGTATCCGCTTTCGCCCTCTCACTTTGGTGAGAAACACCTCCGCCACGTGAAGGCAGTGAGTAGGACTTCCTTAGGAGAGGCTATGTAAGACGCCCGGTCATATGGGAGCATTTCAGGAGGTGTGCGGAGGGGTGGCCAACCCCCAGCGTTGAATAGTTGCCCGAAGGTGTATAGATAGAGAGGCTGTATTGTTATCAAAGTCCCTCATTAGTTCCTTTTATTTCACTAGATCACTGTTGAATGTATATATATGTTCCTAATCGGGTGTTTTCCTTTTCTTCTTTTATAGGTGATTTATGCGTTTTCTCGTCTACGAGCAATTCTACGCATAGCACCTGGTTTATTTGTTCGTTCACTTGCAATGTGTACAATCAATTCCTTGTCGTGTTTCAATTTCTATGGTTTGAATTTTATTGAATTACTATCTAGACATCGTCGTTCATTAGGCGGTTGGAATTTCTATTTACCTGCTAGTGTAGATGAATTGAATTTTTCTTTACAAATATATACAAACTTATTGGAATTAATTATAGATTTATGCTTACAATATATGTGTAGTTATCTGCCTTATATTACAACAACTACAACTAATACGGACACTGCTAATCCTGCTAACGTTACTTCTACACTCTCAAATACAAAATCATCTGTAGATGGTGTTGACAAAGCAACTGTTAACTTTGGTCATCGTCACGGCTTTTCAAAACGTGAATTTCGTGCTAATCAATTTGTACAAAATACAGCTGCACAAATTTTAGAATTAATTGTTAAAGTAAGTCAGCTATTAATTAATGCGTTAATTTATTAATTTTGATTAGCATTAATTCGGTCTTTAGTATGATATCTTTTTCAAGTGTTGATTTAGAAAGATTTAGGTGATTTCAGGATTGTTCATGAACTAACTGACTTTGTAACAACAGAAGACAAGGGCCAGGCAACAGATCGTTTTATTACGGAAATCAGCACGTATTTATACATATTTCACGTACATTATTATAGCTTATTCAAGCAGACAAACACAGTCTTCTGATTGGTTGTTTCTTGCTCAAGGTTGTTCTGTACTGCTTGTGACTGGTTACTCGGAAAGTTAAGCCATCTATCTGCGAATCATATTTGCCCACGTTAGGTCTTCTGTGATTGGTTGTTGAATCAGTCTTGTTCATATTTTCTCACGGCCAATATTGGCGACATAGACATTGACGTAAATTAATGTCTACCAATTGGCTAGCGGCCTGCTCTCAACACAGCTTCAGTTGGACACTAGGGAGTACTAGTGCCCGCCAGCAGGATGAAATTGCCTGAAGTCCTAGTGGGAAGTTGTGAGCAGTGGAGTCCACTAAGGTAGGTGAAAATGAGGACAAATACTCTTCGACACCATTGTCTGGAGTTTGTGCTATATGTCGAAAATCGGCAGAAGTTAGAATCCATGAGACATAAAATTCCATATGATTGGCTGAAATGATCAAAGTGCTCGTTTCGAAACTCGAAAGTACTGTGAAGCGATTCTTTGTGGGGTTTATGGGGGTGTAATGCTGAAGATTTCCAAGGTAGGACTAAGCATTTCTCTCTGGCTTGGGAAGTTCCTTTAACTTAGAGTCATTCCATAATCAAACTTAATGTCACATTCTTGCCTCGAAAAAATGGTGTATATTACAAATTTTAAGATAGGAATGAATCAGTGAAATCACTGAAATTACTTATTAACTCTTTCTATTTCTGATTTCCATAGCTTATCTTCTTACTTCCCTTTTTTTCATTTGATTTCTCTAAGAAATAACTCTTCTGAGTTCTACTCACCGTATTACATCATCGTCACCTTTGCATTTGACCTTCCGCACACCGAATTTTAATCTTTTATCTAACTATGTGATTGTTAGTATTTTTGTTACCAGCCTAACAACAAATTTGTCAAGAAACTTGTGGCTAAATAGATTGAGATGGCTAGTTCACGTGGTGCGCATGCCTAACCATCGCCTCCCCCGACGGGCATTACTAGTTGATATAGGTGCAGGTTGGAAAAGAGTAAGTGGTGGCCAAACAAAAACATGGCATCAATCCATGAAATCCTTGACAGTTAAACTGAGTCAGGTAGGGAGATGCAGACTTCCGGGTTGGGGCTAGACAAAAGTATGTCGAAATTGTACACTGACTTATTTTATTAAGGATTGTCGGTTGTATGCAGCTGATGAGAACTGACGACATAAAATGTATCCGTGTTATTCTCCGCCAGTGTTTTCTTTATCTTTCTGTACCCAAATGTATGAAAAGGAATTCGTGTATAAAGTCACTGCAGTTAACTACTAAGATAAAAATGCTAAAATTATTGCTCAGTAGTAATTCAGTTACTCTAGAATTAAAAACTCTTTTACAGCATACTTTGACTTCGTAATAGAGAAGATTTGTAGCTTAGGTGAACTTTCTGTCATGACTACTTTTCAACATAGTATCACAACTCATTTATCTAAGTCAGTGAGTAACAAGTTCTAACCTTACTTTCACCTTACGATAAGATGTATGAATATCCAGAGGTTATCATTCGATTTCACCAGGTAGATTTCGATCCGCTACTGTGTGGGTATATATCCATATAAGAGTCAGTGTTTTGCATTCATGTAATGATGGGCAAGGTAAGGAAACTGGCTGCACGAATTTCTTCTGAACGCACAAGTCCGGCTTCCGTAGGTGTGGATTCCGACTGTCTGATCTGTACGTAAAAGATGAACTCGTAATGGAAAAGCAATATTGGTCGGAATACGATATATGCTTTATTAATATTAGCTTTGTGCTGATTATTCACAAGGTGTGCTAAAAAACAGAGCTTTGAATAGACCTTGTTTTGTCGCTCGCTTAACTATGCAGGACAAGTGTGTCTTTTAAGTATTTGAATGGGTTCTTTTGCCTTTAATGGATTAATGGGAATATTGAAGAAGTGCTTGTTGCTTTCGTTGGTTCTTTTGTCTCCTATCTTGGGAGTGTAGCACATCAGTTTACTTTCAGTGGTTGTGAACTGTACATCATCATTTTTTCAGCCTTGTTTTTAGGTATATTCGGTTAAAATATAATATCACCAATATACTACTATTTTAATGAAATAAGTATTTATTTATTTATTCTTATGCATTTTAGGAATTGATATGTATACAAGGTGAATGTATAAATTCTTCTTTATTAAAAGGGAATACTTCTTCAGCGAATTTATCAAATGCTAAACAGCATTCCTCTTCAGGTGGTGTACGAAATTCAGAATCTTTATCATCTTCATCAATGTATTCATCATCAACACATCCTGCTTCATTACTACATCAAGCTAATGAACGTCGTCTTGTACAGAATACATTGTATCGTACTTGTTTACCATCGGTGGTTCTGCATTGTCTAGCCTCTTGTGTAACAAAAGTACATTGGCCTAAAAATAATAAATTATGGTCTGATTATACAACCTGTAGTGGAATAAGGTAAAGTTTGTGTTTTCAATATGTATGTTTTATCTTTTTCTTAATTGTTTCTTGTATAATCATAACATACCTGAAAGTATGCATCCCCATCCCTGTAGAGGAAGGATTATGATTAGCAATAGGCACACTATATGTGCCATTCACGAACCACAAGTAGATGTGTACACTAGATGACTAAACACTACTAAGTCACAAAATTATACCGTTTCGACTGCATATTAAACTGGTTGAAAGTCGAGTGTTGGCACCAGAGAGCACTTCTGAGACTTGCTATTCGTCTATTTTACTCATAATTGATTGATAAAGGTGTCTATTTCAGAATCAACACCACATATTTGTAGAAACTTTCCTTCTTAAAAGAAATATCAAAAATGTGTTTCCTCTCTTTATAACTTTAATATATATATCAACGTCGGTTACCGTAACAATCACTTCTCGATTAAATAATTCATCTCGAAAAGCATAAAGGTGTATAATTACCTGTTTATTGACTTATTGTCTAATTTGTGTGCCTATTATTAGTTGCTATCAATAGCAAATAATTGAAAAAAAGTGTTTACATTGCTCCATTATGGATAAGATTTTGATAAATCACACAGTGTTATAGAGTAATATTAACTGATGACGTTTTGAATACAAACTATTGCTTATAATACTGCATTTTTCCTGACCACCAAAATGAGGAATTTGTAATAAAATCATGTAAGACTGATGGAAAAAATGGTAATGAAATGTTACCGAGCAATCACTTGCTGCTATTCTATACACTTAGCAATGAAGCCTCACCTATTGTGTATAAGGACAAATAATACTTCGTAGCATCTCAAACCTACGTAGATGGAGCGCTATTCGAACCCGTGTGACCCACCAGTTGAAGTCGAGTACCTTGATCAGTCAGCTACACCTCCGTATGTAAGACTTATGAACCGTCTGTATTGATCACTTCTATATCTTTAACTACTAGAAATTTCAGTTTTGACCATGTATTGACATCGGTTAGAGAACCATTGAAAACCAGGGAGTACTGGACAGCTGTTTCGTTTCAGTTTGTGACTCGTCGGCAGTACGCACCCACCGGGTTTTGATTTCAGGACCTTCTGGTTACAAGGCAAGCTCGTAGACTGTTCAGGCACTGGGATGCAACTTCCTTTGTAACTGAAAAGTGCTGGGTTCTAACCTGATAGGGTGCGTACCGCCGATGAGTCCCAAACTGCGACGAAACAACTGTCCAGTGCTCCTTGGTTTTTAGTGGTTCTCTAACCAATATCAGTCTGTTGGCAAACTTGAAAAGCAAATCAAATACCTACAAAGATATTATAAATTCGTTATTTCCAAATGAATGAGAAAAAGAACGATATTGTTTTCACTGACATTCCGCTATTTAGCATATTCTATCTAAGCAGTTTCTACTACGTAAAAATGTATGTTTTTTTATAATTTACGCACTTATCGAATCCAACAATCTGCATATGTCTGCTTTATTCATTAAGTCATTTACTCCGCAGCACAGAATTACGTTATACAGGAGAATAATGACCGATTTATATATATATATATATATATATATATAAACTGAATTTTTGTAAATTCTGCTTCGATAATAAATGTATTAGTATCATTAAGTGGCGAAATGTCAGTGAAGAAAAGCTACTACCGTTTCGCTTTTCACTCATTAGGAAATACAAATTTCTAATTATGATGAACATTAGCTTACTCGATGACCAATTTGTTTCTAAGTTGGTGAATCTGAACTTGCTTTGAACATTATAATTCTACATACATCCCCTTTTCACTTCGTGCTATTCCTACCAAATACTTAGATTGTCTAACATCATTGCTAACAGCTTCAAGCACGTCCGTGTGAAAGTGAAGGACAGTCAATCTTTTAACACTTAGCTTATAGAAATGGTCAAAGTTGTAGATTTTTCTCTATTATCAACAAATTTCATAATTCTATTATTAGCTGACATCGGTTAGAGAATCATTAGAAAACCTACAGGGACCACTGGACAGCTGTTTCGTCAGCCTAGTTTGGGATTGTTCATCAATGCGCACCCACCAGGGTTCGAACCTGGTCGGGCATGGGGACAAGTACTCGCCGAAGACAAAGGTTATTATTCGCTCTATATCATGAATTAGAAGAGGTTGGAATTCATGGACCATTGGACCGGGTCTCAGAGGCTCAACGGCCTCTGATCTCGTCTTGTAACCGGAAGGTCCTGGGTCCAAACCGTGGTGGTGGGTACTGATGAGGAGTCCCAAACTAGGCTGACGAGACAGCTGTCCAGTACTTCCCGAAGGTTTTCCAATGATTCTCTAATCTATGTCAGTTCCTGATGAAATCCTGTAACCAATCAATCAAATATCCTTATAAACCAATACTCAAAATTTAGTAATGTTTGCCTTTGAAGCACACTGGCGGTCGTCTGCTTAGACTACAAGACTAATTAAATTCCCGTCCAGCATAATTCATCTACTTTTCTCCACTTTTTGTTGTTTGAAGCACCTGAGATCGTAACAGGAATTCATTCAAGTTCTCAATCGGCTTTTGATCTACCACTATGAACTTCAAGAAGAAAATAAGGGGAAAAGGTTGTAGGGGATTGAGTGTATTTTTCAAATTTACGTTATACAATATTATTGTCGATGAATATTTACTTGAAAATTCTGTGCGGAATGTAAATATTTTGCAAGAAATTATGCTGAGGATTCTGTATTGTGTGTGCGTAAACAAAAATTTCCAGAATAAAGCCGATAATATTCTTATGAAATTTTCTGATACTTGAATTTACTTTCACAGCTGTATTGATTCTTCATTGCTCTTTAGTTTATTAATATCAACCCACTAAAGTCTTTGATCATACAAGTTATTTTCCCTCTTGATTATTTCTTCTTTGGAAAATGTTTGTTATTCTTTATTCAATGTATTCCTTGACAAGTTTCACTGTTGTTGTCATTCATCAGTATGACTTTCTAACCATCCTTTAGTAAAGCAGATTATTTAACCTCTTGTCGTAGTTAGAGAGAAAAATATATCCATGTTGTGTATTTTTGCTTCTTGTGCGCTGTCAACATGCTATTATTCTTTCGCATCCTCGCAAAAAGATATTATAAGGCTGGATTTTCAAAATTCAATATTTGACTATCTACATTAATTATCCGAATGGATTCCATTCAGACTTCATGATGCGTAATAATTATATGCTGAGTCTTTGCCTGAACCATACGTAAACAAATAGTTGTCCGCATAAATTATCTGTTATGACCGAGAGTGGGTAATGGTCTGTCTTTTTGCTAGAAATGCCATCATCTGACCACGCTTCTTCCAGGTAAATTCTGTTCACTGCCTTCACCCGATGGGGATGTTTTTTTTACAAAAGTATAAATGTAGACATATGGCTATTACAACCCGACTGGCGGATATGTTGGTCGACCTAGAGGAGCTGGAGAACCCTGATTGCAAACCTATGGTGAACTTGAGCCCGAGAATATGAAAGGAAAGAAATGTGTATGAATCTATTTTAGTCACTGAGATCCATGGGAACGTAGCTCCTGATACAGCTCCACTGTCTTGTGGATCCGACTTGAAGTGAAATGCTTGGGGGGGGGGGGGATTTCTCCCTTGTGAAAACCACCTGCTTCTGTCCGGGCCTCCAGGTGTTTGGAACATCTTCTAGTGCCTATAATGTCCAAGTTTGTGTCGAAGTAAGTAGAATAACACAAATTGTATTTTACAATACGAGAAGTAGAAAGTTTATTCTGCATAGTAATTGTTTTTGTTCTTTTGTTGTGTTTATTTTTTAATATTTAGGAAGCTGCCTACCTGTTTACAATTAGTTCTTGTGAATGATTTACTATCCAACTTACCAAACACCTTTTATACTACACAACTACAAATTCTGTTGAAACTATTCAATAGAATACTTCATTTAAAACCATGGTACGGTTATACTGATCGTATGTCAGTGGTGAGACAGAATCCATCATCAACAGCGACAACAGCAGCAACAACAACAACGACAGAGTTATTCTACAACAGTTTATTATGGCCAGTCTTTCAAAATATTCTATTGGATAATGAATCAACCAATTATGAGTCACCAGTTAATTTTATACCAGATATATGGTCTAAAGCTTGTAATAAACTGCCTAGATCGCTTAACTGTGAACCATTGTTCCGTACGAATTGTCTGACTGCACTTTGGTTTATTCCGAAATGTTCAAATCTGGGCAGTGAAAAAGATCAAGCTAGTTTATTCACAGAACTACTGTCTATTGGTTTGTCTTCACCACCTGAACACCTAACCGATTATGGAAGTACTCCAAGCTTTCTTACAGCACGTTTAGATTTACATCCGTTATGGTATCGTTTTATATTTAACAGTTTATCATATTGGGGTTGGTTTGTTGGACCATTGGTTCGTGTGACTATGAAGCAAGTCTGTTTAAGTTTAAATAAATTCTCTGATCGAGCTTTAAATGATATACAACAGCGAAATGCTACGAGGTGAGATTTTTATATTTTCTGCTTTATTCATTTTTCAATTTTCTCATCCAAGTTGGTTTTCACACTTTAAAAAAATGATAACCTCAATGATGATGGTTAATCTAGAAAGCATAACAAGCACTCAATGGTGGGGGCACTATGGTCTGTGTGTGTATTCAGAGACTTGGCGTGTCACCAAAAACCTTCCCATCTGGTTTCAGACTTTTATCACAACAGCTACCTTCGCTTTACACTGAGGAACAGATAGTCGGCTAGAAAAATTAAACAACTAGGAACTCTGGGAAGTCGTGACCGGTAGGGTGCAGCAGGTCGGGTGTGAGGACAAATACTCGCCGAAGACATTGGCTAGGGGTTGCGCTATATCGTGAATTGGCGGAAGTTGGAATTCATGGGCCATTGGATCGGATCCCAGTGGTTTAATGGTATAAGAGCTCGCCTTGTAACCAGGAGATCCTGGGCTCGACCCTCGATGGGTGCGTCCCGGTGAAGAGTCCCAAACTAGGCTGACGAAACAGCTGTCCAGTACTCCCAGGTAGCTTTCCAATGGTTCCTCCAACCAATGTCAGCTCATGGTGAAATCCTGTAACTAATCAAGCACCTATTGCTGGACAAATATCCCGAAGAAAATGGAGATGGATTCGACACACGCGGAGGAGACCGTCGAGTGAACCCGAATGGGAAACAACGAGTTGGGCTTGAGTCTAAGGGTGATATGGGGGAGATGGAGGCCATGGGTAATCGTGGGGCCGTCTAAAGACGACTACTGCAGAGAACAGGATGAAATGAAGAGGTTCTACTGAAGTCCTGTGTTTCACTCGGAACCTAAGGGGGGGGGGGAATAATAAATAATAGAATGTAAATAAATATTAGTGGTTGTCAAGTAAGTCTGTTGCTAATCTGAAAGCGATTGTCACTGTGTTTTTAGGGGCAGGATGCAACACTGGATCATGACAGCAGACTTCAGCAAATGCCTACCTGCCCGCCTGCCGGATATGAAATGAACACATTGATAGTTACTAAACAAACTAAATTGGTTTGTCCTTCAGGTTCTTTAAACGGTTTTCTTCTGTTTTAGTAGATTACAGTTGTGTATTTAGGGTCAAGTCAATCTTTTGAGAACAAAAGCTATAAGCATTTTAAGTAAGTAATATGACAGTTCACTTTCTTATGAGGGAAATCTAAGTCAGTGTAATGCTTTCCCCATGCAAACTGTCGCTGTCAAAACGGTGGATAAATTCGGATGTATATTTATTTGTTCATATCCTATTAGGGTAACAAGCGGAATCAGTACACAACTGCAGAGACCAGACGTGTGTAAGCAGTACACAATGTTTATATTGCTTACTGTGAAAGTTCATGATTTTTTTGTTTGTTTTATTTTTACTTCAAATAGAGAATCACAAGTATCCAGCAATGCGGAATGGGCTCTTATACCACCTGATTATACTTTAATTTCATTGGCTTTAATTCAAGGAATTTGTCATGCATTTCTTCTCCCTGGAGGTAACGCTGTTTTATCCGCATTGTCTTTATCTCGTAAAGCACATTCACTTCAAACAACCAATTCATTACGTGGTAATCCACTTGGTGTTAGTTACTTGTCTGGTCTACCTGATTCAATTGAATGTGCTGTAGAAATTGCTGAAATACTCAATCATCATAAATTGAATCCTGGTAATTCTAGTGGAAATTATTCTACAACAGAAGTGACTAATAATATTGTTCCAGTATTCGATCCTTTATTCCCGTCTCCTTTAACAGAGAATGTAGACAATTGTTCAAATATAATAATACATCCAACTGGTGTCAATGCCTCCATGAATAATGGTACTGCAACTAATGAACCAGCTGTTATTTTAAATTCTGGAAATAATGAAGATAAACTTGAAACAAAAGAAGCGCCTATTCATTCTCCGAATACAACTGTAATCTTTCTCAATCGTGTAAAAGTATGTATATGCATTATTGTTGATATATAGCTATTTATCTGATTAAATTACTTCCTTAAGCATACTCTTCGAATGATTGGACAGCCTTCTAATTATTATTATTATTATTATTATTATTATTATTATTATTATTATTATTATTATATCCTTTAATTCCTTGAGGAACATAGGGCTTCAGCTGCCCATCTCCATTGCCTTCGGTTTTCTGCCTACTCTTTCACCCCGCTCCAAGTCTGCCCATACGCTTTCATCTCCTTTTCACATGACCTCCTCTAAGTCACCCTTGTACTGACGACCAACTCGCAGCTTCCCTTTCGGGTTCCACTCGAGCAATGGCTTGTTAGTGATGTCACTCACTTGATGGTTTGTTTCCTCAGAGTATGGCCAATCCATCTCCATTTCTTCCTGCCTATTTGTTTCACAACCGGTTCCTGGTTGGTTCGCTCTCAGAGATTCCACCCTGTTGTTGATCTTTTCTGGCCGGCCATCTGATCTTGAGTAGTATTGAGCGAAGACAGCTGTTAATGAAGGTCTGAAGTTAGTTAGACAATAACAAAATCACAACAGTATGTCGTATTAGCGACAGGTATTAAAGAGTCGAACGCCGCATTTCACTTCTTAGGTGTGATGCTCGATAGAACAGAGGACGGCACCTTAAAAAGGCTGATCTACCGAAAACCAACATTTATAGTTCTGTATACTTATGTCAACAGTTGGACACTTCTAGGCAGGAAGCGAATTCTTATCCGTTCTCTATGCTCCAGAATTCGGGAAATTCTCTCTGTAGATACGGTCGACTTAGGATTAGAAAAAATTCGCACAACTGTCTTGAATAATGGATATCCCAGAAGGTTTATCGATATAAACATCAAGAAGGAAACCGTCCTCAGCTAAATCACAGTGCTGAAGAAGATACTGTTTATGAGTTTGGCTTTCAAATGTGACAGTATTTCTGAAGTAGTTAGAACGCTGTTTTTATGCAGCTGACTTACATTTAGTACTTTTACCAGCCGAAATATGATTTTACAATGCATCAAGAATAAACTACCGCTTATATCCACCTCTGTGTGCATCTACTCATTCACATGCTCGTGTGGAACTGATTAAATTGGACGTCGTAAATGTGTTCTCCGTAAACGCGTAGCTGAACACTACCCGGTTCGGTGAATGAAACGTGAGTAAAGGACGACAAAGTCTGTAATCTGTGAACACCTTCTTGAGTCATGTCATTCAACTCCACTTGATTTATTCTTTAAAGTTATCTACAGGACCAAATGTAATCTATCCAAAAGCTTACTTTTTCTCCACTTATGCATAGCTAAAGTTGTAGCTATACATAGACAAAAGTCTTGTGAAACCCTTTTCTTTACCTTAGTTGTAGTAATGTTCTTTTACTTTATTCTATTTTACCACTTGAATTCATTCCACTTCATTTGACCTTCGTCGTGTCTACTGTTATCATCATCACACTGTTAATTGTTTAGACAACACGACCTAAAATTTTAAAATCTTTATACCAGTTTACTTATTTAGTAATATTTAAAAGTTTTGTAATTCATCCACTTCAACTCTACCCCTTTTTTCATTCCTTCACATTCCCAATGGAACATATAGCTTCAAGCTAGAGGCTTGAAGGTTCTGTAGCAGTGTTTAATTTTACAGGATGGGGTTGCTAGCCTCATGCCCAACTTTTCCGTTCTACCAATCTCACTACTGGTTTATCGAGGTAAAGGAGTGCGTCGGTGGGGGATCGAACTTCGGACCATATGCATTGCCGGCGAGCGTCCTGACCGCTGTGTCACCAACGTACCTGCCCCCTTACTACATCATTTTAATTATCTTTATTCTTATCGTATGTGCGACATTGACTGAGCAATTCCTGTTGCCACTTACAGTGCCTTTTTCCGTAATAGGAATACGACTGCATAGTTAGCTTGAAAATGAAGTCGTTGAAAAGAGATATTTCTTCGCTAAACAAATGAATTAAGGGGTATATTTTGAGATATTAAGGTCCTATAGTTTATGGATGACTAATTTAGCTATCAACAAATTAGTTACCACTATGAGATGAAACAAACAAACTTCATTAACAGTTGTCTTTGCCCAGTACTCAAGATCAGATGGCTAGAAAAGTTCAGTAACGGGGATCTCTGGCAACGAGCGAACCAACCCAGCAGGAACCGATTGTGAAACAAATAGGCAGGAAGAAATGGAGATGGATTGGCCATACTCTGAGGAAACAAACCATCAAGTGAGTGACATCACTAGACAAGCCATTGCTCGAGTGGAACCCGAGAGGGAAGCGGTGAGTTGGTCGTCAGTACAAGGGTGACTTGGAGGAGGTCATGTGAGAGGAGATGAAAGCGTATGGGCAGACTTGGAGCGGGGTGAAAAAGTTGGCAAAAAACCGAAGGCGATGGAGATGGGCAGCTGGAGCCCTATGTTCCTCAAGGAATTAAAGGATATAATAATAATGAGATGAAACAGGATCTGACTAAGAAAAGGTTAAGGATGATGATCAAACCACCACTGAGTTGCACCGGTTTATTGTTTTGAATCGTTTACTTTATCTAGGTGAGGTTATCACGACGTTGAGAATCAGTGGTTGTTACACTTAATTTGACTTTTGATTGCAGTTGTGTAAATGGTATTCGTGCCTAATTATTTTTGATATGCATCCATATATATATATATATGTATGGTGGTCTCTCTTTCTGTTGCTCTCTCAAATTATTATGTACTCGTCGCCAAATTATTGTTATGTACTCGTCGAGAATTTAATAGTCCTGACGCAAGAAAGACAGAAATCAGAAGACCACTAGGTTTACGATGATACTTCTATTTTCCAAACACAAGGAGAATCAATATGTCACACAAGAGTGTGAGAGCAAAAATATATATGAATGTCCGAACAAGTGTGTGAGCGAATATTCAAAATGAACAAATCAATAGACAGTCTTAACATGATTGGCTAATTATAATGGAGTATCGATACATATATACATAGCGAAATATATGAGACTGTCAAACAAACACACATATTATATATAATATAAGGGGAATATACATTGTTAAAGGAGACAGGTTCATCAAAGTGAAATGGTCACAGACTAAGAGAGCAACAGAAAGAGAGACCACCATATATATATATATATATATATATATATATATATATATATATATGGATACATATCAATTTTCAAATCCCGAAAATCTTCACAAATCTCTATTTAATTGTTCTCTCTTCTGAGAATTTATTTAAGATATTAGTAGAATTGGAGGTTATTCAAGTTAAAGGAGAATGAGTAGTTACGCTGTGTGTACTACTAGTGATTGAATGAATGATATGAATAGTTGGATGCCACTTATGCCAACCAGTAGGGCTTTTCAGAATTCGGTTGGTTTGAACTCATTCTGTTCTCTGAGTTGAGTTAAACAGGGTAATTTGCCGATGTTGTTGGCCACGAACGAGTGATATATGCACTTGGTGTTTACGTCACTTTGATGTGGCTCACCAGCAAGTACTAATACTAATATGGTTGGTGTAAGTGGTATCTGATCATTCTACTCATTCAACCGGTAGCATAGAGCATCCTGCAATCATGCTTGATTGTCATTTATTTTATCAGGCAGATCACGTATCATGATCCGAAAAGTTTCGTTTTCCGAAGGAAACTGTGGTGATATTTCACCTGGGGTTGTGTAAACTGAAAATTGTGAATTCAATTTAAAAATTTGTAATGACTGAATAGTATATGAATGAATGGGGATAAATGTTAGAAGAGTATGGTCGAATTTAAAGTGAAAACCTTTTCCTTTGAAGAATTTGAATAAGCGGTCTCTGGGGTTGCCAGTCGTTGACTGAGCTCCGAGACTGATGTTTTAAATTCACTACGTTCATTGAGCACACTACCCAGATCTTTTTCGATTCAATCAAATCACCTAGAAAACTATCTAGAACTCAGAATTATCACAGAATGTTGGAAGCAGTTGAATAGTTATGTATTCTTCACACGATTTGACAGTCCTGAGCTGCAATCTGTCTTGCGGTAAGTATTCATTCTTTGCCCTTGTCAAACTAATTCCAATCACTTTTCTCCTAGTTCTCTGGATTTATTTTGGTCTGTTGTTTTGAAAACTACTTTTCTTAAATTAATCAGCCGCTTCCTTATTCTCCCCCTAACTCTTTCCCTTCAGAATTCTCAAAACACCAATATCAAAGACGATATTCTAAATCCAGAGTATCATCCTTTTATTCAAGCTCAATCAGAATTACTACGTTTAATGCCTGATATATTCACTAGCCTAGCAACACTATGGAATGCATTCAATCAATCACCGTTAAGTCAATGCATAAGAACAAATTTCTATCAGTCATCTGCTCTATTGATAAATCGTTATCCAGGTTATTCCCTTAAAAACATTTTTTTAAATTGAATTTGTTATCCTTTTTATAGATTTTATTGTAATTGTTTGTAAACAGTTTTCTCAAGTTTTGAGTTATTTTTTTTATACTAAATACGAATTCCGTCTAACCTCCGAGGAGAACAAAATGATATCGCCGTAATGCATTCTTACACATTGTTCTAAATCTTCATATTGCCTTGTTGTAAAGTTATTATTATTGTTCCCTTGGGTTCCTAGTGGAACAAAGGGGTTCAACTGCACGTCTCCATTTGCTTCTGTCTTCCTTCCGCTGTACTTTTCACCTGCATCCATGTTAGTCCATACTGTTTCAACTCCTCCCCTTCACACGATCTCCTCCATGTCACCCTTGCACTGACGTCCCGCTTGCCGCTTCCCTTTCGGCCCGGTTCCACTTGAGCAATGGCCTGACGCGCGCGATGTCACCCAGCGGCCTCCTCAGCCGCGAGTGTCCGATCCATCTCCACTTTCTCCTGCATATTTCTTGGTTGGCGATTGGCACTTGTTTTGTTTGTTCCTTCCCATAGTTTCTTGTTGGTGATTATTTCCGGCCCGGCCATCTGAGCTTCAGTATAGAGCCAGCGAAGACAGTTGTTGGTTAATAAAGGTCTGCAACAGGCTGTTGGAAATATTTTTTGTGACCCACCCGCTATGTTTCTGATCCGCATAGAAGAACTGACTGACTTCACGTTTGTATTGAAAATCCGACTGAATTTTGTTGTTGATGATGGCTGAGTGACGAAGATTTCCAGATTGGTTTCAGTTGGTTGACGAATGTGTTTCTCGCCTTCCCGATTCTCGCTCGATTTTGCATCCTCGTCCGTTTCGACTGCCTGTAGTTGAGACAATGCTCGCTACATAAGTGAATGAATGAAGTAACCTCTTTCAAATCCCTCTCATTGATGGTGATTGACGTTGGATGTTGTTGTTGGTTGGTTATTTTCATAACCTCCGTCTTGTCTATGTTCACCTGGAGTCCTGTCTTCGCCGGCTGCTTCTTCGACCAGTTTGTTGGTCGGTTTTCGCTTGCAAGTCTTCGATTTTGTGTGACATCAAACATAAATCATCCACGCGCGAAACCAGGTCTTCTAGGTTCTTCACGTCTGTCTGTCCAGGATATCCCTGTCTTCTCAGGGTGAATTTCTCGTATAAGATTAACTCATATGTGTTAGATCAGTGAGCTACACATTCACATTTCCATTTAGTCGTGTTGTCCCACCTTATTGACGCATTTTTCACCTCCATACTGGTGGCGTTCTTCTTCAGGATGTTAAAATGAGTATAATAATAATAATATAAAACATCGATTTAAATTTACATATCGGCTCAGTCATATTCTGGATCACGGGATAGCGTTAAGTCTTCAGTCAGTTTAGAATTCAGAACATTTTACAATATTAAAAAATAATATGTCACCAAGTTACTTGCAAAAAACTGTAGATTCGCTTTTACAGTCAGCTATGAATGACGTAATAATATTATAATGCCTTAATTCCTAAGATCTTTTTCACGTAGTCATCAGCAATCTACCTTCTTTAGTTTCTAAGTCGACTATAAAATTACCTATGAAATTGAAACCTAAATGTATCATTTCTTGTCGTTCTTATGTTCGACTGCTTCTTGCACCGTGACTGTAATGGTTTTATTCAAGTGACTTGTCACTGGAGAAATGCAAGAAGTTAATCATGACCGGAATTCACCCTGTGCTAAGATCTGAGTTTGTCACTGATCGACACAGGTTGCAACCATTGAGAAAGGTGACAGGTATACTATGTCGATGAAGACCAACGAACACGAGGCCTAAGTTAAACACAGTTATTTGCTCTCCCTTCTCAAACAAAGGACTAGAAAGCATGACATTAATTACTTATTACCTAGTGTCCAATCAAAGTATCCACTACAGTCCTACAAGAGGTCAACATTTGTTAATCCGAAGAACTCAATGGTAACGGCTCTAACTGCGCCACTGGGTGACGTGGGTTTGAATCTCACAAGGAACATGAGTTTCTTCAAGATTGCATATACACGCCTTGTTGACGAGTGCCGACATGCACGGGAGGTTGGTCGAAGTCTTTGTCCTGATTATCTCCAACCATCTAACAGCAATTCAGAGTGGACTGTAATGAAGAGCCACCTACCGTTGTGAACACATTGCAAGCGTGACTGGTCGAATTCCGATTGCACCAAGTGAAGGGCTACCTAGTGTCCGAGCAAACATCTTCATGGTTTATTTTCGCGTTAATCAATCAATTTGTTTGAATAATAGTTTTCCAATAAAAAGGATATATATATATTAAAAAGTGTATAATTCATTCTGCATAACCGTTTACCTCATATATTGAGGCTATATACATTTTAGGCCTGTTGTTACCTGCCATTGGTACTCGGTTCTCTCCATCAAGCACCTTCTTTAGTGTGGTTTGTTCAAGCCACCTTAATTTGATCACTTGTGACGTATTCGAATTTCGAATTATTTAGAAAAGACAAATATTAGACTTCGATGTCTTTAGGATGTTTATCTTGTGTTTGTTTTTGGTCTTTTGTGCTTTGCATATCTTTCAAATGCTTCATTTTCTTTTAACTACATAGAAAAGGAACACTGGCCACCATCAATGATTTCTGTCCCATCTGAACGATTGCCTTCATTGACTAGTCTGGGTTCAGCTGGTCTTGTACGTGGTGCCATTCGTCGATTACTGAAACCTATCGCTGCACAACATCCAGACTTAATTCTTATGACTACAGCTGTAGCTTGGCCGAATACAATTTTTGACAATGAAAATGGTGGTCTCCTTTCTGGGTGTGACAGTTTATTAAACTATGGTCCATTGGATATGCTTATACCTATTCGAATAAGAAATGAAAGCGGAGCATCGGGTAAGAAATGTTGTGCACTGAAAGCCCTACGATTTTCGTTCCTTTTAGGTGGCATACAAAAGGGTAGAATTGTCCTAACTCATTACACAGAAGTTTCTTTTCTTTTAACAGGGTTTCTAGCCTCACATCTAATCTCCCCGCTACACCAGTTTTACTGTTGGTTACGCAGGGTGTATGATGTATCGGCTGGGGCTCAAACTCCGGACCACGTGCGTGGTTGATGAAGGTTCTACCACTGAATCATCGCCACCCACCGCCAGACTGCTGACTATTTTTCACTCCAGGATTATCGATCTGATAATTTAATTCACAGTCTCTTATTATTATTGATCGGAATAGGTCAATCACATTACGGTATATAATAACCTTCTTGTATGTAGATGTCTTTAGTTCACCTATGAACAGCGCAGCAGAATGGTGGTTAGCACTTTGATATTTAGAGAGATTAGTGTTAGTTTTTGATTTTTGACTGAGGAGTAAACCCGTGGCTGAGATTCGACGGCTAGTCATCACTAAACAAATGAACAGTAAAAACATAAAACATCCACACAGCAGACAGTACTTCTTGGAGTGAGAATTTGATGAATAAGATTTGTTCAGCAATAAGTTGCTGCATAAAGCACCATTTGAACTCAGTATAGCAAGACATACGTTGACGGTACAGTGGTAGAGTGCTCGCCAACCACACATGTGATCTGGCGTTCGATCCTCGTACTCATTTACCTCACTAAGCCAATAATAAGACTAGTAAAGAGGGAAGGTTGGCAACGAGGCTAGCGACCCCATCCTGTAAAAATAAACACCACTTCTACGGAAACTTCAAATCTGTAGCTTGAAGCTTTATGTCCCACTGGGAACATAAGGGAATAAAAAAATGGAAAGACATTATGTGAATAGGTTGAACAAGATGCCAATCGTCACTGTTAATACTACCGATGCAGAGTCTGATTTTAACTGTATTTAAAACATAGGGCACTTATCATGTCTTTAAACTTTATTTGTTTCTGAAATACAAGAAGTTATTATATGATTTCAACATGAAATAGAAAACAGACAGATGTACTTGTGACTAGGTCTGAAAAACCTCGTGTGCCCTAGCATTAACCCCTGAAATAAACTGTATAATCTGAGTCGTATTTAGGCGATTAACGTTTTGTACAAAAGTAAGCTGCAGTTTACATAACAGCCTTATTATTAGTCATAGCTATCAGAAATTATATAAAACTTTTGGTTGGTGTACTATTGTTGTTATTGTATCACTTGCCTGTCGTAATTTATAAGCGTATTGAAGACCTGACTGACTGGTTTCATCACTCATAAAACTTTGTACAGAAGTGCAGCAGTTCAAGTTACCGCGCTCTGTTAAGCACACAAAGAAGGTAGAAGAGAAACAAGAGATTCGAAAGAACGACAATAAGTAGAAATGTTATTGAGAAAGAATATTTACATCGGAAAACTGTGAGGTTCAATGGATATGAGAGGTCACAAAGTGTGTATGCATCTGTGCCATTGAAAGAAGGATTTTGACCTATATCACTAATTGTCTCCAGCCACTGGTTCTTACCATCCCGAGAACCTCAACCAGGAACTCTGCACCTTCTTACATGGCTTAAACCAACAGTTGTAGATGCCATGCTTTGGTCTGACCACCACTGCCTCTTTTCCAATCTAATCCTATGTCAGCTAGCACTGATCCTTGAGGAGGAAGGCGATCGATGACTAGGCATATGTATGCGGAACACATATCCCAACCAACTCAGTCTATGTAACCTTACTAATCCTCATCCTTGTGCCATCTCTAACACGGGATATAAAAACGCAGACACTTATTACCAAAGACAACTAACGTTTTCATATCTTCAACCCTCAAGTACCGTGTCTTACTGCCATAAAGGAGAGCGGAGTGAACCACTGATAGTAGTAAACACGTCCTATAATCGATAGCCGGATATCACGTCATGATCTAAATTTTTTTTACCGTATGTTGAGAAAGTAGACTGTTTTTGATGGCCATCATAAATATAATGTACAGTCTAATTGATGGCTTTGTCCAAAATAATTTTTTTTCCTATGGCCTTATTTTTTCATGAAATCCCGAAATCGGCTTAATGGACGATTTAAGGTTAAAGAAATTAAAAGTATTGATTTAACGTAAAACTGAGTGTTCTTTGTCAATACAATGGGATCCATTTAAGGTTATTGCAATTTAGTGTTTTAAATAAATAAATACAACCATTTTCAGTACCTCCCACCTCACATGTTGCAATTATAGAAGAAAATGGTGTATATATACATCAGCATAGAAACGAATCCTGGAGTACATCATTTTAAGTCGGCATACTGAAAAACGCTCACGTGTTCCAGGGTTCGATGCCTGGCCGATGCACTATTATTATTATATCCTTTAATTCCTTGAGGAACATAGGGCTTCAGCTGCCCATCTCCATTGCCTTCGGTTTATCGCCAACTTTTTGACCTCGCTTCAAGTCCGCCCACATGCTTTCATCTCCTCCTCACATGACCTCTTCCAAGTCACCCTTGTACTGACGACCAACTCGCTGCTTCCCTCTCGGGTTCCACTCGAGCAATGGCTTGTCTAGTGATGTCACTCACTTGATGGTTTGTTTCCTCAGAGTATGGCCAATCCATCTCCATTTCTTCCTGCCTATTTGTTTCACAATCGGTTCCTGCTGGGTTGGTTCGCTCATTGACAGAAATCTCTGTTGGTGATCTTTTCTGGCTGGCCATCTGATCTTAAGTAGTACTGAGCGAAGACAACTGTTGATGAAAGTCTGAAGTTTGTGTGAGATGCTCTTTATGACGCTTTGGCGAAGTCTCTGATCCGTATAGTACGTAGCACTGACTGACTTCACAATGGAGTTGAAAATCCGGATCTTATTTTCATTTCCATGCTGAGTGCTGTTTACCTCCACACAGACTTGACGCGAGTAATGAAAACTCGTCTTGCTTTTCCGATTCTGGCTTTGATATCCTCGTCAGTTCCGCCGGGCTGTAGTTGAAACGATGCTTCCCAGGTAGGTGGGTAGGTAAAGGAGGTTGTTTCTTTCAGGTTCCTCCCGTTTATGTTGGGTGATTGTAGTCTGTTGTTGCTGTTGGTGTTGGCCAGGAATCTTCATCACCTCTGTTTTATCGATGTTCACTTGAATTCCTATCTTTGATGCTTCTTCTGCCAGCTTGTTGCGTTTGACTTGCATATCTTCCAGTTTGTGGAAAATCCGGCCGATGCACTAAGCCGGGTAAAAAAGGAAGACTGGGAGTGAGGTTAACAACCCCACCCCTTGACAAAAAGGAATAACACCATAGTTACTGAAACTTCATCCTTGAAGGATGATACTCAATTGAATGAGCAGCATAAGTCTATAAGGCAAGAGTATAATTGAATAAAGGTAGGTTAGTGGAAATAATAAAGTCTTTAAAAACGATTTTGAGTTCCATCGCCGAGATTTTTCAGGCACTGTTAGTTGACATCCAAGTATTCTACATGATGCAGAACCAGTAGTCAGTGATTGATCTTTTGAATAAGTGTCAATGAGTAATAATTGCGTTAGGCCTTTTCCCTCTAATGTTCCTATGGGTATTTTCCACGATTTAATAATTGATTCTTTTATCTAACTATAATTGATGTTAGTCAAGATTAGAGAACAGTTTTTACTATGCATGCAGTTATTATGATTATAAAAGAATAATCAAAGCAGGCTAAAAGGACAAAATAGCATACGCCTAGCTTTCACTTTTATAAGCTTAGTCATATTATCTACAGATGCAAATTTAGGGCGTGTTAACTTTCTATTTTTTTTGTATTTATTTGTAAATTTCTACTGTATGGAATTCATTGTTCTGTATGTTTTCTTTGCAATAAGTATTATACTTTGATATGCTAGTAAAAATCCTTAAAGTGTGTTTACAATCCAATGTGAAGATGGTATTTATCTGATTGATATTATCCTATTTAGTCGTTCAAAAAACCAGGTCAAGCATCATTTTCGTTTTGGTAGTGATGTTTATCTACTGTTGGTTCGCAGGGATTAGATTTCATCGGCTACAGAATTTCATCATGAGTTGACATTAGTTAGAGAACCATTGGTAGACCTGTAGAGGGAGTACTGGACAGCTATTTTGCCAGCCTAGTTTGGGACTCCTCATCGGTACGCACCCACTTGGGTTTGAATCAATGAGCTTTCGGTTACAAGATAAGCTACCTCGTAGACCATTCTGTTCGGTTCTCTGTTCTGTTTTCGACATAAAACTTTGCCCATGTGTGCGCCAGTTGAAGTCGTCACACTCCCTTCATGTAGCACACAAAGCAAGAGAAGAAGGTAGAGGAAATGCTTAATAGAAACAGTAAACAGAGGTGTGAGACAAAGGAATGGTAATAACGAAGAACTATGTAGTTTCATTGGAAATCATAGGTCACAAAGAGTGGATGCATCTGTGCCAGCCATTGAGAACGATTTTGAGCCATATCACCAATTGTTTCCAACCTGTGCGTCGGTGGCACAGCGCCTAGGAATCTTGCCGGCCATGCACATGGTCCGGGGTTCAACCCCCTGCCGACGCACACCTGGTATCTATGGTCGGCCTGCAAAATTTGGGCTACCGATATCACATGCTGAAAATTCCATACTTGTACCAAAAAAACGGTGTGGAATCAAGCTGTAATAAAAAATAAAAATAAATATTCGTCACTCATTCAGAGAATCATCACTCATATTGTATAAGAGGAATTCATTTCGTGTATGTCTCTGTTGGTGGTACAGCGGTTAGGACGCTCGCCGACCATCCACATGGTCCGGGGTTTGATCCCCGCCCGGCGCACTCCTTTACTTCTCTCAGCCAATGGTGAGACTGGTAAAGAGGAAAGGTTGGGCATGGGGCTAGCAACCCCATCCTGTAAAGTTAACACTGCTACAGAAACTTCAAGCTGGCTCTAGCTTGAAGCCTTATTTTCCACTGGGAACGTGAAGGAAAAAAAAATGTCTCTGTCTCACTTTCCTTCTATCCTATGCCTATAAACCTAGACAAGGTTTATGGTTGATATACGGTTGTCTAGAGGCGTGCTTTTCATCAAATATCAGGCGTACATATATATATATATATATGTTATTATTTTTGCTATCTGTTCATTTTCATAGTTGTTGTGTTTGTTTTGTTTTGTTTGGACTATTCACATTCCACTCATATGAGGATATTATTAAGTGATATTTTTTTATCTGTATTTTCTGTCTCCTCTTGCTCCACCGCCTCCCAATTTCAGACGTATACTCAATTCCTTTGCATCAAAAACAAATAAATCTGTTAGATTTAATAAGTGGTCGAACATACAATGATAGAAATTATGGTCCAATACTACCAGCCACAGTATTAGTCAATAATTTACGTGATTCTATCCGTCGACCAATGAATAATACATTCTTGTCAACTATAATTAATGCTCTTTCCAATGGTACTACTACAGCTTTTTCATTCCAGGATGTGTATATGACATCGTTCAATAGTGGGAGTAAAAATGTAAGCTTTTAGTTTTTATTATTATTATTATTGTTATTCTTCATCTTTTTTGTTACCACTGTGTCTGCTTTCTTTGTGATATTTTCATCATTTATCCATAGTTGAATTAAGGATGAAATAGTATTACCCACTCAAATAAGCTGGCTGACCTATTTCTAGGTTATGGTTAACATTTGGTGAATAAACACAGATGTCTCCTTTTTTCGTATTATGATTGTATCGTGCTTTTGTAAAGGCATTTTCACCTTAGTAATATGAGTGTACTATTGTTAGATGATTGCAGGCAATCGGCACAAAGCCCTCAGACCTATGTTCCGTGTTTTTTTGTCATTTGTCAACATATGCAATCTTTAAGAAACTTATATCCTTCCTGGGATTCGAACCTGAGTCAGACAGTGTTGCAGTCAGAGACGCAACGTCTCTGAGGTATTTGGCCTCACGAGTATTGACCTCCTGTAGGACTGTAATGGGTACTTTGATTGGACACCGAGTTAGTAAGTAACTGGTGCCATGCGTCTAGTCCTTCTTTGTCCAACTGTTTAAAAACCATTCAGAGTCTGTCGTGATGGTGAGTCACCTGACGTGGTGGCCACATTGCAAACTTCACTGATAGAATTCCCACCAGAAACACTTTGTCAAAATTCTCTGTTTTTACCTAATACTTTCTCCGTCAGTTTATTTTAGGGTTTTCAGTGATTTTACTGTCACATTTTCATCTCCCTTCATATTACCTCCTGAATAATAACGTGTGCATAAAAGGTGTTTAAAATTAAGCAGTTTCTATTTTCAGTGTCCTAATTGTGTCCAGTACCATGTATGTGCCAACAGTCAGTCATTTTATCTGATATATGTGAATCTTCATTTGTCGAGAAGCTGAAGACTACGTCTTCAGAGCTACTGATGTCTCTCATGACTGAAATGTTTACATTGCTAACTAAGTTCTACAACAGTATGAAGTAACTATCTCATCCAGCTTGATTTAATGTGACGCTGGAAGACAAGTGACTCGGTAACTGAATGTTTATTTTCAATTTGATATCTCTATATAGGGAAATTGTGCACCGGTGGCACAGTGGTTAGGGCACTCACCAACCACGCACATGGTCCGGGGCTCGATCCCCGGCCGACGCACTCCTTTACCTCGCTAAGCCGGAAATAATGCTGGTAACGAGGAAAGGTTGGACATGAGGCTAGCAACCTGATCCTGTAAAATTAAATACTGCTACAGAAACTTCAAGTCACTAGCTTGAAGCCCTATGTTCCACTGGGGAACGTGAAGGAAAAAGAAATATAGGCGAATTATGTGCACCTTATATGAAAATCGTCATTTGCATAGATTGTCGTGTTGTGCTATTTCTACCCTTACTTTGACTTCTTTCTGTGTCTCCCATGTTTCAAAGCAATACCGTTTCATTTTCTCTAAACTTTCTAAACGCTAAACTTCCAACCATCACGTATCATCTGTAACATATCAAATATGGTTCATATTTTAGTACAGAAAATGCATACATTAGATTATTGAGTCATATTGTTATTTGCTTATCTATGTGGTGTTTTCATTCACTTCGTAATGAGTGACAACTATTCTGTTCTCCGAGATGTCGCGAATCTCCACTGGACAAGTAATTATTCCACTTCTCAATAGAAATTTAGTACTTAAAGCAGTTCACCACTTATCCACTCGTGTTTCGTAGTATATAACGCATCTTATCCTATATTTCCCACCGTAAATAACCATATAACTAGTTGGTGATTGAGAGACTGCTAACATTCGGAATTGCATTCATGTTTCTTTTCGTTTTTTCTTTATTTTTTTGTGTTTTACTCTATTTTATTAGGTAAATTCTAATCCCGGGTTAAACATTATTCGTGTACAGATCAGTTTATTACACTTATTCTATGCATGGCTTATTATGAAACCAGATTTTATATCCGCAGATTTATTGCTTATCTTGGTAAGAGATCTAATCAATATGCCAGTGATGACGAATTTTACACCTCCCAGTAGTAATAGTAGTAGTACTAATACTACTACTGCATCATCGGCAACAGGTCTTCCACCGGTAGCAGTATTTATTCTCATCAAGTAGGTTAAAAATAAATTTATGTATGTGTATAAAGTGACCATTATTTTATTTTTTTGATTTCATTTTGATTTTTGCACATCATTCAAATGGTGTTTTCTCATATATGTGCGATTGTACGTGCGCCTTTAGTTTTTGAAGTAACTGCAACGCGTGTATGTAGATATGATAGAGAAGATTTGTAGATCAGGTGGATGATTTTCATGTGGTTATGTTCTCTGAGCTGGATAGTTGATTTGCGAAGCTTTCATCACCCTACTAGGTGACATCTTCCTTCAGCGCATACTTCAATTTGAAGTGAGCTTTTAGATTTCTGTACGGGTTTATTAATCATCTCTCCTGGTTGATGACCACCTTGGACGTGATTGGTTGTTTTTGTGTATTTTCACACCTTCTAGGTTGCTTGTATTGGAACTGATTGTTTTTTTGACTTGAACTTTGACCCTTTGTGTGTGAGGTTTCAGGTTTGATTGCAGAAGCAGTGATGCAAATGCTCGAAAACATAACTCTACCAACGACCAAACCCAAGATTTGGATACGCTACATCGACGACACATATGTAATAATCAGAAGGAATGAGTTAGATAAAACTCACAACTTAATAAACAACATCTTCAACGACATCAAATTCACAAGAGAAGAAGAATCCGAGAACCAAATCCCATTTTTGGACGTGTTAGTCAGACGAACAACCACAGGGGAATTAGAAACTCAAGTTTATAGAAAATCAACTCACACAGACCGAATCCTGAATTACAAAAGTAACAATCCAATAACACACAAAAGGAATTGCATGCAAATACTATTCAAGAGGGCAACGACTCATTGCAGCACTCCCACCTTAAAAAAGATTGAAGAAAAATATCTCATGGACGTCTTCCAAAAGAATGGATATCCACGGAATTTCATCATAAGACATATACCCCCAAGCCAACCTATCAAAGCATAAGCCACCTTACCATATATAAAGGATATGTCAGAAATCACTACAAGACTCTTCAAACCTCTAGGAATAGACGTCATACACAAACCAACAAAGTCGCTTCACTCAATTCTATGTCAACCAGGAGACTCAACAGCGAAAGAAGATAAAACCAACATCATCTACAAAATAAATTGTAACAACTGCGTAAAACACTACATTTGGCCAAAGTGGACGTCCCCTTCGTCTTCGTATCCACGAACATAAGTTAGCCGTCAAAAGACATGATATCCACTCCCTCATATCACTGCATACAGACAACCACGGAAATCAATTCGACTTGGACAACATTCAAATATTAGACAGAGGAAACAACAAGAATGCTAGAGAATATTTAGAAGCTTGGCATTCCAGTGAATCATCAATCAATAGACACATCGATAAGAAAGAAACCTCACACACAAAGGGTCAAAGTTCAAGTCAAAGAAACAATCAGTTCCAATACAAGCAACCTAGAAGGTGTGAAAATACACAAAAACAACCAATCACGTCCAAGGTGGTCATCAACCAGGAGAGATGATTAATAAACTCGTACAGAAATCTAAAAGCTCACTTCAAATTGAAGTATGCGCTGAAGGAAGATGTCACCTAGTAGGGTGATGAAAGCTTTGCAAATCAACTATCCAGCTCAGAGAAAACAACTACATCAAAAGCGCGTGTATGTTACCAAAAGAGAAAAATGGCTTGTGCCGATGACCCCATTATAAACAACTGAAATAACCTTAGATTAAGAGAAAGTAAAATGGGATCGAATTAAAGTGTGACATTAATCCATGAAATCCTTCTTCATATGTCCATGGACTTGAATAGAGAAATCTTTATCTTAAGAATCAATCAATTGTGGGAAACTTTTGATTATATTATCTAAGGTTGATGTCAAGGGGTCATTGGCGCAGCGGTAGAATGCTCGCCGATTACGCATGTCTTCTGTGGTTCGATCTTCTCACTACTTTACCTCACTAAGCCAGTAAGAAGACTGGTAAAGAGGGAAGGTTGGGTATTAGGTTACCGACACCCCATCCTGTAAAAATGAACATCACTGCTGCTGAAAATTCAAGCCTTTAACTCGAAGGCCTATGTTTCACTGGGAACATGAAGGAATAAAAAAAACTGGTGGTGTCACCGAAGTGCGGATATATGCCTCCTCTTTCGCTTTGTGTGTGTAGATCAGCGAAGAGTCTCTTTTCGCCAGCAAATTCATTTTCTTAGCTGTACAATCACATATATATATATATTATTTTGTAGGTATATGTGTACATTAAGTTTGTCAAACAAAATTACCATTGGTTATGGTTATTTTAACTAAACAGGTCAAGGTTGGTAATACAAGTCAAGAAAATTAAGTTTTAATGAAACTAGGGTAGCAACAAAGGTGATGAGTTGTCATAAACAGTTGTTAAAAAAGAAGTTATGTAATAATATGAATGATTTGATGAGTGAGTTTTACTCAGGATACACATAGAAGCAAAGTAGATAATACGAAATTACGTAAGTGTTCTGAATGAATACAAGAATGATAAGCAATTAAAGAACAGACAAAGAAACAAAACTAAGTCATCAAAGTCAAAAAACTCAAATCAGATAAAAAATTGTTACCATGACAGTAGGAGTGGTTGAGTAATCTTCTTTTTGTATGCACAGCTCCGGTTTTTCTATGTGAAAGGCCAGAGCATCAGCGATACAAAGAAGACGAAACCGTATTGCCTTTGATAGGTTATTCTTGACTCTGTAGATTACTTTGAAGCAGGAGGCGTTTGTTGAAATTGAATGACTAGTGTTAACCAGATGTTCAATTATCGCGATAATTGAGTTTTTTTTACTTTGATGACTTAGTTTTGTTTCTTTGTCTGTTCTTTAATTGCTTATCATTCTTGTATTCATTCAGAACACTTACGTAATTTCGTATTATCTACTTTGCTTCTATGTGTATCCTGAGTAAAACTCACTCATCAAATCATTCATATTATTACATAACTTCTTTTTTAACAACTGTTTATGACAACTCATCACCTTTGTTGCTACCCTAGTTTCATTAAAACTTAATTTTCTTGACTTGTATTACCAACCTTGACCTGTTTAGTTAAAATAACCATAACCAATGGTAATTTTGTTTGACAAACTTAATGTACACATATACCTACAAAATAATATATATATATATATATGTGATTGTACAGCTAAGAAAATGAATTTGCTGGCGAAAAGAGACTCTTCGCTGATCTACGTGTTTTGTTTTCATTTCCATAATAGACAATGGTAACAAAAGTGCACCGAGAGAGAAGGCTCTCGAGTGGTTGCGCCACAGGATGATCCTGCATGCCGTTCTTGTCTCTCAGGAGGCAGGGATGGGTGTGTTTGGTTCTCCTGAAAACCAATACCCAGTCAATAGGTGTATCGTGGTGTGATTTATGCGTCGGTGGCACAGTGGTTAAGACGCTTGCCGACCATGCACATGGTCCGGGTTCCGAGTCCCGGCCGGCGCACTCCTTTACCTCGCTAAGCCAGTAGTGAGACTGGTAAAGAGGAAAGGTTGGGCATGAGGCTAGCAACCCCATCCTGTAAAAATCAACCCTGCTACGGAATCTTGAAGCCCTATGTTCCACTGGGAACGTGAAGGAAAAAAAAGTGCTGAGGTGTCATAATCATAGTTGTTATTATTAATCAGCACATGAGAGGAATTTAATAGAGATGTTGGAATTATTTTAATGAGATAAATAATATACTGGGTGAGTTGTAGTCAGAATGTACATAGAATCCAGGGGAAATATGATATGACGTAAGATTTCGACAGGAAGATGTGTAGTATATATGCATATACCAATGTCCTTAAGAGAAGTATTGCAATATCCTTGAAAGGAACACTCTTTGCAGCAAATGGTAACAGTAATGCCCTACAGAAGCATGAATGATAAGATCTCGCATCTACTCATAAATTTGTTTTATTTCCAATATTGAAGATTTGGTTGTAGGTATTAGATTTGTTTCCAAAGTTTGACCATGGATAAATATCAGTTGAAGAATCACTAGGAACACAAGAAGTGCTGTACACCTGTTTTACCCTGGTTTGGAACGCTCCAACAGTACACACCCACTAGGGTTACGAGACAAGCTCGTTGACCATCCAACCACTGGGATCTGATTCAATAGCCAGTGCATGAATTCCAATCTCTACCAATTCATGAGTCTATCGCAAACAGCTGCCAGTATCATCGGTGGCGAATATTTGTCCTCACGACCGACATGATATAGTGCAATCCACTTCTCCGTAGAACTCCAGACAGCTTCATCATGTAGCCAGTCACTAGCAAGTGTCAGGTTATTTTTCAAGAGTTAGTTTTTAGGGTTTTCATTTGTTTCGATTTTGATCATGAGCTGACATCAGTTGGAGAATCATGGTTGTAGATCTAACCAAGTTATGCTGCTGAATTTATTGCAGTATGTAATCTAACAGAAATTCCCTATATACTGTACACACATTTGACTACTTAATTACTACTGAAATTGTCTTAGCTATTGAATTCCAAAGTCTGAATGAATCTGCTGAATTCATTATCATGTGAACGTCTTCTAGTTTCAAATTTATATTATCATATTATATTTTTGAAATAAAGCTTCGTCGTTAAAATTCTTTTTCTATTTATTTATTAGAATTTTTGGCAAGCTGTTGGATACAGCTACTTCTAGTGATGATAAACGGGAACAGAGAGAATTACAGGTGAGTATTTTTGGTGTCATTTCAAGGTGTAATATACATTCAGTCACCTAAAGGGGTGAAAATTTGATATTTATTCATTCCACATTAAATAAAGATGTAAACACAGCAAGATATATAAGCAAACAATATTGTTTTCAATTAGATCTTCTTCAGGCTATACTCTAATTTACATATATTTATATATGAAACATTTTAACCAATGACGGTGATTTTGTGGATCAAATAATAATAATAATAACAATCTGGTGAATGTTTTGAATGAAATTAATAACGATGATTATAATGATAACGAAATATTGATGATAATAATGTTAATGCAGGTGGCGATAAGAGGAATAACAAAGGTGGTAATATGTGTATATGTAGACAATTCAATAAATAAATTAGGCCAAATCTTAAAATTTACGTAATACTAAAGGTGAAGTTGAGAGATGATCAGAGTTTAAATAAATATCATAAAAATACGAAGGAGATGGAATATAAGAAAGGGTGGGAGGGTTTTGAATAGAATTTACGTAGACTAAGCAAGGGAGAGACAAAGGTATAACAAACTTCTTTTGTATGCAAAGACTAGGCTTGTTGTCTCAAATTAATTCCCATAGCTTCGGCTATGTGTAAAAGACGGATTCGAATTCCGTTCGAAAGGCTCGATGGAATGTGATAGATAACTTTGAAGACACGATTTTTGCCCACTTGGTGACTGCCATCAATCAAATGAGGAAAATAGAACTTCTTATAGATTTTATTTGACCTTTTTCGAACCATGAAGCGAAATGCTCATTAATGCGTTTATTAAGCTGTCTAGTTGTTCGCACACCAGTTTGCCTAACGAAACGTTGAAACTACTGAGATTGTACAAATATAGTTTTTACAAATGTCTACTTCTCACTCGGCGCCCATTTATTTTGGAAGTATTCGGTTAAATCTTGATCATAGTTAATATGAATTATGAATATAATCTCTGTTTGTTCTTGGTTTCCACTTAGGAACTTTGTCATCGACTTCTTGAAACGACAGCGTCTATTGCAGCATCTGCTTTGCATCAACCTTCATGGTTCCGTAAAACACTGCAGGTTCGTCAACTTGATACAGATTTAAGCAGTACAACAGTGAATTCCTCTGATCTATGCGATAATATATCTCTTCCTGGATCTGAAATTTATGAATATTCTTTCAAATCTGATCGAAATGGGACTTCAAATAATTTAACTAATTCACACTTCTCTACAATACAACAGTCGAACAGTTCAGGATATTCTACTAAAGAAGTCTTGTATGATAATTTTAGTCCAACATTGAAGTCATCAGCATCATCTTCGTCATTGTATCAGTGCAAATCGCGTCTTTGTAAGTCAGGTTACGTTCAATGTTGTTTGTTTTTTTTATTTCAGCTTGATTCCACACCGTATTTTTGGGTTACAGGTATGGAATTTTCAGCATGTGATATCGGTAGCCAAAATTTTACAGGCCGACCATAGATATCAGATGTGCGCCGGCAGGGAGTCGAACATTGGCCCATGTGCATGACCGGCGAGAGTCCTAACCAGTGTGCCAACGACGCACACTTCTATAACAGGATATATATATATATATATAATTTAGCGCGAATAATCATCGATTATTACTAAATGCATCAAAACTCAACATTTACTTACAGTATTGCTACATGGTTAGTTAGTGAAAACCAACGAGTAGACACAAAGAAAAGACAAGATGTTATATGAACGTAGAGAAAGTAGAGGTGATTAAGATACCTGACCAACGAGAAACCGCCACTCATCAACACTGAAAGTACTCTAACGATAGTCGTCTCTCTCTGTCGCTCCCTCACTCACCTAGATACCATCGTTTCAACCTTAGGCATCACAGATGAGGGACATCAAAGCTAGTTAGCAATTGTTGGGAAAGCAAGAAAGGCGTTCATTATTACTCTGGAAGCAGACTTTAGTTAGTATAAGGATCAAGATCCTGGTTTTTGACATTATCGTCAAGTTGGTTTGCAGTAGCATTTCCAACAGACTGAGGACTGCCATTAACACCTGCCTTTGCTTGAAACTGAGGTTCAGAGGGTTATCTGGAAAGAACCAGCAACATGGAATTCTGATAGCGAACTAACAAAGAACCTCTCTCCCAATTAATATGTACATGGAATTGGAGCGCGATTGGATATATGTTTAGGAGACCGTCAAGTGAATTCATACGCTAACAAGAATCGATACGTTAGGCATCCGAGTTTGATGTAGAGAAGATCATGTGAAAGAAGAAATGAAAACTTGCAGGCAATCGTGGGGCCAAATGAATTTAATTGCTGGGAATGAAATACATTGAAAATGTGTTAGTGAAGCCCTATGTCCTACTATTAACCTAAGGACCAAATAACAATATTAATAATAATAACAAGTATTTAGTTGGAAGGTGTTAATAATATCGCCTGAGACACCTTTTGTTTCACAATCGAATGTTTGTGTACTTTTTATACTGATGCAAAACATTTATCATGGCAGAACTTCAAACTGTGATCTGTTCTTTTAAAACAATCAACAAACGTTAATAAATCTCATCAAATCTCGGTAGAACTCTTCAGCTGAATACTCTACATACAGTGATATGTATACCACTAGATATATGAGTAATAAGTAAATAAATGAGAAATTAGTTAACAGAGAAAGAACTTGAATTTTAAATTAATCAAGAATAGTAATGACAGAATAAAATATTAATAATAATAACAGTTTGTAAGTAAGACATGTGAGCATAGTAGATTCAGAGTGACCATCATCGCCTTCTGCACACATATACTGGACTTGTAAACTATAATTGCACAAGACTCCACAATTTCAACCATCTTTCTGTTTGTTTGTTTGTTTGCCTCATGACAAGAGTGAATGACTTGACAGTGTCAATGGTATGTCCATTGTCCATAAAATGCTTTGTTATTAAACTTTCTGCTACTTTAGGCACAAGTTTTTTCCAGACATTTGAGCACCTATATGGCAAACTCTTATGAAGCAAGACAAATGAAAAACCAACAAACACTCTATGAGCCTCCATGACCTTTAAAAACATGTAGTGACACACAATGATAAGTTCTGTTATGGAATAAAACAATTCCAACAGTGGTGTGAACACTGGCAGTAATTTTGCTCGAAATATTACCAATAACAAAACTTATCATTGTGTGTAAACTATTTAAATATAATTATACTTTATTTGATCTAATCCACAATGCTCAAACTTTTTACTGATATTAATGTAGTGACACGTTTATCACATATGAATTCACGTATTTACCATATGACAAATAAGGTGCATACACACACATGCATACAAATCTAATCTTTACAAATCAACTATAGAAGAGTAAACACAACAATTTGACATTAGTCATTACAAATATATGTGAAGACAGCTTACATACTTCTATTGGTAAAAAATGTCCATAGACAAATGACCTTCAAATAAACTGATTTCATTTTATGTACAAAAATTTTTGACTATATATTTTGATGATTAATTATAATCCGAATAAATCTGCTGAAGAAGCTGTGGCTTACACGGCGAAACGTTCAGAAAAATCTTGTTTTGATTTTCTTAACACGCTGGGATTAATTTAAATAATTTATAATTTGAGCAAATGCTTCATCATGTGAGTAAATAATCGCCTTTCCACACGACCTATGCATTTACTTCCACAAAGACACTCGAATTGATATACACTGTTTGAAGTAATTATTATTATTCTTCCCTTGGGTTCCTAGTGGAACAAGGCTTCTGTCTTCTGCTGTACTTTTCACCTACATCCATGTTAGTCCATACTGTTTCGACTCCTCCCCTTCACACGATCTTCTCCATGTCACCCTTGCACTGACGTCCCACTCGCCGCTTCCCTTTCGGCCTGGTTCCACTCGAGCTATGACCTGATGCTCGATGTCACCCAGCGGCCTCCTCAGCGACTGTCCAATCCATCTCCACTTTTTCCTGCATATTTTTTGTTGTTGGGCGATTGGTTCTTGTTTTGTTTGTTCCCATAACAAATTGAAGTGATTGCTTCTTTTTAATTCGTATCGGGAAATACATGTTTCCAGTTCTTAAAGAACTTATTCTTTTACGGAATCATCTACGAAATTCTTTATGTAGAATAATACTATATAGACACTTCAGTGTATTTTGGGATACTGCAGGTCACTGAGAAAATTGTATATGGACGGAGACGTCGACTACTACTACTGTAACAACAGAAGACAAGGACCAGGCAACAGATCGTTTTATTACGGAAATCAGCACGTATTTATATATATTTCATGTACACTATTGTAGCTTATTCAAGCAGGCAAACACAGTCTTCTGATTGGTTGTTTCTTGCTCAAGGTTATTCTGTACTGTTTGTGACTGGTTTCTCAGAAAGTTAAGCCATATAGCTGCGAATCGTATTTGCCCACGTTAAGTCTGCTGCGATTGGTTGTTGAATCAGTCTTGTTCATATTTTCTCACGGCCAGTATTAGTGACTTAGACAGTGACGTAAATTAATGTCTACCAATTGGCTAGCAGCCTGCTCTCACCACACTACTACTACTACTCGTGAACACATAGTGATTATTCCTTCTGAAATATTGATTTGAATAGTTTTGTGGCTGTCTCTCTCTCTCTCTAGTCGATCAAGTTAAGTCATTGGGTTTTGTACGTGTCATTTAAAGAGAGTTACAGTATGACGTAAAGCAGATTTTTATATATATATAAACTAACTGTGAAAGAACATATTTCTTCACCCAGTTTGTTTTTCTGTAAATGTGTAAGTGGAAATTTTCAAATTACTAAGAAAGAATTGATCTGAAATTTGAATTTATGACCTGGATTAAACTATTCAAAGTTTTTATGCTCTCCTATGCCGTTTTTTATCTGCATGTTACAACTAACGGTTATTTTCACTTAATACTATGTCATTCATTCTGTGTGTGTGTGTTTTTCTTATAACGGCGGCCTGTTTAAATCAATGGGCTATCAGACTTTCCATCCACTGAAATGCCTAAACTCTTCAGCATTTCTTATTGTTTTAATCAAGCTGTTAATTAATATTAAATGATCACTATATGAACTATAGCGCACATCTTTAATTAGCTTTCAACGAAACATTGCGCAATTCTTGAAGGAAATGAAGAGAAAAGTATATAGAATCGGTTCTCTCTTCATATGCAACAACACTAGGTTACGTGACATACGTCAGATTATCGGTTTACATAAAAATCGTATATAAAGAGGGAATATTTTGAAGCGGTGAAAATTCTGTACTGTGTTCACATATTGCTTGAAATAAAGCCTGATTATCGTTATTAATTGTCATTCACATTTAATCCGGAAAGCACTACTACTATATAATTTGTTTACGTAAATCTGGACGACAATGTATCCCAGCTAATAATAAGATAAACAAAGGAAGTGAAGTCATAATATCAGTTAGTTAGACAAAGAGAGATTGTTTAGAAGGATGTTTATGGTATTATTTCCAAGGTAATTAAAGGATTGATACAGCTGTAGTACTTACTACTGCTTTCGGAACGTCTGCTGCAGTTGTCTGCTAGACGATAGTTATGCTGCTCACAAATGTATTCAACCACTTGATGAATGATTATACACGCTATCGCCCAGCAGTCTGCTTGTGTAAGTGTAGAATCTGGAGCACAGTGGTAGAATATAATTCCATATTAGATAGATTTATCTCATATATGTATATATAGGGTCTACTTTTGTGTCAACTTTGTTTATCTTGCATTAATTCTTTCTTCTGACCTATCCTGGTCTTCCCATGTCTTAGCGATTTCTAAAAGAATGTTTCGTCTTACTTTTTACATTAAGAAGTTAACGTACTCAGGCATAACCCAGCCACTCCTCTTACAGTTTGTCAACTCGTGTATTTTACCTATTCTTCTTTACTGTTCACCCTTGCTTACTCTTTCCTGGATTGCTTAAAAAAGACTATGTCATACTTCGTAGAACTCTGAAGACTGTCGGTCAGTAGGTATCCCAATGGGCCATATCGTTGTCATTGTCACGGATAGGCACTTGATGTCATGCAACGAATTTACTAAAGGAATTTTGTCAGACTGTGAGCATCCACCTCACCACCCGCAGCTCCAACCTTGTGTCTCCTCAGGTAAAACAAGAAGTCTTTTCAGAAGACTTTATGCATGTACGTCTAAGTATAAAAATTCCCCCATACCAACCATATTTGGCACGTACTTTATGTGATGAAAATAATGTCAGGCGTGAACTAACTAACTAACCTTCTTTGCACTACTAAATAAACCATTTCCTCCAATATCAAACTTTATTGTTATTGTATTTCTTAGATTTACAATACTCTCAATTTTTTGTTTTGGTTTATTTTTTTTCATAAGTGTGAACATCATTTAAGCTGTGGGGATAACTGTTAATTTTGTGTATTTCACCTCACTATACTACATCAACAGAACATTAGATCCAATAATCTATAACATGCTGAAATTTTCAAACTGAATCGACAATACTGTTTGAAACAAACTCACTGTTATTATTATTATTATATTTAATAGTCTCAATTCGTGCTTCGCATATTTTTGACTTTATATCGTAAACGTGGACAAATTCCTCTGGTTACTTTTGTTTTAATTTTATTTATATTTTAAGTAAATCAGATGCAATATTTTGACAAATGCTGAAAATACCATTCTGTATTACAAGTACTGTTTTTGGAATAAAGTAGATCATTATAATTACTATTATTACAACAAATTTGAAGTACTTGAAAATTGATCTGATGCTCACTAGCGACTGGTCCCATTCAGAAAGTTACCTGGGGTTCTTCTAGTGGGAATCCGTGACCAGTAGGGTTCAGCAGGTTGAAGTTGACGACAGTTACCCGTCGAAGACATTGAGAAATGGTCGCGCTATATCGTGAATTGGCAGAAGTTAGAATTCACGAGTTGGCCATTGGATCAGGTTCCAGTGGCTTAATGGTCTACGAGGTGGCCTGTCTTGTAACCGGAAGGTCCTTGTTTCAAACCCCTGTGGTGGGTGGGTACCTACTGCTGAAGAGTCTCAAACAAGGCTGGTGAGACAGTTGTTCAGTACACCCAGGTTTTCTAATGCTTCTCTAACTGATGTCAACTCACGATGAAGTCCTCCAACCAATCGAACAGGATCTCCACGAACCAATACTTGAATATTTGAATGTGTCTATCATCTCTTGGGTATATTGCATTATTTTTTAATTATTTTCTTACTTTTTTTGCATTATTTCAGCTTCAGTCAACATGTTCACTAATGAAATAACACGTATTCGAATGCGTAATGATGTCACCATACAAGCTATAGAATTATTAACAGAGGTAATGCTTTGAGTTTTGCTGTCTTAAGTCATTGATGTTAATAATAAGCAGTTGTCATTTTTATGCTGTGTTCATATCAGAGTCTATCAATAGAAATATCAAAAATATCTCATTCATTATGTTGGGTTTTACTTCTTAAAGTAGAACAATAAGGCTTTGAAAATGTCAATGTTTTGTTTTATCGTTTACTAAAACTAGTTTTGATGTTAGTGGTGGTCATGTGAACTAAGAGTATCGTTGAATGTGTATATATGATGACGACATTGTGAAAAATTATAATCGCACTAAATAAACAAACGTGGCAAATGACAAATAACACACCAGAAATTATTCACAGTGAAAATTGCTACTGATGATAACAATCGAAGCAAATAAAGGATGAATATACAAATTGAGAAAATGAAACGAATAATCAATAGAGAGGTATTTTTGATTGGGCACGAGTAACTAGCGTGATGTGTCTAGTTCTTTTATTTGGTGGAGACTGAATTCTGTTATCGGGTTCGAATATCAGAAGGGACGTTACTTCCTTCAAGGTTGCAGATACGCCTTACTGTGAATGGTGACTGCCACGAAACCTAGGTCGAAGGTTGGGCTTCCTGCCGATTGCCTCTAGCCGTCTAATATCATCAAATAGAGCCATGTTAGTAATGCGAATCATAATAGTTTAGCCTAGACGGATTAAGGGCGTGGAAGGAGGACGAGGAGGATTGGCTTTTTTCTAGGCCATTTAGCTTACCACGGTCAGTCATTCTAAGTCTACCTAAATTTTTATGTTCCAATAATCCAGAAGTTAATTGGTGGATGGTGACTAGCAGTGGAATCCAGGATGCACATTTCGCCCTATTTGGATTTACCCGCATTCCACAGTGAGTGATGATATTCCCACCGAGACTCGAACCCAGTGCCTGTTACACAAAACGTGGCCCTTGTGGCCCAAGTTATCTAGTGGATAACGCTTTGGCGTTTGAAACAACAGGCACTGGATTCGAGCCTCGGTGGGAGCATCACTACTCACTGCAGAATGCAGGCGTATCCGAATGACGAGTCCCAAATGGGACGAAATGAGCGTTTTCCTGGACTCCATTGCTAGTCGCCATCCACCAATTAACTTCTAATTACATCTGCACAAGAAGCCGACATGTCAACCTGAGACCGAGCACTTCGGTCCAATCAATCGACGGGAAAGTCTAAAATTGAATTAAGTAATGCCAATAATCTAGCTGACCCCGATTTACTAGTTTGACGTAGGTTAATGACCTCACAGTTATTAAATGGTATTTGGTAAATTATATTATTTTTGCTTAATCGGATGATCTATTGGATCCTAAAGCAGATAAAGTTGATCTCTGAAAGAGTTGGTTGGTTTAAATGACGCAACGCCTATACCGGAGATATGCTAAGTGGTAACAAACAACAAGGAGAAGAGAGATAAAGAGAAAAATACTTATATAAAGCAAATCATTGAGCCGTGTGACTTAACTGATATGATGATGAGCAGTAATTTATGCTGGAAACCTCATCCAGTTATTAATACTGCTTCACCGTGTGATATTTGATATCAACTTACCTATAAAGTGGTAAATAATCTTTCAAAGTCATTATGTACCCGACTCATTTGTATTCCTAAAGCTTTGGCCATGGATATAGTACAGTCAGAAAAAGTATGTGAGATGTGATGAGCACAGAATGATTGTGAATGAAATAAATACGTTTTGTTCAGATTTTATAAATATAGGAGACACTATTATGGTAGAAATTACTGTTCTATGCATCGCCTTTATATATATATAGCATTGTATTTAAGTATTTTTAATATATACATGCGTTGAAGTTTCTGTAGCAATTTGGTTAAATTTTGGGCGTGGAGTTGCTAGCACCACGCCCCAACCTGCTCTCCTTATCCGGGTTTGGGACCGGCTAGAAAACTAGCGAGCTAGTAATCTAGTCGAGAAGGCCTTCGACAGCGTCTACCGCGAAGTAATTTGGAAACTACTCGAGTACTACGGCGTACCCCAAATATTCATCAACCTCATTCAACAGCTGTATGACAACGGCATATGTCAAGTGATCCACAACGGAAAACTCGGCGAAGCGTTTGGAGTAAACACAGGAGTCAGACAAGGGTGCTGGCTTATTATCACCAATGATATTCGTAATTGTGGTGAACTGGATTATGTGTCAGACAGTGGGAAACAAGAAGACAGGGATATCCTGGACAGACAGACGTGAAGAACCTAGAAGACCTGGATTTCGCGCGTGGATGATTTATGTTTGATGTCACACAAAATCGAAGACTTACAAGCGAAAACCGACCGACAAACTGGTCGAAGAAACAGCCGGCAAAGACAGGACTCCAGGTGAACATAGACAAGACAGAGGTTATGAAAATAACCAACCAACCAACAACAGCAGCAGCAACATCCAGCGCCAATCGCCATCAACGGGAGGGATTTGAAAAAGGTTACTTCATTCATTCACTTATCTAGAGAGCATTGTCTCAACTACAGCCAGTCGGAACGGACGAGGATGTCAAATCGAGCGAGAATTGGGAAGGCAGACGAGAAACACATTCATCAACCTGAAACAACCAATCTGGAAATCTTCGTCACTCAGCATCAACAACAAAATTCAGTCGGATTTTCAATACAAACAACGTCAAGTCAGTCAGCTCTTCTATACGGATCAGAAACTTGGAGGGCGGGTTACAAAGACTATTTCCAACAGGCTAACTCAGACCTTTATCAACAACTGTCTATGCTGTCTCTATACTGAAGATCAGATGGCCGGAAAGAATCACCAACAAGAAACTATGGGAAGGAACAAACAAAACAAGAGCCAATTGCCCAACAAATATGCAGGAAAAAGTGGAGATGGATTGGACAGTCGCTGAGGAGGCCGCTGGGTGACATCGAGCATCAGGTCATAGCTCGAGTGGAACCAGGCCGAAAGGGAAGCGGCGAGTGGGACGTTAGTGCAAGGGTGACATGGAGGAGATCGTGTGAAGGGGAGGAGTCGAAACAGTATGGACTAACATGGATGCAGGTGAAAAGTACAGCAGAAGACAGACAGAAGTGGCAAGTGGAGACGTGCAGTTGAAGCCCTATGTTACACTAGGAACCCAAGAATCGCATGTGTACACGGTCTTACGTTTCTCTTCTTTGGCGGTTGAGTGTTTCAAGGATGTCATAATCCTCAAAGTCTACTTATTTGATAGGTATATGCATGTAGAGTCAGTCGAAGCCCAAGAAGTTAAGAGATGTTGCTGTGATATGCTGCTTAGTAGAGATGATCTGAGAAAAATATGTCGAATACCTTAGAGTCGGTTTTGTTTTATTAAATACAAATATAGAAATGTTTATGAGGTATATCAATGTTTCCCTTTTCACTATTTCATCGTTTTCATTATTTCCTTCTTCCCCTCTCTGTCTTTCCATTTCACTTTATCCAGAATATGGCAATATTTTTAGACTTAGTCTACAAAAGTGATGAAAAAGATCGTATATCAACATTTTTAAACAATGTTTTATGCAATATTTTCCCGTATCTTCGAGTTCGAATGTACGTTGTGAACAATGTTTTTTTTGTATTTCTCATGTCTACTTATATTGTTTACTGTTGATATGTATTTATTTCTGTGCCATAATTGAAGTGTATTTACCCAGACTTGTATTATCGTACTCGAACCTTAAGTAGTCTCTTTACAAATATGACTAATGCCTTTGCTTTTATTGAATTGTAATATCTCCCCACCTCCCCCTCACTCCCAGAGCAGAGTTTGTAGATACATACATAACTGTAGCCTGTCGGGATTAACACTAACCATTTTTCAACATTGAAATAAGTAAGCACAAATCAATATTTGCCTTTGTACTGATTCACCATTTGTTTTTAATCAAACTAAGTTAGTAAATGAAGAGTTGATAATTCCAACCTTTCGATGAGCTTTACTCACTCGTTTAAGGTTTCGTTTACACAATGCATTAGATGATTGGTTGAAGTCTATGAGATAGACTAGTCGACTTTTTAAACCTTCAAGGTATGTGAGAGTATCGCTAATACTTTGATCTACACTAGAGTAAATTATCTGGTATTAGTTTTCTTTGTCAAAACTTTCACTTATCTCGACAGGTGGTAAGAAATAAAATCCTATGTATTATTGTATATTTGATTCAAATATACGGACACAGCTTTAATAGCACTGACGAGATCTGCAACTACCCTGTTGCTCAGCGCCATCTAGCAAATACCGTTTAACCACAAGAGTATAATAACACCACACCTAATGGAATATTTACACAATAAGTGAGACAAGTTCCAATTAACAACTGTGCGTACCGATTTACCAAATATATATAGATTATAATTTCGTACTACTTACCAGTAATAAGTAGTATAAAAGTAAATGCAAATAAAAAAGATATGTAAAATAGATAAGAAAGGAATTAACACTAAGAAGGTGGGTAAAAAAAAATTGGAAACAAGTAGTTCAGCGGGTGAAAAAGAAGGCTATCCTGAATACCCTTTTGTCATTGTTTCATACCAAAAGTTTTCCAGTTGACTCAAAAGAGGGAACTCCTTTTTGTAATATCTTTTCAGGCAAATTCGTGGTTACGCATATATATTTTTCTGCTCTCCGTTATATTACTTTTTTCTTTCTCTCATTCAGGTTGAGTAATTCAGATCATTTTACTGTAGCAAGTAAATTGATTGCCTCTATCAGTAGTTATCAGTATACACGTAAATCATGGCGTCGTGATGTATTAGACTTATTCTACGAGCCAGTATTCTTTCAGATGACACCAGTTGCCTTACAAAGTTGGAATTTAATTATCGATAATTTAATGACACAGGATAAAAGCACTTTTAAGGAGGCTTTAGGTGAGCACCGATGCCCATTTTTATCTTTTTTTTACTGAATCGCTTTTTATTCTAAACCACTTATCGTTAATAAATTGTCTAGTTTGACTGTGAAGCATGCGTATTCATAATATAATACCGCATATTGTCGCCTTGAACTGGACACTGTGCTTTGCTAAAGATTGCAAGTTGACTTGAAAGTGACCCTTTAGAGAAATGCTAAATTAGATGCAGCAAATACCTCCATGGCAAAATAGTGTCAGGCTGCTTTTGCATTACAGAAATAAACCATTGAAAATCTATCAATGGAACAGTCGTGAAATTTGGTATGGAATAATTCGCTCAAAATCTGTGTGTTCAAGTCATTCTGCAATCCAAGTTTCTCATATGATTTTAATCAACCATCCCATGTAGATGTTTTTATTAGTTTAAGTTTACCGATAAGTTAAATTGTAATAATTAATTTATACTACTTAATTATTTTAAGTAGTAACATTTGTCTCATCGAATATAAAACTTGTTTTTGTTCTATGCGATGCTCATTAAAAATGAACTGTCATGAATACCAGTTTAGTGAATCTATCATTCTACTGTTATTATTTTTATTATCATTATTGTTGTATGAAATTAAGTCTCCGTTTCTCACTAGATCATATCTACAGACAGTATTAAACAAGAATAATAAGAGTAGTGAATATATCGTATTTCTTTGGTGTTACGCATAATAATACGTACTATAAATTTAGTGGGGTACCTTACAGCCTTGCCCTGTAGTTGTATCATGTGAGCCTAATAAGAAATCAGTAAATACACACAGCTTTTAAGGCAGGCTGATTAAGTCCCAGTAACTACATTCCGTATTGTTGGAATGGTCTTTTATTTTTAACTAGGCTGCTCGACTGTGTCTCGTGTCACTTCATGTTTTCACTTGTCAACTTGTGTATTTTCCAAAGCAGCCATTCATTCACAGTAAGAAACTCTGATCTCTGAAGTCTTGCTTATTTTAACTACTTTGAATGCAGTTAATATGAAAGAAGGGGTACACTTATCAACTATACACGTGGTTGGGACTCTCGCCGACCATGCACATTGTCCGGGATTCGATCCCCTGCCGACGCACACCTGATATCTATGGTTGGCCTGAGGAATATGGGCTACCGATATCACATGCTGAAAATTCCATACCTGTACCAAAAAATACGGTGTGGAATCAAACTGTAATAAAAAAAACTATACATATAAACTTTCAGTAAAGTCTTGTTTTAATTATCTAAACACGCTGGGATTAACACAAGTAATTTTATGGTGATTCACTCCAACTTGGTGCTGAAATTATTCCAGAAAATTCATCACATCTATGGTTTGTAGTCTTTGGTAATATCCTGTCTGTTATTATTATTATTCTCCCTGTAGCCCGTTTTGTATTCAATCAACCGGGTGGCTTGAATCTGTTCACAAATAAAGAAACGGAATATGAACTTCGTGCTGCTTGTCTAAAGAAATTATCGTACTTAGTGTATGCTAGTGAACCAGATCAGTATGCTAAAGCTATGCCGGATTTATTGGGTAAGCTTTTTCTGTTTGTTAAAATTGTATACGTTTTATTTTGTTATTTCTTTTTGTTCTTATTCTTTTGATTTAAACAAAATGGATATTTTCTAGATAATCTGTAGCCGCTCTTATTATTATTATTGATTATTTCCTTGGGTTCCGAGTGGAATATTGGGCTACAACAACACACCTGTATTTGACTCTTTTTTTCCAGTCCTCTTAACGATGGTCTGTGTCGTCACGTCCCCCCTCACACAATCCCCTCCACATCACTCTCAGTCGCTTAACTTAACCTCTCCCGTTCAGATTCCACTCTACATTATACCTTGCGCTCAGTATCACTCAGCGATCTCTTCAACGTGCGTCAGATCCGTCTCCATTCTCTTCGGCATATTTTCGTGGAATAGGTTCTTGATTAATGGGTTTCCAGAATGTTCGTTGTTGCTAATCTTCTATGGTCAAGCATCTAATGTTCAGTATAGTGCAAAGGTGGTCTGCAATCTGTTGGAAATACTTTTGTTGATGCGCCGATTCAATGAAACATAGAGTAAATCACTGATTTTACATCAGTGTCGAATATTCGAATCCTGTTCTTTATACCCGTGTACAGCAGGTTTCCATACTGATTTCAAAGTGATGAATATCTGCTTTGCTTTTCCGATTCTGCTTTTGAAATCCTCAACAGTACCGACCTCCTGTATATGGAAAGATTCTGTCTAGAAAAGTGGAAGTGGTAACCTTCCAATTTCTATCGTTGTTAGTGATCAGTGCTTCTTTTTCTTCTGCTTATTGGTTAGGTACCTCCATCACCTGTGTCTCCCCTTTTCAGTTTTGGCCTATAGATTTTTGAGTTTGTATGATATCACACATGAATCATTCGCAAAGTTCAAATCTTGTAGAGTTTTCTTGTCGGCCCAACGTGTACCTCTCTTCTTGAACCCAATGGGTTCAGTTTCATGTTTCAGTCCACCACAGTCAAAAGTGTTATCGGTGATAGTAGACAGTTTCATTTTACTCCTGTTTTCACTTCAAATTCTTCGCTGAGTTTTATATTGTAAATCATGTGATATGTGACATTGTCATATAGAGTTGTTGAATGAGGTTCATAAAGATTTAAGGCAATTTCCAAATTGTTTCATGATGAACGCTGCTGAATGCGTTTTCAAAGTCGACAGACAGAGATTTTACTCCTTTTCCATGCTCTGTTCGATGACGATGCATAGCGTTGAAATTTAATCTGTACATGATTTACTCCTCATTGAATCCAATTGTTCCAGGTGAAGTTTTGCTTCCAGTGTGTGCATTTGTAAGCACTGAACTGTTTCATTCAATGGCACTCAGTTGTGTTTAGTAGGATAAAACAGACTGTATGATTGAGACGTTCGTCCACTGAATGTGGAGAATTTCAGAATGCATCACATGTGTGTGTGTGTGTGTGTTTGTAAACATCCACATAGAATTTGCTTCAAAATCAGTATTTTGCATTAACCTCTTTTTACTATTTTCAAGTATTGGTTTTTGTAGGGATTTTGCTTGATTGCATGGAGGATTTAATCATGAGCTAACATCAGTTAGAGAACAGTTGTAAGTAAAATACCCACAGACTACACTTCTGAAATCAGTACAGTGTGGAATATACACCAGTCATTGGTCAATTAATGTGAAAAAGTGAAATATAAAGTGTTTCTCGTGTGTAAATTAATCTCTGACATGGGTTCACTAAATGTCACTACGTTATTTTCCCTTGTTTTTCTTCTTCTTATGCATAGAACGTCTTACCGAATGTCTACGCTTAGGTCAAGGTATTATTCCCGTAGTTCATGCTCAAGTGTTTCTATTCGCTCGTGTTTTAATATCTCGTATGTCAGCGATACAATTAACCTCCTTATGGCCAATTGTTGTACCAGAACTGGTTAGTTTTTTTTCATTTATTTTCTTTTTCTCTCTCTCTCTCTTAATAGTTTCCCAATAATATTCAAATTCACAATTTGCAATTTACACAGTTTGAGGAGGTGGAATATTTCACTACAGTTTTCCTGTGGATACCAAAATTGCACTGTGAATGGTAATCAAGAAAGCAACCATAAATGCGTAAAACTATATTCTACTGATCAGTTGAGATGAGTAGTTGTGTATACTACTCAAATCGGTCAGCCATACGCTTGCTAACCAGTTCATTGAAGTGATCTAAACACCGGACGGCTGCTTCTCTCGTCTAGGGTCTGAGGTCACCAGGGATGTACGCTGTTTGACTGGCTAGAAATCGTGTGGTTTCAACTGATTCGGCTGTCTTGGCTGAGTCAAACCGGGTACATAGTTGATGATTTCGGCTCCAAACGAGCGACACTGCCGTCTGGTGCTTAGATCACTTCGATGAGCTGGTTAGCTAGCAATCCCTATTGTTTGATATGAGTGGTATGCAACTACTCACGTCAATTAATTAGTGGTATAGTTTTAAAAATTATTCGCCATAGTAGTTGTTGTAATGCTTACTTATAAATTATCTTAGCATGTTAAAGAGGGAAATTTATATAGCACACTAATAACGTAAGTTATAATAACAGGCTATTGTGTTTCTCTATTGGGATTTCTCGTCAAATGGTTAAAATCTTGTATTCTGTGTAAAATTAATAATGACATTGGTCTACTTGACTATGATGGATAGCTAAGTTCTATGTGTAATTGTTAGTTAATTACTGAAACAGTAATAATTATAGTTGTAAGCGAATCTCAGAAAACCCTCACTTCTTCTCAAATCTGTTATATCTAACAGTATTTAATTGCAATTAATTATTTTTTTTTCATGTGTGTAGCAACCACCCAACCAACAGGTATAAGGATCGTGATCATACGAACTATCTATCGAATAATTTCCGACGGTTATATTCACTCATCTATGATAATTCACTCTGTCTGTCTATTCACAAACTGAAGTGAAGCATTCGAATGCGTAGGATTATGAGTAAACTAGAATATAAAATCATATTTATGTTCTCCACGCTGTATTAAGTCTACTTAATTTCACAGCTAACTAAACCAATCAGTAAGGGAGTAGCTAGCAGATTATTAAGCATCTTAGGCCAACCTAAAGATTAACGACCACGGAGTTCGAACGCAACAATGATCGTGAACGCATATCATATGTCGGATTACAGAACCTGCCGTTATTACAGCTCCAGTATGGATGCTTTGCTGTCTCTGTCTGGATTCAACATAGAACTTGGCACCAAAGTGCACCAGTTCGAGTTGCCACGTTCCAAATAGCACACAAAGGTAGACAAGAAGATGAGTGAAGAGAATTAATAGAGTTTGACAGGTATAAGAGTGAAACAGAATGGGTAATGGTAGAAAGGAATATGAAAGATTACACAGACTGAATACTGAGACAATGATTTTGAGCCATGTCACCTATTATCTCCAGCCATTGATTCCTAGAGTCCCGAGGGGAGGGCCCCAACCCGGAAGTCTGCATCTCCCACCCTACCTGACTCAGTTTAACTGTCAAGGATTTCATGGATTGATTCCATGTTTTTGTTTGGCCACCACTTACTCTTTTCCAACCTGCACCTATATCAGCTAGTAATGCCCGTCGGGGGAGGCGATGGTTAGGCATGCGCAGCACGTGACCTAGCCATCTCAGTCTATGTAACTTTATAGCCTCGTCGATTGATTTTCCCTCTTTGCCCAACACTCTACGCCTAACGTCAACATTACTTACCTTATTATACCACCTAACGTGAGAAAGAGATCGCAGACATCTATGATCAAAAACAGTCAACCTTCTCCTGTCTTCAACTCGTATTGGCCATGTTTCAGAGCCATAGAGAAGGATGGAACGAACTTCTGAGCAGTACACAGATCCCTTAGTTGATAGCCGGATGTCACGCCTACGCCAGAGATGGTGTAAGTTGGCGAAAGCAGCTCGAGCTTTTTGGATCCGAGCTGATATTTCGTCACCAATCAGTCCGTTGGTGCTAATACAACTTCCCAAACAGGTGAAGTGGTCAACATATTCTATCACTTCACTCCCTATCACTAAGCTAGGAGTTGACGTAGTCCAGTCCTGGATGCTATGCACGAACTGAGGTGCAGATCTCATCCTGATCTTGTCTTTAAGCACTGTTTGGACAATCGGTTGATAATATATTAGGGTTAAGGTTGTGGTTAGGATTAGAGTTAAAGTAATGGATAGGCTTGGAATTATGCTTAAAGGTTATGATTGAGGTAAGCATTATGTTTAGAGTTAAAGTTAGGGTAAGTGTTAGGGTATTTTATTATTGTCTCTATTTTTCTTGTCAATAAATATATGGGGGAAGGGGGGAGGAGAGTATTTTTGTACTTCTAAAACTTGAAAACTTATACCCTTTGATTGTGATTGGCAACTATTTTTCAGTTACGTCAGGATAATAATAGTGTGTTTAATATGTTAATTTTTCTCGTGAATAAACAGTTGTTTGATATAGAATACACGGTAGGTTCTGAAATCCAATGAACGGAATGCGTTTAAGGTCACTGGTGCATTCACACACCCTGATCACCATTCTTTATGTCTGTCTCATGCTATTCAGAACACTTCAGTCAGCAAATCGACCTGTTTCCGTAAATTCGCTTCTAAGCTGTATAGTTATTTAGGGGATTTAAATATGCATTGTTAATTGAAAACACAATTCAGAGGTTAATATCCGTTAGTATACGAAAGGAATCAAAGTGTATGAGCCATAACAGTGTTTGAACAGTTGTGGATAATCTGGAGGGTTGACAACTAATCAGTTAATTCATTAAAAATCATTTGTAAATACCTGATGGGGAAAAGAAAGCGAACAAGGGATTGTAAAATGGATTTGAAAAATTGATACTAAGGCCATGGTAGTAATAATAAAACAGGCTGGATAAAACATTTCTGAACACAAAGTTCAGCTTTTTTTTTCTTATTGATCGCTAAAACTTCGATTGCATGTGGGCGAAATTCCTGTGAATAACGGCTTGATGGTACTTTATATATTACTTTGAATGTGTTTTCCACCGATGCTGGGTGATTAGAAGAGTAATAATGTGCTCCAGAATTACGAAAAGACATCTCTTTTTGCTGGTTTACATGCTATTAAGGATGGTATTCGTTTGAACCAGTCACTTTTGAGCTGATGAATTTCGGTCTGTGCAATGACTTCCACATATTTTTTGTTTTTTTTTATTTTCTAGTTTCTTACATTCAAATCACTGTCTCAAGCGATTCGAGATTAGTAAGTTAATTGGAACTGTTTTACAGTTTTCTGTGTAGGATGTATCTCTTTTCTGTTGTACTCCTCGATTTTATTTTATATTAACTGATCCACTTTTCTATACCGCAGTGTTGAATATATTGTAACAACAGAAGACAAGGGCCGACAACAGATCTTTTTATTACGGAAATACATTATTATAGCTTATGCAAGTAGACAATCACAGTCTTCTGATTGGTTGTTTCGGGTTTCTCGGAAAGTGAGGCCATCTATCTGCGAATTTTATTTGCGCACGTTAAGTCTGCTGTGATCGGTTGTTGAATCAGCCTTGTTCATATTTTCTCACGACCCATATCAGTGACCTAGACATTGAGGTAAATTAATGTCTACCGATTAGCTAGCAGCCTGCTCCCACCACAATATGTTTAAACAAATTTCAAATAGATTAGACAATCATTTGTATATTGTTTCTTGGTGTGCTGCATTCTCGTAATCGTTGTGAATGCTAATCTGTCTGACTGTTGCGTGGAGTTATCCTGTGATGATGTGTGCTACTGATATAATTTATCAGCAGTATATAAAGAGACTTTCATCGGCATAAAAGTGTCAAATAGCAGGGAAATAGATCTGATGTCAGAGAGAACAAATGATACAACGCTACGGAGATACATGAGAGACGTGAAAGGCATTGTTAGAAACACAATATGCAGGAAGGCCAGAAATAGCACAACATCGAAGGTCTGTGCAAATGGTGCGTTGAAGAAAATTCCAAATGAACATTGCCTTACCAAATCTCTCGTCTTCTACTTTTACAGTCTGACTAAATTGATTGTACTGCAAGTGATTTTATTATATCATGCATTTGTGTAAGCAAGCTCTTGATCATAATCCAACAGTTAGCCCACAATTTCAGTGGTTTGTAAGCTGAATCTTCATTTACTTATCTCAGGTCGAACTGTTTACCTACAGTGCATTATTTTTCCCTTTAGTTGTAAATTATCTTTAAAAATTTGGAAATGTAATGTGTGACATTACAACTTATTTACTTTCCCTAACTTTATAGTCCAGCTATATTTGATGTGACAGATTGTCTGCTGATCGGAGCTGGAATAACGATTGAGATGATGGAGCGACTTAACTCATAATTGAAATCTACATCACTAGTCCGGTGTTTTGTTTTTGTCGAGTGAAATAGTAAACTTGACTGCCAACTAACTCTCAGTTTCATGTACATTATATAATTTTTTTGTTTTTGTATAACAAGAAATCGATCGTTTTCGGTGTTAACCATCTTAAGCTGAGCTTGAATTTTATGCAATCAAAAGGAAAACATTTATTGATTACAGGATTTCATCATGACCTGAGAGAACCATTGGAAGACCTTGGAGTACTGGACAGGTGTTTCGTCCTGGTTTGAGACTCTTCATCAGTACTCATCCACCTGGGTTCGAAGAAATTTTTTTCCTGACGAAGTCATCAGCTATCCTCTGTATACTCGTGTATATGCAATAAATGGGTGAGAAGATTCCAGAATAATTTCCGGTCAAGGATGAAATTAATAAAATTACCATTAGGAATTAAAACTGCCATAATAAACAGGGGGACGGATAAAACTCAAACAAAGTGGCATCATAATTACTGAGAAGATTAACATATTGTGCAATTAAGGGTTAAAAATGTAGAAATAACAAAAATAGACAGGATGTTTGAACAAAAAAATCTAATGGGATCATAACTTAGGTGACGTATAATTGTTTATGCAGTTAGGGATTAAATATGTAGAAATAATAAAATGAAATTATTCTGGAATTTTCTTACCCATTTATTGGATATACACGAATGTACAGCCTAGTTGGTGACTTTGTCGAAAAGATAATTTTCTTCGCTGTAACCGTCTTTTTTTAGTATTCATATTATTTTATCATTACTATTGTCCTGTTTTATGAATATAACATTCAACTTTCTTCTTTTGCTTTTTAGTATTTCTAAAATTCATTCAAAGAAAGTCAAATCAGATATTTCTTCGTTAACATTTTTGTCTGCATCACAAATGAGTTTATATCTTAGTGCATGTAAATTTCTAGCTACTAGTTTATTGTGTCCAGAAAGTAAAGTACCACAATTCTCTTAGTAAGTAGTGTTTTATGTGGATATATATGTATATATATATTTTATTATTTTTGTTCTCCTCTCAATAAACTAAGTTTTTCTGAATCTGAGACAAAAATACCTCCACTGTACTCGTAGTTCATCTAATGAATAGTTTGAAATTATGTAAAGGTATATGAGAGTTATTCACATTAAATTGACTATGCTATGAACTACTCACTTGTTGTAACCCGTATTCCTTTTCAAATATGTTGAAATATATCAATATGGAGAATAGTGCAAATTCTGTGTTGTGAATATGACACAATAGAAATAGCCCTGTCTGTCTGTCTGTTTTCGACATAGAACTTTGCACTGATGTGCGCCAGTTCAAGTCGCCACACTCCCTCCATGTAGCACAAAAAGCAAGAGAAGAAAGTACAAGAAATGCATAATAGAGAGAGACAGTAAACAGAGGTGTGAGACTAGGGAATAGTAATAACGAAGAACAATATAGTTTTATTGGGTATTATAAGTCACAAGGAGTGGATGCATCTGCGCCAGTCATTGAGAACGATTTTGAGCCATATCACCAATTGTTTCCAACCATTTGTTTCTACCGTCCTGAGGACCCCAACCAGTCAGGAAGTCTGCACCTTCCTACTGTTGTGGATTCCATTGACTGGTGAAGCCATGTTTTGGTTTGACCGCCGGTAGCTCTTTTCCAGCCTGACCCTATATCAGCTGACATTGCCTATTGTCGAGGAAGGCGGTGGCTAGGCGTGCATACGTAACAAATGTCCTAACCATCTCAGTCGATGTAATTTCCTAGCCTCATTGACTGATTTCGCCTGCTTACCTAGTACTCGACCGATGCCTAACATCAATATTGGTCACCTCATTATACCACTTCACAGATAGGGATGGAGCGCAGGCACCTATGATAAAAAACAGCTAGCCAGACGTTCCATGTCTTCCACTCTCAATGGCCAGGCCTCACTAGCAGCCCATAAAGAAGGACGGAGCAGACTGATGAGCAGTGCACCCGCCCTTTGGTCGATAGTTGGATATCACGTCTACTAAGCCAGAGACGGCGTAAACTGACATATGTGAAACTAGCCTTCTGTATCCGTACTCAGCTGAGATTTCGTCAGAGATCAACCCTTTGCACTGGCTGATGGTACTTCCCAAATAAATGAAGCGGTCAACGAGTCATCGCCTTCCTCGACGAGCAATGTTAGCGGATACAGGGTCAGGCTGGAAAAGAGCTAGTGGAGGTCAAACAAAAACATGGCACCAGTCAATGAAATCTACAACAGTTAGTCTAAGCCAGTCACGTAGGAAGGTGTAGACTTCCTAACTGGTTGGGGTCCTCGGGACGGTAAAAACAAATGGTTGGAAACAATTGGTGATATGGCTCGAAATCGTTCTCAATGACTGGCGCAGATGCATCCACTCCTTGTGACTTATGATTTCCAATTAAACTATATTGTTCTTCGTTATTACTATTCCTTTGTCTCACACCCTACTTACTGTCTCTATTATGCATTTCTTGTACTTTCTTCTCTTACTTTGTGTGCTACAAGGAGGGAGTGTGGCGACTTGAACTGGCGCACATCAGTGCAAAGTTCTATGTCAAAAACAGACAGACAGATAGAAGCGGTCAACGTGCTCTACTGCTTCACTCCCTATTTCTAAACTAGGAGTCAGTGTAGTCCAGTCCTGTAACATCATCTTCCATTTGGCGGGAGCGAAACGCATGCCAAACATTCGTAGATTGCAGTCCAAGGTGTTTAGAAGACTCTGCATTTTGTCAGCGTCTTCACCTAGCATGGAGGACTATATCGTCTGCATATTCTAAGTTAAAAAGATTATTCCCAGGTAGCAAGTCAACCCCTGAGTCGCTGAAGTGAGTTAGGGTTAAGCCCATTAACACATCTATGATGAAGTTGAATAGAAAAGGGTATAATGGGCATCCTTGACGGACACCACTGGTTGTCACCAGTTCAGATGACAACTGCCGTAAGCCCTCATCCGCCTGCTTGAGTTCGAGTAGAGTGCCTTGATCAGTGCAACGTATTTTCTCGGGATTCCCTTTACAGCCAAGCATCGCCTGAGTACCTCTCGGTCGAAGAAACAGCCCTGCCGGTAGGCATACTCACTCACACTAACCAACAGCGTTTCAGCGAACAGACTGTTCATTATTGGACACATAAAATGATGAATAAAAATGATCTAAAATCTTGACATGTTTTATTAATACCAGTGATCCTGAGAAAAGAGTTGTTGAAAAGATCTGAGATACATAAGCATATCAATCTTAAATAAAGGAGGTTATTTTATCAATTTGGGGCACTATAATAGAGCATAACTTAACATCAGATAAGTTTATCTGATATTGGTTATGAACAAGCACCAGTGAAGTGCCAACGGAGAAATTACCTTGAACGCACCAATCACATGAAAAAGGTTGATTTTTAAGTACAAAGAGGACATTATTTATGCGTACTATTGAATAAAAAGCAGAAAACTGTTCCACAGGATACTTTCCTATGATGTGTGACAGAAATGCCTCTCAGTTTTGGATTGTGCTGTCAGCAGAATAATGCCTAAACTAACACTAATCTAACTCAGACGGATCTTAATATCTGCCTTATTATTTTACGGCGGCCCTAACATATCCGTAGCCTAAATCTTAAGTTAATCTTTCCCAAACCTACTGAAAACTTACCACATATCCCGTTTAATATCAAAACACTTCATTAGGCCTATTGTATTCATGATTGTAAGGTTTATTATTTGCCTGGTTTCACTAACTTGCTCATTGAATGCTCCAAGGTGATTGGTGTGGTCGCGCTCCATCTAAACTTACTATTGGTGCCTAAAGTTTAACTTGGCAAGCAATACGTTTTCACTTGATACATCATCCAGTTATTAATATTGTATCCCCCATGTTTTACATCAAATAAACTTATCCAGTATTAAAAATTATTTTATGGCGGTTTTCCAGGTGAATAGTTTATCATGCAAAGCTTCTAGGATTTATCACTAACCAAAAAGTGTCATTATGTGTGAAACTTCCCTCAACCACTCTGATTCAATAACCTTAGAATTTCTCTTCCTTTTATTGTCCAAATTAACATTCATCATTCCGGTGGTTGACAAATTCAACAACAAGCTACAAATGTGGAAGTAGCTTAACTGCGGAAAGTACTGTGTATCAAACAAGTCCATCACCTACACCGTTAGCTAATGTGGAGTCGGCTTGATTAGAAAGGGGTTAGGGTCTAACAAGTGATGTCAGCCGACCGTCTCTGCAGTGTATTTCCAATCCATTTCAATTCCCTTCTGCATATTCGTCGGTCGATAGGTTCGGTGGCTGCTACAGTTCCTTGTTGCTTATCCCTTTTTGCGTGGTTATCTGACCTTCGTTATGGAACGAAGACAGCTAGGGACGAAAGCCTGCGGCCTACCTCAGTTTTATTACATTTATTATGTAGGCATTTTTTAAAAATTATAATTTAAGTGCTGTGTTGAGGTTCTCACAAGAGTTGCTCCTTACGGATCATCCTGCGAAATGTTTGACAAAAATGTCTCGTGTTTGACCAGGGATTGATATCGATTAGAGAAACATTAGAAACCAGGGGGGAGTACTCGACAGCTGTTTCGTCAGCCTAGCTTGTGGGCCCCACTGGTAGAAATCACCCACTGGGGTTCGAACCCAGGAATTCGTGGTTACAAGTTAAGTTCGTGAAACCATTCAGCCACTGAGACCCAACTCAGTGGCCCATGAATTCTAACTTCGACCAATTCGTGATTTTAGCTCGACCACTAGCGAATGTCATCGCTAGCGAGTATTTGTCCTCACTCCCGACCCCACTGGTAACGACTCCTTACGAGCTTGCATTGTAACCAGAAGGTATCGAGTTCGAACCCCTGTGGGTGTGTACTGCCGAAGAGTCCCTAACTAGGACGGATACCAATCCGTAGTGAAACCAATTAAGTCCCTTACAATCTAACTCCCATGTTTTAAAAATGCATCAAAAAACTATGTTACTTACAAATAATTAGTAGTACAATAATTTATGTTAATAATTTGTAAGCTCTACATTGCTGATGTCTCTTGTGAATAATTTGATTTTGCTTATGATCATTTCATTTTGTTTTTTAGTTATCAATGGGCGTTTGTTAAGAACTTCACGCTTGATGATGTCAGTAATCAGGAGAATATTGAAAATGCTATTGGACCAAACAATCATAAAACGCCATCCTTTGTTCCTCTTCTTGCCGATGTCCTCGCACAAATTGAAGTAAGTCCTATTGGAATAATAATGACAATAGTGATACGTGTGTGTCAGTTCACTTTTATAATAATTGTTCTTCCATGTAAACTGGCATAGCAGCAGTAATTTAAAATTGTCTTATTTCATCTTTATGAGTACACGAACCATTAACAAAACGATTACTGGTGAATTTCAACCGTCACAAAGTCTGAATTCTCAGGAGAATGAATACTCATTGTGTAGCGATGAAATAGTATTGACATTTTTTTTAAAAACCATATCTAAGTCTTCCTATAGACAATTGTGTAATCTTTAAAGCAGTTAGATCAAAATGTTTTGTTTTGATTGTTTGTGTTTGTTTTTGTGTGTTTTCACACTTTCTACGTTACTTGTATTGGAACTGATTGTTTCTTTGGCTTGAACTTTGACCCTTTGTATGTGAAGTTTCTTTCTTATCGGTTGATAAATTTTGTCTATCTCGATGTATCTATCGATTGATGATTCACTGGAATGCCGGGCAAGCTTCTAAAAATTCTCTGGCCAGCATTCTTGTTGTTTCCTCTGTCTAATATTTGAACACTGGTTGTCCCAGTCGAATTGATGTCCGTGGTTGTCTGTATGTAGTGACGCGATATGAGGGAGTGGATATCATGTCTTTTGACGGCTAACTTTTGTTCGTGAATACGAAGACGAAGGGGACGTCCACCTTGACCAATGTAGTGTTTTTCGCAGTTTTTACAATCTATTTTGTAGATGATGTTGGTTTTATCTTCTTTCGCTGTTGAGTCTTTTGGTTGACATCGAATTGAGTGAAGTGACTTTGTTGGTTTGTGTACGACGTCAATTCTTAAAGGTTTGAAGAGTCTTGCAGTGATTTCTGAGACATCCTTTATATATGGTAAGGCGATTTTCTTTGTGCTTTCCTTGGGGCTTTTGCTTTGGTAGGTTGGCTTGGGGGTATATGTCTCTTGATGAAATTCCGTGGATATCCATTCTTTTGGAAGACGTCCATGAGATACTTTTCCTCAATCTTCCTTAAGGTGGGAGTGCTGCAATGAGTCCTGCTGGCCCTCTTGAATAGTGTTTGTATGCAATTCCTTTTGTGTGTTATTGGGTTGTTGCTGTTGTAATTCCGGATTTGGTCTGTGTGAGTTGATTTTCTATAAACTTGAGTTTCTAATTCCCCTGTGGTTGTTCGCTTGACTAAGACGTCCAAATGAAACATGAAGACTTTAGCTGTCTGAAATTTTTATAACCCCTACTCGTGTACCAACTCTGATGGTTGATCAAAGCAAATAGTGATTGAATATTCTCATTAAGTGTTCTTTTAGCTCTGAGATGATGTCGATCTATTGAGAATTTTTTTTCTATAACAGTTTCCCACACTGGTGTGTAGTCATTCTTTGTTATAGAAATACTATCAATAGACATTCATTGTTGTCATCTACTTGGAAAGAATTTAACTGTATCGAATAGTTGAATCTTCCTTCTAGTATACACGTAGTCCACTGTAGGCTACTAGAAGCTAACAAAACCATCGGTTCTTGTGGAAACCTTCTATCATTTCGAGTTTTTCTCTTGCATTACTATTTGTGTATTTTGGAAGACCTGGTGATACTCTCCATACCTTGTATGCATACCTTATCATGATTTATTATTGTATTCTTTAATTCCTTGAGGAACATAGGGCTTCAGCTGCGCGTCTCCATTCCCTTCGGTTTTCTGCCAACTTTTTCGCCTCGTTCTAAGTCTGCCCACATGCTTTCATCTCCTCCTCACATGACCTCCTCCAAGTCACCTTTGAACGACCAACTCGTCGCTTCCCTTTCGGGTTCCACTCGAGCAATGGCTTGTCTAGTGATGTCACTCACTTGATGGTTTCCTCAGCGTATGGCCAGCCAGTCCATCTCCATTTCTTCCTGACTATTTGTTTCACAATCGTTTCCTGGTTGGTTCGCTCATTACCAGAGATCTCTGTTGGTGATCTTTTCTGGCTGGCCATCTGATTTTGAGTATTGAGCGAAGACAACTGTTGATGAAGGTCTGAAGTTTGTTTGAGATGCTCTTTATGACGCGTTGGCCAAGTCTCTGATCCGTATAGTAAGTAGCACTGACTGACTTCACATTGGAGTTGAAGATCCGGATCTTATTTTCATTTCCATACTGAGTGCTGTTGACTTCCACACAGACTTGACGCGATTAATGAAAACTTGTCTTGCTTTTCCGATTCTGGCTTTGATATCCTCATCAGTTCCGTCGGCCTATGGTTGAAACGATGCTTCCCAGGTATGTGGGTAGGTAGGTAAAGGAGGTTGTTTCTTTCAGGTTCCTCCCATTTATGCTGGCTGATTGTTGTCTGTTGTTGTTCATGTTGGTGTTGGTCAGGAATCTTCATCACTTCTGTTTTCTCTATGTTTACTTGAAGTCCTTCCTATCTTTGATGCTTCTTCTGCCAGTTTGTTGCTTTTCACTTGCATATCTTCCAGTTTGTGGGAAATCAGACATATATATGTCATCAGCGAAGTCCAGATCCTCCAAGTTGATTTTGTGTGAGTCCATTTTATGCCTGTTTCGTCATTGCCGGTTGTCTGTCGCATTATCCCGTCTACTGCAATCAGGAAGATCATTGGCGATAGTAGACAGCCTTGCCTCACTCCCGTCCTCACTTCGAAGGCTTCCGTAAGTTTCCCGTTGTGGATTACTTGGCATGCAGCACTGTCGTATGACTGTTGGATGAGATGTATAATTATCGTTGGCACCCCGTAGTAGCGAAGTAGTTTCCAAATCACCTCTCGATCGACGCTGCGCTATCGAAGGCTTTTTAAAGCCGATGAAGTTGAGATAGAGAGGTGACTGACATTCGCTTTGTTCAATGATGATCCGTAGAGTGGAGATTTGCTCAATACATGACTTGTTTCTCCTGATACCAGCTTGTTCCGGTCATGCATACCTTTATTAAGCCATATTTGAGCGTTATAGAACCAGATTGTAGCTCCATTCGCTCAATGGGATCTTTCTGAGACGTCTGGTTTAGACATTCTTTTTCATTAAATCGAATTAGTGAAGTTTTTCTCAAGAAAGTCCAATTGGTGTTCCAACACCTTTATTCGGACGTGTCATGGTCATATTTTCATTCTTCTTTAATACCTTTAACTGTTTACGATACTATTTTGAAAATAAAATTTACGATAGCTAGAGTTTTATTATTGTCATCAAGACAGCAATTTAAAGGGTATGATTTTTCTAAATGATATTTCCATCCTTTTATTCAATCTCTTTGCATAGAATTTACAAGAAGTTGACATGTCGAATGGGATTGATATGACATCTGCAGATAATACCCGTACACTATATCAAGGTTGTTTCAGTCTACTAGCTTTAGATAAACTTGTCAATATATTTGCGCTTAAACCATTTCTAGAAAGGTGAGTCCTGTCCTTTTCCTCTCTTTATTATTTTTCGTGAAACTGATCCCTGTTTCATTTTGAATTTACTGTGCTTGCGTTGGGTGTTTGTTCGATGTTTACTTTACTTTTACTGAGAGCTGGACAAATAAGTGGCTGCATTCTTATTTTTCTGATAGGAAACAGTACATCGTCTACAATGGAAAGTCAGTCCTCCACTACCTCACTTACTTTAGCTGGTGTTCCTCAAGGTGCTGTTCTTTCTCCTTTTCTGTTTTCTTTTTTCTTACATGACTTGCCCCCCCCCTTTGTGATGTAGCCACTTTTGTTAAGTAAGCTGACGACCTCTCTGTTTCTATGCCTGTCAACTCTCAGTCAGATTGTTCCAAATTAAATAACTTTCTGTCGAAAATTAGTCAGTGGTCCTCTTCAGACGGTCTTAAGCTGAATCCGTCTAAATGTCAGGTAGTCAATTTCACTTTCAGACGTAAACGTGACCTACAACAACTAGTTAGCTCACATGGCCCCACTATCATTGATGTTTCGCTTAACGTTCTACGTTAGGAAATTTAGGAAGTTTGGCATATAGCAGTCTTTGCTTTCTCAGTTTGTCAATTCTTGTATTCTACCCATCCCCTTTACTGCTCCCCATTCATCTTTCCTGGACTACTTTAGAAAGACTGTGCTTTGCTGAGAAGGGCACTAAAAGCCGTTAGTAGGACAAGTGGGATATCGTTAAACCAACTGGTTAACACTATTGTGGATAGACATATTATGTCATGTAAGAAACTAGTGAATACTATATTGTCAGACCCCGAGGATCCTCTCTATACGCAGCTGTCTCCTTGCATTTCATCTGGTAGAACTAGAAGCAGCTATAGGAGGCTGGCTATATGCTAGGACCACCAAGTACAAAAACTCCACAATACCATATCTGGCTGGCACAGTTGTTATGTTATGAGAAATCCGTTAGGTATGACACGATCAACTTACTGCGGCACTCTAACAAATAGTCCCATTAGTTTTTGTTTTCTTTTCTTCGTTACTATTACACTGTTGTTCTGATCTTCTATTACACACCAATTTTATATTTCATATCCTGTGGTGCATTATTTAAAATGTAACCGCAACGCTGTTGTTTTAATTTTTTTCTATTTATCTTTTTTTTGACGTTGCTTTTTGATTTTAAAATCTTATAAAATTTGTGAGGTAATTAGATGCAATATATTGTAATGCACGCTGAAAATTCCATACCTGTACCACAAATACTGTTTGGAATAAAGCTGTTATTATTATTTATCATCTGAACTGAAACTATGGTGTCTTTAAAACAAATCGCCTCCATAGACTCGTTAACTTTGTGTATTGTCTTTAGTTATATAACGATCTAGTCAAGAATTCTGCTGCTTTTAAGAATTCGTCAATTTAAAAGTCAATTTTTGTTTTTCATGTTGACTGATTGTACTAAAATGGTTGACTTTTTTTGATATGTCATGTCAGCTTTGAGCACAGATGCTTTGACGATGTCCGAGGATGGACGTTGATAGTATTATATTTGGTGGGTATTGACTCGTAGTGGATTGTCATATGGTTTTGTTCGCTGAGCTGGATAGTTGATTTGCGAAGCTTTCATCACCCTACTGGGTGACATCTTCAGCGCATACTTCAATTTCACGAAGTGAGCTTTTAGATTTCTCCACGAGTTTATTAATCATCCCTCCTGGTGACTTAAACGTGACTGGTTGTTTTTGTGTGTTTTCACACTTTCTACGTTACTTGTATTGGAACTGATTGTTTCTTTGGCTTGAACTTTGACCCTTTGTATGTGAAGTTTCTTTCTTATCGGTTGATAAATTTTGTCTATCTCGATGTATCTATCGATTGATGATTCACTGGAATGCCGGGCAAGCTTCTAAAAATTCTCTGGCCAGCATTCTTGTTGTTTCCTCTGTCTAATATTTGAACACTGGTTGTCCCAGTCGAATTGATGTCCGTGGTTGTCTGTATGTAGTGACGCGATATGAGGGAGTGGATATCATGTCTTTTGACGGCTAACTTTTGTTCGTGAATACGAAGACGAAGGGGATGTCCACTTTGGCCATTGTAGTGTTTTTTAGAAGCTTGGCATTCCAGTGAATCATCAATCAATAGATACATCGAGATAGACAAAATTTATCAACCGATAAGAAAGAAACTTCACACACAAAGGGTCAAAGTTCAAGTCAAGGAAACAATCAGATCCACTACAAGTAACGTAGAAAGTATGAAAACACACAAAAACAACCAGTCACGTCTAAAGTCACCAGGAGGGATGATTAATAAACTCGTGGAGAAATCTAAAAGCTCGCTTCGTGAAATTGAAGTATGCGCTGAAGATGTCACCCAGTAGGGTGATGAAAGCTTCTCAAATCAATTATCCAGCTCAGCGAACAAAACCATATCAAAATCATCCACCGAGCTACAAATCTTGTTTATCTTATCTACTCTTATTGGAATTCATGATGACCATTTCGACCTATTTAAGACTCGTTAACTGGTTATGTGCTTGTATAATACCCAATGAGAATATCTCCACTCACCTACATCGCATTCACATATAAATGTTTTTTATTCTCCACTGTCTCTCAGAGTCCGTATACAGAGGTATCTGAAAATAGAGAAAGAGCAAACATCAGTTCGTGGAATAATATGCGTCGATTGTATGCCATCGGTTTTCCTTTAGATGCAGACAACCTGTAACACTTTATAAGACAAGTCATAGTATATTGTTAACATAATTTTGTTCATCGACAGGGAATCACTTCTCCAGTAAGCAACGTCATTGTGAAATAAAACATTAGGATGATTAGTTATCTTGAAGCTGTAAACATGCATAATAATCTATAGTGAGTAGAAGTCATATATGGTGGACATGTGACGAGTACTACTGATGAGATTTATCAGTAGTATATGAAGAGACGTTCATCGGCATAAAAGTGTCAAATAGCAGGAAGATAGATCTGATGTCAGAGAAAGCAAATGATACAACGTTACGCAGAAATATGGGAGAAGTGTAAGGAATAGTTAGAAACACAATATGGAGGAAGGCGAGAAGTAGCACAACAGGGAAGATCTGTACTAATGGTTCCTTGGAGATAAGGTGTACATACCAAAGTACAAATGAACATTGCTTTACCAAGTCATCGTCTTCTATCGTTTTAGAAAAATCGAAATTTAGTGTGTAAGACGTCTAACGATAGAACCGATATCAGTTCGTGATCAGATATATTCCCAATCGAATCCCTGCAAACCAATACGGGAAAATTAACGTGGTACTCACTAGAAACTGGCCCTTTACAGGAAGTTACCTGGCATTTTAGTGAGCTTTGACCAGCGGGATCTGCCTAGTTACATTGGTTAGTGGTTGCACTATATGCATCGCCAATTGACGGAAGTTGGAATTCATGGGTCATTGGCTAAATGGTGTGCGATCTTGCCTTGTTACTCGTTTGTCCTGGGTTCGAACCTCGGTGGACGTGTACTACTGAGGAGTCAGAACCTGTGACGAAATAGCCCTGCAGTACTTTCTGGTTTTAAAAGATTTTTTATCTGACTGGTGTGTGTTAGCTCGTGATAAAAGCAGTAATCAATCAAATCCCTACAAATTACTACTTGAAAATTGTCACCGCTTGCCAAAATATTCACAAAACTACTGTGGTAAATGAAAATTCCATCTGTAATTTCATTAAAAATTATTATCTATTTTTGTTTTGTTTCTTCTTCAATTGCCCCCTTCTAGTTTGAAGAACAACTCAAATCTTGAGTCGTCATCATCACCACCATCATCACAAAAGGTGCCAATGTTCAGTGAATGTCAACTAAATGATACTTTCCTTCTTGAATTGGCGTTAGAAGCGTCTCTTGCTCAAGAATTCCCAGAGACAATTGCATCACGATAACGATGATAATAATAATAGTTTAGATCAACTTCTACCTCTTTTATCCAGTAAAATAACAACAGCGTATACCACCACTGTATATCTTGTTGCGGTTGTGTTACTATTGCTGTTGCTGTTGTCAACATCAGTGTTATACAGTGAAATGCATGTGTGTGTGTAAATTGTATTTTTCAAGTGTTGTCATTGTCGCCGTCGTCGCTGTTGTCGTCGTTTTTAATCGTTCTACTTACTTACATACACATACACACACAAACAGATATAACAGACATCTACACAACCGTATATACACACACAAACAAACACGTACAGTATTCGCATACTTTGTGACTACTGTACACCTAATTTGTCTTTCGAAATATCCTTTTACATTATATACATATGAATATGAAAAATTTTGTTATTTCACTACATATACATCTTTTTTCTTTTCTAAATTGATTGTTTGTTTATTTTGCCCTTTTTTATGACATGGTGATACACCCCTTTGTGTCATTTTACCATTTCTATGGCTGTGGAGTTCTTGTATTGTTCCCCTTTTCTGATGACTTTTACTCTTCATTGAATTATATATCTTACAGCTCTTTGATACCCTCTATGCACTGATTCTAATTACCATTATTATTATTGTCATTTTATGAGATTACTAATTTCTATGTTCAATTTGTTTTTGTTATTACTAATAACCATATTTGGCTATTATCTCACTTTGTTTACTTGTTTACAATTTTATCTCTTTAAAGATTATTTTATGTCAATTCATTAAAGTGAAGAGAATTTTACCTTATTCGTGTCGTCCTATAATAATAATAATAAATAAGTCTTTTCATATTTCCACTCATTCATCTGTATTGTAGTCAATTTATTTTTCCTTCATTCACGTGTACGATGATTATTTTATTTTTAACCAGGTCGATTTGCAAGTGGGTTACATACACATATCTATACGTTTAAACTACGATTGTCTTCGATAAGTACAACAAAGATTATGAATATATTAACTTCCCATGGAAAATTTGCTGATTTGCTCTGTTGGTCTATGTGTTTCTGTGTGTGTGTGTGTGTGTGTCTGTAAATCTTCTGTATTTTATTCCATTTTTTCACCTTAACGTCCCACTTCTCCATTATATTATGACGATTGTAAGTCTTTCTTTTGTAAAATTATACTTACACAAAAGTTCTGTTTCAATTTATACATAATATCATACAAGTCTAAAATTCAAAAAATCTAAAACAGCCATTTAACTAATATCCAGGGTTGTAAAAACTTAGGCGTCATAGATCATAACACTTTTTTGTCGCCAACTCCACTAACCGACATCCACTCGTCACAGCCACAATCACAGCCACCACCAAGTATCTCTGCATATTTCCTGACTCGACAATCGCTTGTTGACGTCGAAGTCAACAGATTCATTGAGTAATCAATTACAAGTCCTCATCATTCATCATCACACGTGGAACAACACACCACCTGCTGATATCCCATCACTACTCGATTTGGCTTCATAAGGTCTGCAAGACAATCGTCATTGAAGCCACTTGATGATCACGCTGGATGAAACCACTCGTTAACTTTGTCTAGCAGACACTTGTCCAAGCTGTCTTGTCAGATGAATGCTTTCACTGACACTTCTGAGTGTTTACACGTCTACGTTGGATTGTGTTTCATTCATTGCGATGGCGAGAAGTGATTTGTTCAAGAGTAGTGTTTCAGGTTGTGGTTGTGTCAGTGCTTGTAGGATTGGATGTGTATGGTTGTGCATGTGCATGTGCGTGTGTGTGTGTGTCTGTTTTGGGGGGGGGTTGACGTGAGAGGGAGAGAGAGAGAGTGATAGAGATTGAAAGGGAGAAGTAGTCTGTGTGTGTGTGTGTGTGTGTGAGGGAGTGTTTTGGGGAGGGGGGTAGTACTGGATGTTGTGCAAATGTGTTTGTGTGATATTGGTGGTGCAGATATTCGTGTGACTAGTCTTTGTCATCGCTGTTTTCGTTGTTGTTTCTCGATGGCTGTTTTTGTAAGTGTGGAGGCGAAATTAATTTTTGGGGTGGAGCATTGTTTGAAATCTGTCAGCTGACATATTGAGATGAAAGACAGTTCCGATGTGTTTGTGTGGTGTTTTATTGAATTGATTGTGGTTGAGAGGGAGAGAGAGCGAGAGCGAGAGAGAGGGCGATTGATTGATTGGTTGGTTGGTTGGGTGCTTGTGTACGTGCGTTGGTGAGTGTGTGCGTGTTTGGTCTGTTGACTTTGTGTTGTGTTGTGTGTGTGTGTGTTCGTTTGGTTGTGTTGTGTGTGGTGGCGCGACAGTATTGATGACGTTAGAATTAGTATTGTTTGCATGGGGAGTGGTGTGTGTGGCGTTGTCAGAATGGTGGCCTCGTGGTGTAGCGGTTAGCACTCTGGACTTTGAATCCAGCGACCCGAGTTCGAGTCTCGGCGAGGCCTACTCCGTCCACTAGGGCCTTTTGATCTGCACTCATCAACTCGCTGTGTTTCGACGGTTGTCATCAGTCAGTCTTCTTAGATGATCACAGTTAAGTAGACACCGTCCCCCACTCCGCTTGATACACGCTCGAACAAAATTCACATGCATAACCATCAAGTGTCAGCCCGCTTCCGACGATCAATTCACGCCTCTTCTCCACACCGTCTACGCCCATTCAATCGCCCACCGACAATCAGACAAAATTCTTGCCTTCACTCACCAAACCCAATCACACTGAATAATTGATTGATTGATTGATTATCTGACTCACTGGTTGTTTGGTTGGTGCATCCTGTCTGTCGATCTACAGACACAGACGCACATTCACTCCACCTCACACAGAACCTTCAGCACAGCTTACAAAATTAACTGACGCACATCGGTATCTCAATCAATATGCACGCGTGTCTGTAGATCAGCATAAAATATCTCTCTATACTCCTCGTGTATGTTGAGCTGTATTAATTAATATATAATGCTATGCGTGTATGAGGAAATTAGCGCCAACCCATTTCACACACGCACAGTCATGAATAAACGCGAATGCTCGGAAAACACAGACACATATTCACACACCTGCTTTTCATGCTCAAACACATTCGCTCACACACACACACACTCACGCACACTCATAGGAGAACTCACGCACAACCACACATTAAATCCCTCCAACACCAGTCTATTTTGTCGCCAACTCCACTAACCGACATCCACTCGTCACAGCCACAATCACAGCCACCACCAAGTATCTCTGCATATTTCCTGACTCGACAATCGCTTGTTGACGTCGAAGTCAACAGATTCATTGAGTAATCAATTACAAGTCCTCATCATTCATCATCACACGTGGAACAACACACCACCTGCTGATATCCCATCACTACTCGATTTGGCTTCATAAGGTCTGCAAGACAATCGTCATTGAAGCCACTTGATGATCACGCTGGATGAAACCACTCGTTAACTTTGTCTAGCAGACACTTGTCCAAGCTGTCTTGTCAGATGAATGCTTTCACTGACACTTCTGAGTGTTTACACGTCTACGTTGGATTGTGTTTCATTCATTGCGATGGCGAGAAGTGATTTGTTCAAGAGTAGTGTTTCAGGTTGTGGTTGTGTCAGTGCTTGTAGGATTGGATGTGTATGGTTGTGCATGTGCATGTGCGTGTGTGTGTGTACATGTGTGTGTGTGTGTCTGTTTTGGGGGGGGGTTGACGTGAGAGGGAGAGAGAGAGAGAGTGATAGAGATTGAAAGGGAGAAGTAGTCTGTGTGTGTGTGTGTGTGTGAGGGAGTGTTTTGGGGAGGGGGGTAGTACTGGATGTTGTGCAAATGTGTTTGTGTGATATTGGTGGTGCAGATATTCGTGTGACTAGTCTTTGTCATCGCTGTTTTCGTTGTTGTTTCTCGATGGCTGTTTTTGTAAGTGTGGAGGCGAAATTAATTTTTGGGGTGGAGCATTGTTTGAAATCTGTCAGCTGACATATTGAGATGAAAGACAGTTCCGATGTGTTTGTGTGGTGTTTTATTGAATTGATTGTGGTTGAGAGGGAGAGAGAGCGAGAGCGAGAGAGAGGGCGATTGATTGATTGGTTGGTTGGTTGGGTGCTTGTGTACGTGCGTTGGTGAGTGTGTGCGTGTTTGGTCTGTTGACTTTGTGTTGTGTTGTGTGTGTGTGTGTTCGTTTGGTTGTGTTGTGTGTGGTGGCGCGACAGTATTGATGACGTTAGAATTAGTATTGTTTGCATGGGGAGTGGTGTGTGTGGCGTTGTCAGAATGGTGGCCTCGTGGTGTAGCGGTTAGCACTCTGGACTTTGAATCCAGCGACCCGAGTTCGAGTCTCGGCGAGGCCTACTCCGTCCACTAGGGCCTTTTGATCTGCACTCATCAACTCGCTGTGTTTCGACGGTTGTCATCAGTCAGTCTTCTTAGATGATCACAGTTAAGTAGACACCGTCCCCCACTCCGCTTGATACACGCTCGAACAAAATTCACATGCATAACCATCAAGTGTCAGCCCGCTCCGACGATCAATTCACGCCTCTTCTCCACACCGTCTACGCCCATTCAATCGCCCACCGACAATCAGACAAAATTCTTGCCTTCACTCACCAAACCCAATCACACTGAATAATTGATTGATTGATTGATTGATTGATTATCTGACTCACTGGTTGTTTGGTTGGTGCATCCTGTCTGTCGATCTACAGACACAGACGCACATTCACTCCACCTCACACAGAACCTTCAGCACAGCTTACAAAATTAACTGACGCACATCGGTATCTCAATCAATATGCACGCGTGTCTGTAGATCAGCATAAAATATCTCTCTATACTCCTCGTGTATGTTGAGCTGTATTAATTAATATATAATGCTATGCGTGTATGAGGAAATTAGCGCCAACCCATTTCACACACGCACAGTCATGAATAAACGCGAATGCTCGGAAAACACAGACACATATTCACACACCTGCTTTTCATGCTCAAACACATTCGCTCACACACACACACACACACACACTCACGCACACTCATAGGAGAACTCACGCACAACCACACATTAAATCCCTCCAACACCAGTCTATTTTGTCGCCAACTCCACTAACCGACATCCACTCGTCACAGCCACAATCACAGCCACCACCAAGTATCTCTGCATATTTCCTGACTCGACAATCGCTTGTTGACGTCGAAGTCAACAGATTCATTGAGTAATCAATTACAAGTCCTCATCATTCATCATCACACGTGGAACAACACACCACCTGCTGATATCCCATCACTACTCGATTTGGCTTCATAAGGTCTGCAAGACAATCGTCATTGAAGCCACTTGATGATCACGCTGGATGAAACCACTCGTTAACTTTGTCTAGCAGACACTTGTCCAAGCTGTCTTGTCAGATGAATGCTTTCACTGACACTTTACACGTCTACGTTGAATGGAAGGAAGCGATTGCTCCTTCCTTATATCACTTGGTCATGACAATATTGTTAACTTTGCCACCCGTCTTGGTAAAAAACTGGATCTAGTATTCATTAATGATGTTGGTATATATGAAGCTCGCAAACGTGCTCCTCTACTTAATTCTGACCACTGCATCATACGTGTACTGCCTAAAATATATTCCAAATCACACAAAGGTGTCCTCTCTCACCTCTACAGTAAAGTTCAACGGAGATGCTACTCAAAAGACAACCTAGACAAGCTCAGATGCATGTTGAAAGACACTAACTGGGACTTATTTACAGAACAAACATTAGATGAAACAATCACAAACACTACCGATTATCTTAAATTCTGTTTCGAAATATGTTGTCCTAAAGAAACATTATTCATTCGATTTGATCGCTTATCTTCGCCATATCTCAAAAAGCTACGTAGAAATAAAGAACTGTTGTTCAAAACTAATGATAAGCCTGGTGTAAAAAAGTTAAACATGCTGATAAAACTGGAAATAAAAAGACTAAATGTTTTATATAATCAAAGATTTTTGTCATGTAAAACCCCTTCTAATTTATGGAAACTTTTCAAAGAAATTACTAACGGTAAGCGATGTATTTCTGTTCCATCTCTTAATGTTGACACTCTTAATAAATCTTTCATACGCTCTTCTGTTGATACCCTTCCAAATGATACAAATCATATTGACAATAACTTTAGTGGTTTTAATACCCTTGATGTGCTTAAATGTCTCCGGTCTCTTAAGCCTTCTCAAAGCCTTGGTCCTGACGGCATACCTGCCATTGTCCTCA